ACAAGTGTCATGATGAGCTTAAGAAAAGTTATTTAAGATTTAAAAAAAAATATTATTAAAAATGTATTACTATATAAAAAAAAATAGTTTATGTGTATAAAAATAAATAAATAAATAAATGCCTGGTCTAAAGTATTGTAATATACGACCAATTTCAAATTAAAAATATTTTGTGTATTACTATGTATAAACTGTTTAATTATATATTAATTTACGAGTGTTAAATATTATTAATTTCTATTTTATTATTTATTATTTTGTTAAGAATTTAATATTATCGTCACGTATTTTTTTGCTTTAAACTGTGTTATAACGTTATAATTACATAATTTTTATTAAAAAGTAAAATTATTTTCCTCTTGATTCAATAAAAATCAATGCGTTTTATAACTACTGTGCACAAATATTATTACTATTATTTTTATTATTATTATAATTTCTTTTTTAAAAAACATTCATTCCGTAGTTTTACATGTACAACACTAACCATAATGGAACACATGTAAGGATTTAAATGAATAATACCAGTCGAATTAAAAATATCAATCATGTAAAAAAATCAATACATTTATACCACTCGTTTGCTGGAAAAACATACATCCAATATTGATGTATAAAGATTTCCGATTCACCTTATTATAAAACACTTGATATATTGTATAGCTTTGCAGTTTTTTCGGTTTGACGAATGACTAGGAAAATAAAATATGTAGAAATATAAAATTTGAGTGTCTTAAGTTCAAATAGCATAATAATTAATTTATATTAATATTAACATTATTAAACAATGTCTGTACTTATTGCCGCACAAGGCGTATTCACTTATTTCTTCAATAATGTATTTTTATTATTATTATCGTAATAACCTGTAAATTCACTAAAAAAAAATAAAATTTTAGCAAAACAATATTTCATAATACAAAATGTAGAAAATGTCTTGGTCGGCGACTCGGATATATATAGTACGCCGAGAATATGTAATAGGTACACCCAAATGCTACAGACTGTGCAAAATAATTCTTACATCATGAACGAGCCCAGTGTATATGAATACAGTATACCTGTAACTACGAAGAATTGAAAAATTGTTTTCAAACGACTTGTGAGAAGATACATTTTATTTAGTTTAAAACATTGCAATAGATACACAAATATAGACTGTTCACTAACTAACGCAATATAATAGCATTAGCAATTTTGACTATTATTTTCTTTAATCAATTCATGTGAGTCACTATTTTCAAAAAAGAATTTTATAAATTCTGATTTACCTAATCGACTAACTAATAAATGTAGTGCCGGATGTACTTTATGAAAAGTTATTAATTATAGACCGAGTATCAACGAAATGGCAATTCAACAAAATAAATCACAATAAGATGATGAATAATTACCAAAGTAATGCAATTATATATTTATTTAAATATTACATTTTTATATGTTTATACTTTTAATAATAATTTTTTTTTTATAATATGTATATATATCCATAATATTTATTGGCAAGCTCGAAGATAAAGAAGTTAATTTTTGGCATGAAGCGTCAAAATAATCTGCCATCCCCGATCTGTAGGAACTGTTTTCGTTTTTTTCGGTTAGCGACGATATCACGCCACAGGTTCTTCTGTCGACGTGCGTATGTGACCTTGTGTTCGTACACGGACCTTAACTTTAGGGATCACAAACATGTTCGGTTTAGTTGTCTAGTAGTTATATATAAGTTATTATTTTCACGGGCCACCCTGTATACAATGATCGATTCGCCAGAAAACCACGCACGACCAAACTTGGTCGTGATTTTGAGTACGTGCTTGAGCGCGCATACGAACTTATCTCTCATTCACGGTTCGTCTATCTCGCCAACGTACACCGGTATGATGGTACACACCGCGCCCACGTTCACGCCCTGCACCACGCGGGCCACGGACAGCATCATGCTGGTCCGGCGACCGATCAGGCTGGACACGTAGCCGGCCAGCAGCGCGCCCAACGTTGAGCCGATGTCGAACACTATGTTGGACGGTGGACGTTTGGACGTCACCGGGACGCGAAATCGCCTTGAACATCGAGTCGGCAGACGATGACCATTCAGGTATCGTGCCCTTGACAATTCCGCCCAACGTTGCTGGAACATCGTAGTTCTACTGCACAATGTTCGACCAAACGCGCGACGGGTTCGCGAGGCTTACGGATAATTTCCGGTGCAATGGACTCAAGAGGTGTTTTCGCGATTCCTCTTCATATTTTTAATATATTTATATTCTCCTGTTATAGGTTGCGGGCAATATTGTAAAATATTAAAAATAATAAATAATTTTGATCGGTCCACTACTTATGATGTTAGGGTGTGTATGTTATATTAAAAAACCCATTAGTTTTATGAAACTGTATATTTAATTAAAATAAATGCCTACTATCCGTTATTTTTACTCGCTTTGACCGAAATATACTAATGGTCACATTAGAAATAGATGTTCGACCGGATAAATGAGAAAAATTAATTTAATTTAATTTCTTTAAGTTAAAAAATATTTCAAATAATAGTCAGTAGCAGGTTGCAATCAGTTTATTTTTAAACTAAATTATAATTTGATTTAATAATTTTAATAGGTAGTTCATGTTTGAACTTAAAGTATGATTGGGTAAATTTTTATTAATTGAAACACATTTGGTCGCTTATTACGGAAATCTTTTTAGCAAATTCTCCAATTGTTTCCAAGAAATATACGTGTTTTTTTTTTTTTTTTTAATAAGATTAATTTAAATAATTTATTGTTTTTCAAAAAGAAATTTCAAGTAGCTAATTAGTACACATTTATAATATATAATATGCTTATTTATAATAGATTATAATATTAATGTATTGTAATAATGTGTATCATATACATACTTCATTAGTTTTTGATGTGAAATAGCTTTGGGGTTGTTTTCAAATAAATTAAAAATTAATTACTACTTAAATACATTAATATAATAATCGTGTACAGTTCGAGTTCAGGTATCGAGTTGCGATAAGAAGAAATTGCCTAACATAGACCGGTTGTATTCTACCAAAAATAATAATACAATTATTTTATACAAAGTATTTTTCTAACCTAATTATAGCTGGAAATTGTGTACAATTTATATATCCACAATAGGTATTTATTCTTTAAATACCATGTTTTTCTACTCATTATCTCAATAATACGATTGAAGTTTAATTTTTATTTATAATTTAAATCGTATACTATTAAACTTATCTATTTTAAGACCTAACAAATGTACCATTATTTATTTTATTTACATTCAACTTAGATCAATGTTTGATTTGTTTTTAAAATATTTCCAGTCAATGAATTTGTGTATTCTAAAAATAACCTAAATCGACCGTTTTTGAACGTATTTATATCTCGTCGATAAGTACTTAACCTGTTATAAATGATTAGTATTGTAATTCCGTAAACATGTTTTTTTTATGGAAGCTTTTTTGTAGAAATTCACATAAAGAACCGTTATTCATTTTTTAATGACCATTAATTTGGTAATGAATATTAAATACCATTTTTTAATTTTCTAAGGTCAATTGCTTAGTATAGTAAGATAGTTTAAAAAATTTAAATTAAAATACATTGTACATTATATACATTATACGTATACTACACTAATCTTGAGGTTACTAAAGTTATTTTATTTTATTCTTCTACTTAATGTATAACAAACGACTTTATTAAATATGAATGACTTTACTAAAATAAAATTAATATTAATATTAAAATGTAGACGATAATTAATTTTAGAGTGTTGTTCTGATAGTTTTTATACGACTATTATCAACAAAACTATTAAGTTAATACATAAAAGAGCTTTAAATTTAAAGATAATTAGTAAGTTGAATTTTTTATCAATTAATCATCAATATATAAGAAAAATTTAATTTTATGATTTAATTTATTTAATTTTTCTTGTAATAAATTATTTAAAATCTAAATCAGTATAATGTGTACTACACGACTTCTGAAATAAAACTATTAAAATTAAAATGACGGCTTAACATATTTTAAAAGAACGATTCAAAATAAATAGAGGGACGACATTTATTATTATACAATGAAAAAATTCCATGTTCATTGTGGTAATTACCTTGACAATATTACCCATTGCAAAATAACTACTGAATGTTATCTTTAACATTAAATGATTATCTTAAGGAGCATTGGAAGTGGCCGTATATTGTTGGGCTTAATGTAGGCGATTTCGAAGTGTTTGTTCAGTGAATAGCGTGTGTGAAAAAAATTTGAATAGTGTCTATACGCTTAAGTCATTATAAGTGGCTACTGTTTCGGACGTGACTATGATTACTGATATAGATTACTGTCAAAAACTTATGACTTTTAACAATTGTAATGATTCTGAAAATGAATTTTAGTTTTATTTTTATAATTGTATTATTTACAATTTCAATAATAGTTATTTAAAAAAGCTACCCAATCATTTTTTTTTTTTTTTTTTTTTAATATTCTTATCATCTGTAAAAATATTAAAACTTATTCTTGAAATGATCGATGGAAAAAAATTTAAAGTACGAAAATTTGATTAATTTAATCTGGACTTAATTTTTCAAAATACTATAAAATTTTAATTAGATCGAATCTAAAAATTAGGTTCTACAGAAAAAAAAAAAATCAAACAAAATGAAAAATTATTTAAATTTTTTTCTATATTATATTTAATATTTTTTGTTGGTGAAATTCGCATTACTATGTATCATTTTTTTCTCTTTAATTTTTACCCACCAATTATTATTACTATAACTTGAGAACTAATAGCGCCTCCCGATAGATATTGTATAATTAAGATCAATAAACAAAATCAATGTGTATCCATTGTACATTTTTAAATACATTTGGTAAAGATCGAATTTGTAAAAAACAAGTAGGCAGTAAACCAATAGGTTTGTTTCTTAAAATAAAAACAACCTGTATTTTAAGCATACTATTATTCAAATCTGATTTACTTACGAACTTTGGTTTCCTGAAATGACAAGACAATATCATATCAACGATCACAGGTTCGCGAAAACGAATATCAAGCAAATTTCGAAATGTTAAAAAACGAGTATTCTAATAATGTAAATATCCTATGTACATAGAAATATTTGTTATAGTTTGTAAGGGCAGTTTATGCTAGTTATGGTCGATGCACAGTATTTTACATTAGTTTAGACACATTGATTATATAGAACAGACGTACAATGTGGTGCATTCCATATCCCTACCATATTATTTAAGTATTTTAAGAGCTGTCTACTTCGTATATGTGATTTTTTTTTTTCTTAAACCGTTTAGTGAATAAGTCTTAATTTACAATGGTCCTGAATAAGTTTTTATACACTGAGAACAAGAACTAAATGTGCACATTTAAAATTTAATTTTTAATTTTCATAATGTGTCTGTATGTTAATTCAATAACTCTATAACACAGAAAAAATATAAATAACTTAAAAACGAACAAATAATAAACATAATTGGTGTACAAATTTTAATATAAATCTTATTTACGGACCGATATGAAATCCATATTTGTTTTTTTTTTTTTTTTTATTAAATGTGTCTGTTGTAGGGATGGAAATTCAATCTGGATTCTCCAAAAATTTGACAAATCCGGAATTAGGATTTTCAAATTTTGAAATCTGAAAATCGGACTATCGAATTTCAATATCCAAAATTTGGTTTTAACATTGAGGAATTCAGAATTTCAATTAAAAAATCAATTTATTAAAAAATATATGCAATTATCAAAAATTAATTATAAATCATACACAAAAAAAATACTAATACCTAACATTTTTTTCAAAATCCCATATCCAGATTTTGAATAAAATCCGGATTTCAAAACTCGAATTCGATTCCAGAATCCAGATTTAAGATTTAAGTTTTTAATTTCACAAAAAACAGATTTTTCCCCATCACAAGTCTGTAAATTTACTTGTTATAACTATTACAAATAACATTACATAAAAATAATATTGATTATAATTGTACATGCATCAAATTTCACGTTGCTTAAAAAAATTTTTAAAAACAAATAAAATAATTTTTTTAATGCTTAAGAAGATTTGCTCACTCCTTCAAAGATTTAATATAAAAAATAAAATAAAATAAAATGATCCACATCGAAAAATTAATTACTTATCAAGTGTTTAGTATACATATTTTAATAATTAATAATTAATGTATAACAGTTTTAATAATATTAACACTTGAAATATTAACAAAAACAGAAGTCTATTTTAAAATCTTATCGTATAAAAGAAGATTAATTATAATAGTTGTACCAAAACAAGTAGAGATACACATTCATATTACTCAAACATCGTTTTTGATCAATAAACACAAAACTATGGTCTTGGATCATTAGGTTGGAGTTTCACAAGTTGCTCGCAGATTTCCCAATATTTCTTTGCATTTCCTTCGTCTATCACATCACTCCTCAAACTGGCTTCCTAAAAATAGAATATAGTTGTTATTTTTGTCGTATCTTAAATATAGTATTAAGTTGAATTGCTTTGTCAATATTTGTCAATAATATTAAAATTATTTTCCAGTTAATTTTCGAAACTAGATAATTAAGATTATATCAAGAGAATTAGATGCAAACACGTGTTATATATTTCATCTATCAGCAATATTGATAAATTATACGTTGTATTATTATTATTATTCTGTGCTTAAGACTTAATCCTATCCTTGGATTTTTTTTAAACGCACTCTATACAATTGCCATAGGGTATCCAACCCGTAGCACGCGTACCGCCGAAACACGTGATGACTCGTCAAGTAGCACGTGTGCGAGCAAAAAAAAAAAGTTAAATTATATTAATTTTAGCGTACTCTACGCCAAGATACTATCTACAGGATGATTATTCCATTTATATCATATTATACCCACTATGAGTAGTGTAAATATACAGAAATTATAATACATTTTTAGAAGTGTGGTGAAAAAAAGTAACGACTGAGTACGTACTATTGATGAATTAAGTAGAAGACGATACGTGACATGAGTACATAGTATAAATTAGAATATGAGTATAGTATTAAAAAAATGTATATTAGATTATTTACTTTGCAGTCTTTAAAATATTTCCCACTGGTTTTGGCCACATCTTCGCTTACACTCAAGTAAATTGTTGTCTGTGCACCTTGCTCTGAAGTCTAAAACCAGATTATATTAAATATAGTTAATATTTTTAGTATTGTATTTCAATATTATTACGTGAATTCAACAATAGTAAATGTTTTTAAAGCAAAAAAAAAATACTGATGTTATATAAATAAAAATAAAAAATATAAAAACATAAATAAGAAAGATTTATAGTTCCAAATAATTTTTACAATTCAAACTAATTTATGTAAAATTAAATAACTTTCAACACAAACCTTAAACATAGTTTTGACGATAACTTGCAAGCCCAAATTCAATGGAAACGGCACATTTCTCCAAATTCCAGAGTCAATGATACCAGGATGAAGACAATTACACGTGATCCCTATTTTTATTTTATTTTTTAACAATAATTTGTTAGTCGAAAACTATAAATATGTTTGCCACGTTATGGGTAGGTTACCTGAATTGCTTTTCTCCAGTTTACGAGCCAATTCCATTGAAAACATGATGTTAGCGTATTTGGATACGTAATAAAGGTAAGCAGGCAATTGGTTTATTGGATTCGGATTCGCTAAATTCAATTTCGCGAACTTATACAGGTCCGACGCAACGATTACAATCCTGCTGGAAGCGGTCTTTTTCAACAAAGCTATAATGAAAAGTACAATTACATATACATACATATAGGCATGTTACATGAATTTTTATTTATAAAATCTCAAAAGCATCTTAATGTAACAAAATAAATAAATTACACTGATATGATGTGCTAGTTTTAATTTTTTTCTTATTGTAAATTTGTATTTAATCAATTTATATTTAATTCATGTAAATTTTGATATTAATATAAAATTCAAAACATATAATTACAGCAGCTATTAAGTGTGTTATTTTCGATTTTATAATAGATGTGTCTTGTAAATTATTATTCACTTACGTAAAAGCAAATGAGTCAACAAAAATGGGCCATATTGATTGGTGGCCATAGTAAGTTCTAAACCATCTTCAGTAATTTGTTTTCCAAAAGTATTCGCCACGCCAGCATTGTTGACTAGCACATCTAATCGAGATTCTTGTTTGTTTACCTTTGTCGCAAATTGGCGTACTGAATTTAAACTACTTAAATCTAGTCTCATTAGTTCCACATTGGAATTTCCACTATAACTAATGATTTCATCTGTGTAAACAAATAATAATAGTATTATAATTCAGGTGATATTTTATTGTATTCAATACATTCATAATTATATGAAAGAAAAATTGCACACATATCTATTATAAAAATAAAATTATACAAATATCAATAAAACAAATGGGATAAACTTAAGCGATTATTAAACTAAGTAATTGAACTATTTAGAAAAATTGTATGCTGTATAATATTATACTACGGCCGTTAATTTATTTGTTTTGGTGTTATAAAAATTGCATAGCTTGTATAATTCAAGAATTATAGTAAGAATATCATGTAATTATACAATTCCTTCTAAACACTCAAGGGATTTTTTTTACATCACAATAATATTCAACAGTGTACTAATAATAAACAAGAAAGTAATAGTTACACGATAGAAGTCCTACATAGTATAAAGACTACCACACAGTTGGATTTTATTATTTTAGATAATTATGATAAATGAAAATATATAACTAATATTTTTATTTGCATCTATTTAGTGTTCATGTAATTACATTTTATAAATAGACTCACTCAATTTTGATTTTCTTATTGATTTTAACTTAGGTACATTTATCAATTGTATGTGATAAAAGAGCAAATTTTAATACTAATAAATAATTATGATTTTTATTTTTTAGATTCGCCACTTTAAGTGATTTTTATAAACTGTCAAATTTGACGAAAATTAATTTTACCATATAAAATAGAATCTACCATAAAACAAATAAAACATTAAAAACTATATGTATAGCGTATAACATTGTTTAACGGTTATATATTAATTCATAAGTTTATCGATTTACCTCTAGCTTTTGATCCAGTCTCCATATTTCTGCAAGCCATAATTACTCTGGCACCACGTTTAGCTAGCTCTTTGGCCGTTTCTTTCCCAATTCCTAAATGAAAAAAAAAAACAAGTAATATTACTGTAATTACGGTCGTGTTAATTTAAACAATAAACATTACCAGAGTTGCATCCTGTGATAATCACGACTTTTCCTTTCATGCTGGTGGTTCCGCGGTACACACCTGTAGTCATCCAAGTGTATAGTTTAAGAATAACCAGGGATATGACAACACTTAGAATGGCATAGACAGCGAGTACTACCAAGTTGGTGGTATGAAGGTAAGAAAATGTTTCAGAATACCACATGATAACTATTTAAAAAAATATATAAATAATAAAATAAATTGCCTTCGTCAATTCGTATAAATCATTATGCAATATGCGATGGTAAATATTTTTGGTAATATATTAGTACTTGAAGTGACCTTGTTTATAATATGATGATGATTATCGAATCACCTTGAAAAGACAATTTAACGATTTCGTGTTTCATCTATTATATTAAGCTTGATCACATTTTCAAGAATTGATGTTTTTATTTAATAATTGCCCTAACAACAACTATATTAATATATGTTATTGATGAACAATAATACATAACATGGATAGAGTTATTTTATCAAATCCTCGTTTTGCTAGTACACCATAACTTAAGATAGTTATGTATTATTGTTTGACATATATGCCGTAGGCATATTATAGTCGAATCAAGCATTTTACTAAATGTCTAAGTAAATAACTAAAGAATTTAATTTTTATGCGTTTTTATTATCCGACAAAATATTTGGTTAAATTACTAATATTTAATTAAATATTTAGTTAATGTTAACTAAATGCCTATTTCAAGTCACCCAAATAAATGAAATGTAACGTTTTTATATTATTTTAAAATTTAAACTTTGTATTATTATGTATAGAAGAAAAACAAATAAAAATCAACCACAATGAATTTCATGAACGATAAACAATCGCAGCGAAAAAAATGGTAGAAACTAGTGAACAATTATTTAAAGAACTAAAAGTTGGTGATAAAATAATATTAAGTATAATATCCCAAAAGTAAACCGAAAACCTCTCAATAGTCAAAATATAAATGGGTTAGTATAATTTATAGTTAGTGGTCGACATTGGAAACTGGGTTAACCAAGTTGATACACAAAAGATCTTTAACTAATTTTAAATAGTTTCAACTAGTTTCTATGGTTTAAAACAGGGATTCTCAAACTTTTTTAAACATTAAACCCCTTTTTAGTTGGTAAACTAAAATATCTGTAAATAATTTAAAGATTTAATAAATAATGCAAAATAAAAAATAAATATACCACCACTATGGTTTTATACTATATTTATAATAGTATTTGTACTAATTATATGTATAAATATTACGGCTTATGTGAAGAGGCATGACCCATTCCCCTAATATCTACGGCAATGCATAGTTTAGTAAACAATGCTACGTATAACAGTTATATAATATTGTAATAATAACTAACAAAAACATCTAATAAATTTTATTTATATCACTTATATTAAATTAGTTTATTAATTATAACACTTGGACGTTTACCATCTTAATTAAATAATAAATTGATAAAATTAAAAGAATAATAATAATGAAATATAAATAAGTATTTTTGTAAAATGTAGAATTGTCCTATTTAGTTTTTTCCTATATTTGAATTTAAAGGTTTGTTGGCCAGATTCGTACCCCTAAAAAATATGGAGTCCCAAGGGGTACGCATACCACAGCTTAAAAACCACTGGTTTAGAAGAGAGCAGAAAACCTAAAGACAAATTTTTATCCATATTTGAAGCTAAAGCCAACTTATCAAATTTTAACGGTCAAAGTATTTATTATAACTTAATTTTTAAAATTATACAAAAAGTTTAATTTTTATTATTTTTTGGCTTGAAATAGGAATTTAACCAAATATCTAGGTGCATATAAAATAGCATGAAAATTAAATTCTTTGACTATTTGTTTAGTAAAATAGCTGATTTGACTATATTCATACAAAATACACATAAATATAGCATTTAATATGTCATTTTAACAGGTAACTCAAAAATCTACAGTAATTTATTTGATATTTTCTACAAAAAATTGTTTGGTTTTATTGATTTTTTTTTTAAAATATTTAAAACTCTATAAATACTCAATTAAAATTATAATTAATGATAAATGTATATATGTATCAATACAAGTTTTGAAAAATATATTTCTATTGTTTCATAACCCATTTTCATAATAAAAAATGGTATTAAATGTGATCCAATTGAAAAAATTTCCCTTACTTGTAAATCCAAAGACACAAATGTAAAATGTATTGTGTTTAATTTTTATTCGGTATAATATTGCCATATAATTTTATAAGATTAATGCATATCAGTATAATAAACTACTTAACAGTATTTTTATTTGAATAAATTAACGTGATATGAATACTGATCATTGCAATAAAAAAAAATAACATTTCCTTAAGGAATAAACATTATGTTTCACATAGTTAAAATGACAAGTATAAACTTGACAATGCATATTTTTATACTACATGACATTTTTAAGAAATAAAACGCAATGTTTAACAATAGTCTTGACATCGGTTGTTTTCAAATGTATTAATTATATAATATACTTATTTGTATAAAACTAATTTGAATATAATATCAGAAGATTGTCTTAAAAAATATGAGTCAGTTATTGTTTTCATAAAAATAATAATAAACTAAATATACAAATGTATCTGTACGTATAATTTAGATTTTTAATGACCTTGATTTTAATAAATTAAGATTTTCAAGGAAGCAACTTTCAAAAAAGTTTTATACGAACTAAACCTGAAATATAATACGAGTACATTAAATTAGTATCTACTATATTAGCCAAAAATTTTAATAACTCAGAAAAATTAACTAATCGCCATGTATAATTTTGACAGTCATGTTTTAGAATTACTTCTAAAATAATAATTATAATAGTAGTACAGTAAAATTATACTTCATTTTCACAAATATACATTTTATAAAAGTGGTATTTTAAATATAATTACTTATTATGAAGTATTTGTATTAGTTTATTAATACTATTTAGTAACTATATAGATTCAAATCTTTATTTTGATCAAAGAAAAAAAACTCATATATTTACTAATAATCAAATAAGTTTACCATAAATGACAGTATAAAAATGCAATGAATTGCTAAAAAATCATTAATAGGTAAGAAAAAAATTATTTTCAAATAATAATTAAAAATAAATGAAAAATATATGGAAAGAAAACGTTAAAGAAATATAATGATTAATGTTGTTGGTATGTGTAATATCTAACTATTTCCTAATCTCGTAATTTTTGTTACAAAATAATTTGGTATAAAGAAAAGCTTAAGATCTATATTTATAATATTGTGAAACCTTATTTTTACATTACGGGTGTATGATTAATAAATCTATTCTGTGTAGTAAAAATATTATATTTTTGTTAAGCAGTCAAAGTAAAGGTACTTAATTTTCATTACCTACAAAAAGTTTAAAATATAATAATTACTAGTTCAAAAATAATTTATTTTACTTTATAATTTAAGGTATTATATAAATCGCTGTTACACAAATTAAACTTAATTAAGTCTGAAATAAACAGTGTAAAAATTGAAGTAAGGCTTCAGCCTTCGGTTTACTATATGCTTTCTTCTATAAAACAGTTTTAACTGTAGAAATAACGGTTTGCATATAACATTATTTTAATTTACGGTTTTCTATTATTTATTTAATTTATAAAATATGAAGTTATTTAACTTTTTATAATTATAAAAAAAAAGAAAGTTCTTTAAACAAATCTTAAAAAATTAGATAAGTACATATATTGTTCAAAAAAACAAGGTTACTTTTTAATGAAATAATTAATTAATATATAAACTACTATAGATACTTGTATAATAATATTATATATATAAAATATATAAGAAGATTTAAGTAGTTAATTATTAAATATCGTTTTAATTACAATAAAACATTTTTAAAATTAAACGATTAATTTGTTTAAATTACTTATTCTTCTTACACTGTTTTGTAAAATATTTTATTATGTCTACAGTGATCGAATTAATACACAATTTTTTTGTGAGCTGACCATAAGTATTTGTGTTTTATTAATTAAATTAAATTATTAGTTTGAGTACAAATATTTACATATATTTTTATTTATAAATATATATATATATATATATTTATATTTATTATATATTTGTAAATTATATATTATATATACTATATTGTATATTTTACATACGTATATTAGATATTAAAATAATTAATACATGGTGTATAATTAAACGTTAAACTTATAAATTTTTTCGATTTCAATGGAAATTAATATAATTTTAACATCTCTATAATGCCTACAGCAAATTATATAAGTACTCTTATTTTACTACTGTAAAAATAAAATATGAATACCTAATCTAAATGAAAATAAAATATAATAATAAATATAAAGTATAAATAATAAATATAATATAATAAAAAATAATGAAAATCTAATGTCAAAAAACTATCGATATTTTATTGACATTAGATTTTTTAATATTTTATATAAATTTTATGTAGTATAGTAAAAATAGGAACATAATATATTATTTTCGTTAAAAAAAATTAATTATTTGTTTATAAAATTAACTGTATTTAATTAACTTATTTTATTTGTTTTAACTATGATAATACTAATATCATAATTTATGTTAATTGCTAATCTGGTTGAGAATATTGTTCGTATAATATTATAAAAATTATACTATTAGTACATTTTGAGTGAAAAATAATAAAAAAAAAAAATAATTATAAAACGGTTTTACTCACGTCAGTCAATCACTCCTTGTAGCGTGTAGTATGTGTAGTACTCGTAGATACGAAGGTATACGCGGTAACGAAGTAACAGTGCGCGTACAAGTGAAAGTAGTTGCCCACAAAGAAACATACACGTCGACGTCACTTTTTCCGTGAAGACTGAATCGTGCGGAAGGGAGAGTAGTTTGTGACGTAATGTAATAATACGTAGATGGTTTGGATAATTGAAGAAAGAATTCATTTCAAGTAAACTCTTAATAACCAATATTTACACAAAATGTTTTAAAATCAGTTATTTTTGAAGATGTTAAAAGATAAAACTAAAAACTAATCAAAAATATAACAATCAACATATTTATTTATAACATAATAGACAGTAAAAACTTAATGTTTACCTATAATAAAATTAAAATGTTGTTTTAATTATTCGATGAAAAAACAATATGCACAAATGTATATTTTAGGTGTTTTAATTAACCATGGTAAGTAATAAATATTTCATTCACTGTCGAATAATAGTTTTTATTCTTATCTATTAAACGAAAAGATTTCCACTTTAAACAAATCAAACAATAAAACTAAATGAGAAAGTATTATTATAGAGTTGTATCCTATTACATAAAAATTATTCATTATATAGTATGTAGAGTCATATTATAATAACGGATATTATAACAAGTAGGTAATATAATGTATAGTAAGTTATAAGTGAATATTACAATTTTAGGTACCTATATGAAATTTTTAGTCTCGGAATGAATTTCGAAAAAAATCCATTGAATTATTATTTATTTTGAATGCAATTGTATAGAACGATACATTTCTATTAAAAATATCACTATTAATCATATACTTTTTTTAGTATATATATTTTTTGGTATATAATTTCTTGGTAGACTTAAGACGTTACAAATTTTACATGTTTCAAAGAAATAAGTAGAATTATTTATAAGCTATTTTAAATATAATTAAGGACTCCTTTCAACAATTATGAACCGTGTAACTTTAAAAAAACCTTTGTTATTCTTCAAAATAAATGTTGATGTAAATTTTTATTATCGCTCCAATATTTTATTTAAAACAAAATAACATGCATTATGTGTTCATTAAACTTAAATATTTTTCAACTAATACTTTATATTTAAATGGATGTATATGATAGTAAAGAGTGATAATTATACTTATAATAATATATGACAATCGCCGTATTCGTATATTATAATAGATAAGTATATTTAAATTATTGTCAGCCATAAAACTGAGAAAAAAAAAATAATGTCATTAAATACATAATAAATCGTATAATAATCATCAAATACATATTGTACTTCGAACAACTCAAACATAACCTAATTCCTTATTTTATTCAGGTTGATCATTAAAATTTTATACTTTTATATTGACATATAAAAATAGTAAATATATAATACATAAACTCCATATTTGTTTTTTTAGCCTATTTGTTTTAAATGAATTATTTGAAACTAATAAATATTGATTAATAAAACCTAAATATAGATATAAATATAAGTATAATCTATTACTAATGTAGTATGATATATGTGAACTTAAATTTCAATATTCTATTCAGACCCATGCGCTGGAATCGTCCAAGGGGAAAGGAGTTGAAAATGATATACTATCTTAGGTTATGAAGTCATTAAAAAAATTCAAAAAACTTTTTTTCGAAAAATATTTTATAATACTATAATGTGATATATTCAGTTATTACCATTCAATAAATTAATTCTATGAGGTACAAAAAAAAATGTTGTATAAAAGTGCGTCTGATCGAAAAAATTGACACTGTTAAAACAAAAATAGACAACTTTGTATGAATATTCAAGTATATTTAACTCTTATAGAATAAAGACTATATTCTTAATAAGAAAGTATATAAAAAGATCCTTAATAAGGGGGGTTATAACCTCCCTACAATCCCTGCGCATAGACCTAATTATATTTAATAACAAATATATTTGTGCATTAAATAAAATATTTGCAATAATGTTATCCAAAATAACTACTTTAAATTGATATCCGATAATAAATTGTATACATAATAAATAACGTAATTTAGAAGAAGTAAACGAGGCATTATAAAATGTTTTTTAGAAATATGATTTTGCACATTTAATAATAGTATGTAAGAAATAACATTAAAATAATTTAATGAAAATATTACTATTAAGCTGTAAATCCATATGATTTATACATGTTACGCCAAATTAGTAAAATTTTCGAATTATGAACACTTCCTCTTCTGCCATTTCACTTTTTTTCTTATGTTTATATTCATTTTGGACTACACAAATTCATTATAGCCTATGGGTAAAATTAATTTATAAATGAACTATTACATTTTTATTCCCATCAAATCATATGTTTTAATGAAAATAAAATCAAACCAAATTCTTACTAATGTAGGCATTTTAAAAAAGTGATATATGAAAAATCATACAAAAATATTGAAATTTCTAATAATCGTCTCAACATTAAGCCTAACAGTACCATCGAATGTTCTTTTCGCGTTTTTAAAGTACTAGACAGTTATCAGGATTAAGATTTATACAAAAATATTGAAATTTTTATTCAAATAATCGTCTCAACATCAAACCTAACAGTACCATCGAATGTTTTTTTTACGTTTTTTAAAATACTAAACAATTTTTAGAAATAGAAATGATGGTTTTTCAAGAATAAAATCTAGAATAAATCCTTCATAAACAATATGACTATAAATAAACTTAACTTCAATGAAAAAATAATTAGACACTACTGAGCAAACATTTTTATACAAGGGCATTTTATGGTACAGAAGTGATTTTTTAATACATTTTATATACGCTGTTTTATGTTCTTACAATTGTCAAATACGTGAATTTAAAAACTTCACGAATTCGGCATAACATATAAACCATATATAACTGTTAAAAAACAATATACACGTTTTAAAAAACATTAGTAACTACACGTATTTTAGTCAACTATCTTAAAAAACCGTTCTTATAATAACACAGATCACGATCAAACTAATTTAGGTCGTACCCCGTTTCGCCGCCGATCCATTTCGCTGCATAATTTTCAAATTACTTTTGTTTTGAAACATGGATGTGAATTTGTAATTTGAAAAATGATAATTTGAAACGATTTTATATAGTACTATACTATTTGAATTAAAAGTATCAATTAATAAATCCTCGATAGTTATATAAATAAAATATAATAACTAGTGTCGTGGCAGTGATAACTGCAATGTCAACAACATAGTGGAAAGAAAATAAAAAAATTTACAATAGCTACGTTAAGTTGAAACAAAGAATTTGCTGTCTTTAGGTTAGAGATACTGATAGAGCGACCTTTCACAGATATAATAATTATTATTGATTATTTGGACAATAGTAGTTATTTAATTGAACACAATGAATAATTTAAATTAATTTAAAAACATTTTTATACAATTTTATATGGTTATTTGTTTATATGAATATGTAATTGTATATAAATATATAATACATAAATACATATTTATAGTTATGTTGTATATACATATATAAATACATATACATGTATATAGTTATATGTATAGTTAACTGGTATGTAATTCTTAGTTAACTAAGTTACTCAAAAAATAAATTTGGATAAATGGTAAGGCGGCTAAATGGGAGCTGACCCTAATTTACACTACAGTAAAAACTTAATCCCTATACCTACAGTTACATCGGTGAACATCATTTTAATATACTTCTGTGTAGGTATGAGAATCTAATAGTTTTTAATAAATATCATTCGCTTCCGTTTTCATCTGAAGTAATATAATTAGGTATGTAATACTTGCAGCCATTGCCTATGAAAAAAAGTATTAAAATAAATAAAATGAGTAATTATCACGATGAAAAAAAAAAATCTGTAACTAGCTGTTTATAATTAAAAATATTTTTCTAATCAAAATATTCAGAAAAAAAAGTAACAGTCTTGTAGTTCTAACTTTGAAAAAATTTTATTTTATTACGATTGTATAATTTTTTAAAACAATGAAGTATTTAGAGATTTGCACAAAACGCTACTTCAAACCGAAGATTGACTTTTCCTTGCTGTACACTCACTACTATACACATATACTTAAATAATCAACTGAAAATCATATGTTTTATTTAAATAAAATTGATAGTTGGTTACATTAAAAATTATTATTATGATCTGTTAGTTTAAGCGATTCAATCCTATTAATAATTTCATAAAAATAACACAAATCGTTAAGACAAACATTTTATTTGTTCTACCAAAATAACCCGAAATAAAAGACTGAAGGTATGCTTCTATTTTCTATTTTTTAGAAGCAAATAGTTTGATCAAAAGTCCAGTTTAGTTAAAGATGCAATTATAACAAGTTTAAAAAAAATATTAATAATAATTTTACATTTAATACTAAAATCTATAAAAATAGGAATGAGATAATATTTTCATAATATTCAACTTTAACTATTCAAAAGTCTTATCTACACATCTACACCATTGAATCATACATACGTAAGTATATTTATAATCAAACAGGCCTAACCCATTATAAAAATCAATGCAACTGTATCCATTAAGTACCAGTTGTGTTTTATTAACTTACGGAAGCGAAGAGTTTTGTGTTCAGAGTGAAGAGATCACATATTGTAAATTCCATTGTAGTGCTGCTTATTTGGTTCGAAAATATTTGCAGCTACAAAAGTAAATGTAATTATATAGCGTAAGATATTTTTAATTATGGCACGGTCCGATAAATTAAAAACACTCAGTAACCTCTTCCTTTGTGCTAACGTCCAAACAGTTTCTGCTTACGTGCGTGATTAAATATTTCGATCGAAGCGCCTACAGTAAAAGAAAAAAACAACAGTAATCACGAGGTTATCGGAAATAAAAATGGTCAAAATGTTTGGAAAAATAAACTCTAAAAAACTGCAATCGAGGTGATATCATTTTTGCGAGAAACCCCTATAGTTTATGGTAGACTTGAAATAATTTTATCGCATACTAAAAACGGTATTGTACGTTCGGGGCGGATATTAAACGAAATACCGTGTTAGGGTAGGCCGGGGTAAAAGCACCAGAAAGGGGAAATGGAAAAATCAAAGTTCCGCGAGCAGGGGGCGGGGGGTACGCTGGTTGCCCAAACGTTGCTCGCACCGGAACGTGCGGAAAACGCGACAACTCGCCTGATTGGTCGCGGCGTGGACCGTTATGACTATGATGAAGAATCTCAGCATGTACTGCATGAGCCACAGGTAGATGTACGCGCTCGACCGGTTGCTCCTCTGCTGGATGTACATGTTCAGCAGCTGGTAGTAGATGTCGAACAGGCCCATCACGCACAGGTTGCACAACGAGAAGCCCACGGGCACGGCGAACACGTACTGCAGCTCGTCCACGGCCTCGCGCATCAACCGGTGCCTGATCTTCAGCCGCTCGATGGCGTCCACCAGCCGCTGACCCGTGGCCCGCAAACGGTACATGTCGCCGTCGTCGCGGACCCAATAGTGACCGCGGCGGTTCGCGTGACGACGGCGAACGGGCGCCGCGACCAAACGCGACCGCCGCACGGACGGGCAACCGCGGTCCGCGGCCAGCTGGTCGCCGATGGTCTCCATGTCCCGGTTGATCCGGACGAACTTCGTGTACAGCACGTAGCACAGCAGCACGAACCGCGTCTCCATCAGGCACGTGAGCGCGTTCTGCGAGTATATGAGCCCGAAGTACACGATCACCTCGATCGGGCGCCGGTCCTCGACGAACCTGAACAGCCGCATGCCGTTCACCGGAAGTATGAGCAGCGCGCACGCGGACGCGACGGCCGCGTTGAACGTCGCGAACGCGCGGCGTTCCGCGTCCGTGGTCGGCGAGTACGCGTCGTGCAGCGCGATCCGCGCCCGGTACTCGGCCACGCCGCCGCGGTACTTGACCGACATCACCGCGTACGCCATGAAGCACGCGACGCTCACCGAACGCGAGTACACCCACGCCATCGGGTTCACGGCCATCGTGGTCCCGTAGCCGCCTTCCAGTACGCACTCGAAGTGCGGCGTCATCACGTAGTTGAAAACGCACGACACCAAGATCACCGTCTGTCCCAGGCATTTCAACGTCGACCACGTGGACGGGCATCCAAATGGCCGCCGTTGGCCGCCGTCGATGATTTTTTCCCCCATCGCTGTCGACGAACACGTGGTAACCACCCGGCTACGTACGTGTACCGATGGGTGTGCACGCTTTCGGGTGCACCGTGGTACTTGTAATACCGGTACAGCACTCTTGTTCGTTTCGTACACTATATTGGTAATACCGTGTCAAAAAGACCTGCTGCCGGCTGACGTGAAACCACTCCGAACCGTTATTATTATAACGATGTTGTTTTAGTATTTCTTCCCCCTCTCCCCCTGAGCAAAAAAACAACACGTTCTGGTGTGAAAATATTGATTACAACCACTGCATATTATAATATCAAACTAATATTGGATAAGTTAAAACAAAAATAATTGCAAGTCGTTCTTAAACATTATTTCAAGTAATATTGTTGGACAGGGGAAAAAAAAAAATCAATCATTCACGTCGTAAAATATTTTTATTTTTTTTATTAAAGTTTCTCAGGAGCCTGATACTCAAATTTTATTTTTAAGAAAAAAAACTAGAATTTTTATGAATTACTAACTAAGATGAAGTAAATGAGCCATGATTAGGAAGCTATTTTCAATTATTGCTTGATAAACAGTGGTCGTGATCGTCATACTGTTTAAACTACATGTGAACAGAATGAAGAGCGTCATAATATGAGCGTTAGGATGGCTATTTTTCGACATTGGATTTTTTCCAGTATCACCCCCTAAAAATCGTTTCCAATATACATACAAATTAAGTATACAAAATTGCATGCCGACTGATTAAGTTTAATCCATGCCCCCCAGCCCCTAAAGTTCAAAAATATGTTTCTAATCAAGTAACCATAGTTTTCTTGGACGTTTATTGATATCTCGTTGTAATTCGTTCGTGTAAAATACGTAGGTATACGACGTTACAGGTATTTATAAATTTATATGTTTCATAATCAATTATACAAAAACTGTTCTTCTTATGTGCCTTCACAACTCTATGAAAGTTTTATCTGCCACCGTCACTGATCTCCAATAATCACGATTCTGTATCCTTTCCTCCCAATCTATTACTTCCAGCCTCTCTAGATCTTGTTGCACTTTTAGATTGAAATCAATTTATATAAAGATATTCGTCCAATATGCTATCTCCCGTAAATATTTTATCTATCTTATTTTTATGAAAAATAAATATATATATTTATATATATATATAATATAACTTATTCTTATGATAGTTAAGTATATCTACCGTAAATATTGTATATACTGTATACTCATATTGTATAATATATGTGTACATATAACTTTTTTCAATTAAGATTAGGATTTTATCGAAATTCCAAATGTCAGTATATTTATACCACTTTATAATTTATCATAGGCTTCTTATGAAAAAAAAATTAGTGTGTATTTGTGAGTCGTATCAATTATATGTAATTTATTCATTTATTATAATTCATTAATTATTATTATAAGTTTTTCAACTATGAGCTATTTATATCGACACATAATTCAAATATATATATATATTCAGAAACTTCTTTCCCTCAGAACCGTTTTTCCTAGAGCAATTACTATTGCCCTTGAAAAACATTGGTTATTGGTTTTAATCATTACATTAATTTTACATAACAAAATAATAACAACTATAATATTTGCATTGATTAACAATTTTTCATTTATCCAGTAAAAATAGTGGTTTATTCCTTATTCATAAGCCAGAAATCTGCCTCAGTGGGAAAATAGTCTTGATCTTTATTTATCTTCAATAGTTAGATTTACCACTGTAAATAGTTTTTTTTCATACTTTTACATGTACTCATCTTGTTTCGAGACAGCTACGAGTAAATCATTGAAAAAAAAATTGGATTGTATTAATAGTTTACAATTAGACATTTAATATAGTATTATAAAAACCAAGGGCACCAGTAGAAATTACTAAAAATAACTATTATTATTATTTTCATTATTATTATCATTGTAATTGTAACCGCCGTGGTTTTTTTGTTTTATAGTTTACTTGTACGGTACCGTCTATTAAGGAACACGCACGCGAGTTTATTTGACTCTCGGTTTAAAAAATAACAATTAAAACAATATAATGTCGATTATAAGTTCAGAAACAAAAAAATAACCAATATTATAGTATGGTAATACTAAATTTGTATTAATTTAGTTCATAAAAAAACTGCAAATAAAATGGTAAAAAAAAACCTATTACGTATTGTATACATAAGCATTATCTCAAAGTATTTATCACTATTATAACTTAATTACAGCGAGAAATCCATCAACTAATTTGAAGTTGGTAGAACTTGCGACAAATGCTCGATTTTTTTTTACAAAAAAAATGGTATCTTACTTTAATGTCATCCAATTCCTTTTTCGTATTATTAGAAAAATCTAAGAGAATTTTCAAAAACGCTGCAGCCCGATCGATATTGTTTTTGCTTATCAAATAATACAGCGATTCGGGGATACATAGAGTGCCCAGAATATGTAATACTACCAAAATGGCACATGCAATACAAACGATGGATACGTCACGTTTGCACCCAAAGTGAAAGAACATAATATTCCGATAACAATAAAAAATTGGAATATGGTTTTCAGACGACCTATAAGAAAAAATAATTTCACATTCCAACGAAAACAAAGTAGATACAATATTAAGTGTATACCGGATATATATATAATAAATGTACAGAAAAGTAAATTTTAACAAACATAAAAATTGTATTCAAATTAGTGATTCGCTTTGATTTTTCCGTTGATTCCGGCAAGTGATAAACTGATGAAAATGTACAATCTGTAGCACATGTACAATAAGCAAATATGACGAAGGAAATATTTACACGCTATGGTACACCTTGAATAGAAATGAGAGATCAGTCTGTAATGTAATGGTCAACTCATTAATCTATCATGTGATGCTGACCATTACGTATTTTGAATCAACACACTCTATTTGCGTTCTTCAAAAAATGACTAACTTGTTATTATATAAATAACGCTACTTTTTAACACGTAGTACTATAGTATAAAATAGATACCTGAACTATCTACATAGTTAGATCTTAACAGCTACAAGCTGACACTTAAAAGTGTATACCTTTGTAACAAAGATTAACGACAGTACCGCAGTTAATTTAATAATATTACAAATCTTATTAATTTCATCTTGTCAAGTTTTTTGTTTAATTATTATACAAAATAAACTATGAGTTATAATATCTACTTACAAAGATATGTTATTTCTCGTAGTAACTATATTAGCTACTACAGTAGTAATTCACATTATTTCACTGGGGTTCGTGTACATACCGTTTGAGATGTTATTAGTATATACTACATACCAATAACAAACTATCGTTAAAATAAAACAATGCAAACAATTGCATAGAACATATTTATCAAAACACAAATGCGTGTATAATATTAACTTAATATCATTCACTAACGACTAAGCAAACAATAATTATTAATCATATCCGGATTTTATGAATTATCCAGATTATTAAATTCAATTTTGCTTTACAAAATAAACTTAATTAAGGTCATTTAGTAAAGATAAGTTAATTTAGTATTCTGTCATGATATCACTGTATGTCATAAAGATACAAAATAAACTCATCAATTTGATACATTATAAAAATGTTAGTAAAATGTAAAATATTATTAATTATAAAAATTCTTTATTTTATTTTTTAAAATAAATCGTTTTATTTAATTGTAATTAAAATTTAACAACAAATTAATATTATGTTTTATATATTATGATACAATATACTTATCATAATTTCAACTATTATTTTACGATAAATTAAAAATAATTATAATTCATATAAAAAGCAAATCCATAAATCCGGATTATCTGGATACTTCAGTGAATCTTGATAAGAATTTGACTCAAATCTAGATTTAAATATCCTGATATTCGGAAAATTAAGATCTTCAGATTTCATGTCCATCCCTAACACGTGCGATGAGTGTTTTTTTTGTCAATAATACACTCATCGTAAGTGCTTCGTTATGTATAACATGAGGGTGTCCAATATACGGACCGCGGTATATTGCAATGTGGCCTCTACTTAAATTTCATAATTTCATTACTTTTAGTAAGAAACCAATTTAAAATATAGCATTAGTTTTAATTCCTATCTTAAATTTTTCTCTTCTATAAATTATAAATGTACCTACGTATTTTTTTTAATTTCATTAGAAATAAAATATTCTATTTTCAAAACGAAATTGCATACATACATTAATGCGATTATAAATCAAACTTATAAATTATAATTACAAAAATGAATACGATATACGACAACTTTTACTCGCTTAATGTGGCCCGGTCTTCCCAAAAGGTTAAACACCCCCCCGTCAACTTTTTGTCTTTGGACATACATTGCACACGTGGTGACCTCACAACGATAACCGTACATTGTTTCGACCTAAAAGGATGAGGCGTTTCATAACCTTCGATTACCTCGGATCTCCCAATGAGCTCAGATTTATCTCTGAAATGGGACTCAGCTATTTCGCTTATGTACTATGGTATGACGACGCATAGGGTGCCCACGCCCATGCCCTACATCACCCGTTCCACGGACAGCATCCATAAGGATGTGGGCAGCACCAGCATTATCCAACCCCCCAACACGAATTCCTCAAACAGAATCATACTACCCCGACGTCCACACAGGCTGGATACGTATCCGACAGGCAACACGCCCACCAGCGCGCCAACGACCAACACCACTGAGATGAACGTCTGCATGTCCTTGCTGATCACCAGGAATGGAAACTCGTGGTCGTTTTTGAACATGTCCTGCGCTGATGATGACTATCCAAATATTGTGCCATTAACGATCGCACCTAACGTCGCTGCAATGATAATGACAACCATGGGCGCCCAGAGGGGGGGCAAGACGGGGCATTTGCCCCACCCTGGAAAAAATTAATTGAACAGTTAATAACAAAGTTTGCAATTGAACAACTGCGAAGTCTTTGGTTTTTATTTAATAATGACTAAAGTGTGTATAATTCTGACATACCTATTTTATTGTTTGCTAAAAATACATTTTTAACATACGTTTTGGTGTTAGATTTTATTATGCCCGCCCCCTGATAAATTTCCTGCGAGCGCCCATGATGACAACATTATACCATCCGAATAACAATATGAATCTGTTTCGTATACTACAATACATTTTCTATATAAGAATATGTATGTACAAACTAAAAATGATGTGTGAGAAGATTCGAAAATCATCGAGGTTCTCGCTCATAAAATATAATATTTACTTGAAGCTTAAATATTTTTAGAAGACATTCATTCATGTCCAAGATTCAAAATATCTAATTTTAAAAGCAAAAAAAATTATGTCGTGTATAGTTTCGTAGGAAAAATAATTAACTGCTTAAATGCGAGTATTTACCATTTAGCAATGGAAAATAAAGTTAATATCGGGTAAATTAAAAATGTTTTAATTAATGGATGATTTATTTGTCGATCACATAACTTAAATATTTTTAATTTTACCAAACTAAAAACTACATTACCAAGTATTAAGCAATTTAAGAATTTTAATACTCTAATATATAATTATTCAAAACTGATTTGTAAAGTATTATTATTATATTTATTTTATTTTATTTATTTATGACACTTATTTCACTATCGATCGAATAAGTTGGGTTAGATAAATGATATATACTATTATTATTTAGACGCTACTTTAGGGACTTTTAGGAAATTCTTCATTGTTTCTAAGAAATTAATGTTAAAACTTGCTTTTGTTAAGTTACAATACAAGGCATAAATAATTTAAAGTAATTATTTTCATGAGTTTCCTAAGCATACTTTATTGTTTAGTGCATATTAATTATGTCATAAAATATTATTATGTCTTACTACAAGTTACAATTAAAATTTTAGGCTAGTTACGTCAGATTATTTTCAATAGACTATAATATAACTAATTACAGTAGTTTAGTGCCTGTGTAATTAACAAGTTTGTCATATGAAAAAATATGAGTATTTTAAATCGTTACATATTATTGTTATAGATTTTCCGTGTATATATATATATATATATATTTGAATATTTGAATATTTGAATATTTGAATATTTGATAAACACATCAATTATTACTTAGTTGGATTGACAATGTCAATAAAATTATGATATTTGTTATTTTTCATTAATTGTTATAATTAATAATTTTAATAACTGATTATATTAACGAAATTAAAGTTTTTTTAAATACATTTTTGATCTGCTTAACAAATTTGAAAATAACTTTAAACAAGCTTTTTTTAGATAACTGTAATATTTTAAATTAAATGTTTTCAAATACATCATCTTATAAATGTATTGAAAATATTTTGTGAAATTCAAAAATTATTCATTATTGAGCCCATTGTTTTCATTGCAGTCATTAAAAAACAACTATTAAACATTATTGTATTATTGTGAAATAAAATTTGATTTGTAGAACACTCATCATGGGGAATCGGAAGCAATCAAGTGTTACTAGTATATGGGTAGACAATTTGTATTATTTTTTACGCGTAATGTGTTTGTGCGTTTTCCTGAAATGTAATTATTGATTATTGGTGTATTAATATACTCATATACACATTCACTAGCCAGCATAATATTACGAGGCGTGACTAATTTATTAGCCATTTGTCTTCAAATGTGCCGACCAAACTTCAAAATGTAGCAAGAAAAACTGAAATCAATTTAAATGTATCACAAAGCATACTTTAAATCAGCGATGGACAACCGGCGGCCCGCAGGCAGCATCCGGCTTACACGCCTCTTTTATACGGCATGAAATTCCAAAACCATGAAATTTCATTGTATATCATATTAATTTTTATATTATCTGGCCCGTGAACCCTTTTTAATTAGTGAAAGTGGCCAAAGGTCCAAAAAAGTTACGGACTACTGTCCTAAATCTGTTCTCATACTTAAAATTAAATTTTCTTAAATACCATACAAATAAAATTAAAAAGTTCATTACATCGATACAGTGGCGTAGCCAGGATTTTTAAATGGGGGGGGGGGGCTAACTACTTTTTTGGATAAGTAAGGTAAGAGAGGATATGAGAATTCAGCCTTACCCCCCCCCTCACCATCTACCACCAAGTTTCTAAACGTAATTCAAGCATTTTAGTATAGTTTTAAAAATATTTATTAATATATAATTTATAATAATAATAATAATAATAATTATAGTTTCAGTGTTCAGTCAATTGCTCCACTCTGACAGCTGCATCATCTTAGGCGAATTTCTGGCAAATTCAGTTATTATTTCACTTTCATCGAATTGCTCTTTTTTATTTATATTAGCCATAGCTAACCCATTCAGTCTGTTTTCCAACATGGTGCTTCTTAAAAAAATTTTTAAGCGATTAAGTGCTGAAAACGTTCTTTCCAGAGTGAAAGAGGTAACTGGTAACGTGGCGAATAATTGTAAAAATATTTTAATGTCGAAGATTGGTGTGATGAGAGAGTGAATTAAGAGCAGAATTCGGTTTTGGAATAGTATTTTGACTCCATTGTTGCCTCCATATGAACAGGTTAGCTCTGATTGTAGATGAGGTATCATCATGGAGATCTTGGACATATATTTTAGCAGTTTTTATAATATTTTTATCGTCATACATATTTAAATTGGCCGGAATAAGTCCTTCGAGTGGCATAACATCAATAAGCCTTTGATTAAAACGAGCATACATTGATTCTATTAAATAATCAAGATACATTATACATATAAACACGGCCCATGGGGGACTATAGCCCCCTTAGCCCCCCCTTGGCTACGCCACTGCATCGATAAATGTTCAAAATATTTTCTCCTAAAATTTTAGCGGTATAAGATTTAGCGGTATTTTTAAATAACTTCGTAATAAATGTAATTTTACTATTTATATCAATTTAACATGAAAAATTCGATAAGACATAATTAAACTTAAATGTATGCACATAAGTCGTAATCGTCTTCCAATACCAATATTTAACTTTTTAGTATAATAATTAATAAAAAATAACTATAAATATATATATTTTTTAAACACAATTCGCGATTATTTATGAAATAATTCTTTTTAATTTACATCACATAATATATTCATATACATATAATACCTACAAAAAGATAAATTATTTGTTTACATGATATTGATGTAGAATTTATATAAGATAAATTTAAATTAATTTTACTTTAAGAATTACTTAACCTTCGGTTTGATATAATGTGAAATTTTATTTTGATAATTTTTCTATACTTATTAACAATATTTACAATAACTTAAGAAGTAATAACACCTACCGATGGATATCGGATAAGAATAATCTGTAAAAATCTAATTATAAATCTTCATTGAGAATCCTTTATTCATCTGTAGAATTTAACTATATATTTATTATAAACTAGTAGTATATATTTTCCGATCCTGGGACAAAGGAAGTCCATTGTTATCTGGCTGGTACTACTGGTCCACCCTTCGCTGTCACCACTGGCTGATCCTAGCCACCCGATCTGCCGACGCTGCTGCTGGCTGGTTTAAATCCGAGTTGTTAAAACATATGTTGTAATTGATGAGCTACATATTTTCAAACATACTCGATCTCGTAGCAAGATATAAGAGAATAATTTTTCTGAACACTGAAAAATATAAATTATCGACAATGAGATATCGTGATGAGAATGTTTTGGTTAATAATCAAATGGATATTTTAACTATTCAGTCTCGAGACGAGCATATTTGAAAACGATAGTGTCAAAAAAATATACTCTTCCTATAGTAATTCAATACCTAGTTTAATAAAATAACAAAATGTATGAAAAAGATATTAAATCAACCCATTACCGTAGAAGATTTAAATATCATGTATTATTATCGGACCGTTCAATTGACAGGCGCGTTTCGATACGAATGATCGAATTTTCATCAATAATTTTTTAAAACAAGTGTTTTTTTAAATATGGAAATTGAAATAGATATGTTAATTAATGAAATAAAAAAAAGGCCATATTCCATATGAAACATTTTGATCAGCTTCTAAGGAGTCTTTAATTATCTCCAATAGGTCATCAAATTATTTAATGGATATTCTAAAGTAATTGAAAAATTTAGTCATGGTGCTCTCTTAGTTTAGAATATAATTTAACATAAAGACTAAAAGAAAGCCTTGTTTTTTAAATAGAATGAACCCAATATTTCCTTTCCCTCATTTGTCTGCGTCTTCTCATCCTTCGGTGGACGACCAATAAACACAGTACATCTTTCACATCAATTATTGATGACAGTCTGAACTGTACTAAACATAGATAATTATATATATAACTAAGTAAAATAGTTTTTGACTTCTTTCCGTACAACGCGCGTGTTACCGACCATGGTTCCATAGTTATCAATATTAACCTCAAATAATAAAACTCTTGTTATCAACAACATAATAGTAGATAATCCACAACAGTCACCGCATCTTCATATTTCGGTTCTCGCAGGCTCCTGGCATTTAGACCCGGTGTTTGGCATTCTTATTCTGCAAGAGTCGATCTTTTTGAATTGTCCTATAGAAAATACTGTTTTCGAGTCGAGACGATAGATAACATTATGTCGGCTCCAGCAAAGAAACGATCGATTCAGCCACGCGAGTCTAAAGAGATTGATTCCGACGATCAAGAGGACAACGTCGACCAAATGGTTGTAATATTCACTAACATATTCGTTTGAAACAATTTTTTGTTTATTTTACTTTAAAATTGAAAAATCGTGATAACTCAAGTTCCGTCAACGGTTAATCGATAATTGAGTGTTGGGTGAAACCTAGCTAACTGCTCACTTACCAGAGCACTACATTTCTATGGGACAACAGTATTTTCTAATTTTACATAATACTATTTTAATCTAATTGTAAAGAATTTTATAAGTAAACAGTTATTAAAACATTATTGAATTATAATCCCATCCAATAGAAAATACTAATTTGTGAAACAAAAATATATCACTTTAAATTTAGTTTATTAATATGCTATTAAATTTTACTGATTGTGTTTATTTTGGTATAGATAATTAATGTAGAATTTGAGGGTCGCAATCCAGAAAGTTCTGACTTCCATAGTGTTAAACAATTATTACAACAGTTGTTCTTAAAAGCTCAAGTAAATCTATCTGATATGGCTTCAGTATTGATCAATCAACGTAGCATTGGGAGTGTGATCAAGGTAAAGTAAAATAATTAATTTTGTATAGTTCAGTACTTTTTTTTGTTTCTTATTTAAATTTAAATTTAATTTTGAGAAATTTCCAACAACTGCAATAATGTATTTTTTACATTAATTTTCAAAACTAATATTTACATTTACTACTGTTATTTAGCAAGTTTTTGATGATGAAGTTGATGATGATGATGATGATGATGATGATGTGGATAGTAATCAAGTTTTTGGAATTACTTCAGTTCTTAATATGGCCGATCGGGTAATGCCTATATTTGTTTTATATATATGTATATATATATTTTGTATTTTATGTCAATAATTATATTTGATGTTTGTTATAGAACACTGATTGTGTAGAACAATTACACAAGTTGATGTTGGATTTAAGCAAACAACATGGAGAAAATAATACATCAGATTTCATTAACAACTTATTAAATGATAATCAAAAACCAGTTGGGCTGTTAATAAATGAACGATATGTCAACATACCTCCTCCAATATCTGTACCGTTATTACAGTCCATTAGGTGAGATTTATTATGTTCTACTTATTACAACAACAAAAAAAGTAATTAGGTTATTTTATAAACTTTTATTAACTCACTCTAATTAAATATTATTTGAAAACTAAAATATTCCCTGATAATTCTCCTATACATTCATTTTTAATTTCATTATAGTGATTTTAATTTCAAAATAAAATTAAACAAATTCTGATTTGAGTAATTACTATTGAATTTTAAATTGTAGATACTTACTTATATGTGATATTTTAAATCTGTACTAATAGTAATTTAAAAGAAAATAATATTCCCTTAGATCAGAAAATGAGATACTCATTACATTTTTAAGAAATATAACCATTTTAAATTTGTACTTAAAGTATAGATCAGGGATGGGAAACTCAAATTTACTAGAGGGTCAATTTTTAGAAAATTAAAATCTAGAAGGCCAGAGCATAGAAAAAAAAAGGTCATTCATAATATGAATTATAGAATTTTAATTGGGTATATGAATTTATCATGTACGGAAATAATAAATTCTACACATGACAGCACGATACGAATGATACGAAGAAACTGATATAGTTAAATAGTTCGGTACAAACAACTATAGTTGAAAGCTATACTTACATATAGCACATGTATAGCCATACATATGACATTTAGACATTTAATGATGTTCAATACGAGATAACAATTATTATATCGATATGTTAGAATATAGAGAATAAACTTTAAAATTATATGATGTAATTTTAAAATATAGCACAGGCCAGTAAAAAAGGCTCGCTGGCCACCAGTTGCCCACCCCTGGCGTAAATAACTCATGTGTGTCCTTTGCATTTAATTTAATTTTATTAGTTTAATTTATTATACCAATATATCAATCCATTTTTATAATTACTAATCGATTAATACTTATGAACAAAATAAATAAGTGTAATTTAAACTGTACAATAATTTTTTTCTTATTTGGTTTCTTCAAATTTACCTTTTTGGTATTGTTTGGTGTTGTACTCATTGAATTATATGTACTATATATGTATTATAACTAATGTAGAACATTAAATCTCTAAAATAAATTATTAACTACACAATATTTCAATGATTAAATAGTAATTTTACAAATTTGTAAATATTTTAGTAAAGAATTAACCAAAGCAAAATCTAAGAACCCATCAATTGATTTTTCTTATCTTATCATGATATGCAAACTTTATAAGATGAAACAGAGTAAGAAAGAGAATAAAAATAAACAGGGTGAACAAATAATTTGGTCAAATGCTGAGGAAGAAATTTTTGATGAAGTATGTTTATTTTATAAAATTAAATATTTGATTGTTTGAAAATATAATTGTTTACATTTCAGGAAGCAGAACTCAAGTTTGAGTTTTGTGTACAAAACGAAAAGGGTTCTGGTTTAGCTGGTAGCTGGGATGAAGGAGATTCCGAGATGATTCCCTATAGACGTGTTTTACTTTTCCCTGCACAAAAGCTTGATGTCATTATTAACAAAATACAATTATTGTTAAATAGCCAATAAATAATAAAAGTTGTTAAATACAGTAAATGTTCATTTGCTATATTAAAAATATATATTATATTTCTTATATCATGTAATTTATTTGTTTATGATGTAAAAGTGATTTTTATTTTGTGTCTTTGCAGTTAAACTGCATATTTGGGTCCATTTCACATTTACACAGACTTAGATGTTTCATTCTTAGACGGTTTTCCTATTGTTTCTACACAGCACAGTCGGTAGTTGTGTATACACTTGAGTATTTCGATGATAGTTACACCCATTGTCAGTTGTAGTTTATATAATTGTTTTCATTGTAGTCATAAATGATTAAATAATGAATAAAAATATGCGAGAAAAAACTAGGTATTGAATTAATCCTCATATTTCTAAAAAGTTTTAATGAAACATGCTGAACGGCACTAACATAACTAAAATATCAAAACCGATATTTGTAAATTTGTAATAATATCATATAATTTGTACTATGTATGTGTGTTGTTCGTTTTCGCTAATGTTGATAGCATACATGCTATTTTAAAAACGCATGAAAGCACCTTATATATTACATACAACTACGTGAAGGTACCTTATCTGTGTAGGTAATTACACCGATATGTGTGTTGCGACCCGATTTTCAAGTCGTATTAGCCGATATTGTCGTTATACAAGTAGATGGTACGGACTGAATTATATTTTTAATGTACGATTGGTTTCAAATTAAAAATTGATCAGGTATATAATAGGTTAGGTATTATAATCGCGACTTAATATGAAAAAATACATTGATGAAAATTGGTAATTTAACATAGTGCTAATTTATTATGTATATACATAAATATGTTAAGAAATATAAATATTTTGATTATTATTAGGGCTGGGATTTCAATGCCCAAAAAAAAGCTAAATTAAATTAAAAAATATTAATTCACACAAATTTCATGACAGCAAAACTCGTAGGTACCATTGATTACAGAATAGTCTATTCTATAATCAATGCTTTTACTACAAACGATATCATCAGACGTGCATTTTATCGATTTCTATTCAAATAGTCAATTGGTGATTTTAAATATATCACGTAAACTATCATAGACGCCGCCATTTGTTATCTAGGTTTTGACGTTAACTATTGTCCGATAATATAATATGAATTACGGGTACCTATCGTAGTGATGGTAACCTTTTATCCATTTTAGTAACTGTTGCTACAAAAATATAAGTAACTTTTATTTAAAAAAAAATAAAAAATACCAATGTTAGTAGGTACGCTATGTACTTATGTATGTAGGGTTGACTAAATTTATTCCGACCGAAGTATAGAAATACTGTCAATTATGATTTTTATATAATATATAAAAATATAATGATTATTATATTATAATAATTATATAAGTATTGTTAACTCATACAACAATAGTGAACACAATTATTTGGCGAGTTATGTTTTATTTTTTCTATGTTTATAGATTTTTTAACAATTTTTAAATTGAAATTATTTCCTTATTATTTTTGATTTATGATGACATTAATAAAGAGTATAAGAATTCTTTATATACCTATTTAATAACTCTTCGCCATTATTTTAAGTGAATTAACAATTTCATTCTTATATAACCTACATAAATTGGTGCTATAATACTTGATTCTAATCACCCAAATTCTCGAAAAATTACATTTTTTAATTCAATACTCTATAGACTTGAATGTATTCCATTAAATATACCTAATTATTAATATCAATTAAATATTATCTATAATTAGTATTATTTGTAATATAATATAGGTATATCTAAAGATATGAAATTAAAAATTATTGCCCTTAGTTAAAATGTTGCTAAACATGTACTAGAAAATAACCATAATATACATTTAGATAACAATACAGACTTAGAAATATTAAATACCCAAAATAAAGTTCCCATTAATTTAGTTTTAGAAAAGTTAGGCATACACAATAAAATATAGACACATTTTTTTTAAATAATATTTTAAATGTACAAACCGAATTTAAAAATTATATCTTATATCGATATATTTTAGATAATAATTACCAAAGTATTTATATTTCTTAAAATATTTATGTCTTATTAGAACTCATTTTACATAATCTTTTCTATTAAAATAAATTATCTTTATGTAAAATGACTAATTTTTCTCAATGTTTTCCTTTCTTAATTTTTTTATATTCAAATGCGATATACCTATTGACTTTGCTTATGTCTAACAATGAATTTTTAACTCTAAAACAGTCATACTTTTCAAATATATTAATACCTACTCCAGGTTGCGCTTTTATTTATTTATATATTAATTAATATTTTGTATTAACCATTAAATTACTTTCTTTTTATTATTTTTTTTTTTATATTAGGTAATTTATTACATTTCAACACCTAAACTTATTTTCAATTATTTCACTCTGTATAATATTAAACATAGATGTTTAATTTATTAGAAAAAAATTAGAAAATCTCAAATATCACAATAATTGCCAAATAGTTGATAAACATTTCACTGAAAATATACTGGGTAAAAAAAAATAATTATTCACAAATCTTATAAATAAGAATATTACAGCATTTGATTAGTCAAAATGAAAAATATAATGTATCACAGTAAAAAAGAATATAATTTGTAATACATTTGTCCAATTACTAAGTAGATCAAATTTTTGAATACCTTCTTGAATTTTGTTACCAAAAATGTATTAACATTTTGATTATAATTAAAACTTAAAACTGATATTTGTTGTAATAAAAACAAGATTAATACTCATCACTAAGCTTTTTATACTCCAGACTTAATAAGTAATTAATTTATGAATATAAGATATAGAAAAAAATTCAATAAAAACCAGTTTTATATTTACACTTAATATTGTGTTAAATATAATTTTTTTTATGGCGCATAAAAAAAAGGTTCGTTACCACTGTTTGAAGTGATCTACTAAATACTTTTCATTATACTTATATTATCATATATTTTCTTTTTATAATCAAAAGCTTTATTCATATTTTATAATTGATTGCATTCAATAATTGTCTTTTTATAATATTTCGAATGGTAGATATTGCAGGAAGCTTGTATTAATTACAATTTAAAAATCAACAACTATGTTGTTTAAATTATTAAATACACCTTATACATCATGGCACAATCAACTAGAATTTAGTCACCAAATTTTTAATTATAACTGGAAAAAGTTGTAAAAGGACATAATAAAAATGAAAATTATTTAAGTTTTCCAGACATTTATATATTATTTGGACAGTTAAGTAATCTGTTATTTTTTATTTAAAATAATACATCTTGCAAGTTTATTGGGTTTATTATACAGTTAATACTTTCATTTAAATAGTATGAAAATTAATTGTTAAAAAATTTGAAAAATATTTTTAATTATTGGTATATACTAGTGAAAATCAAATAATATGCAGGTATGATAAAAACTTGATTTAATTCTGAGTTATTTGACCATCAAATATTTAAATTTTTTTTTTTTTTTCAAAAAACTCAACCTACCAAATAGTATTATTTTAATAAGTAATACTATTGATATAACCAATAGTAAATCATATAAAAAAAGAAACCAGGGTTTAAGACTTTCAGTCAATCCCTTATAAACCAAGAAATGATTCACAAAATTCTAGGCTGTCATATTTAAAAAAGTAACCATGAAAGGCATAAAAACAAAGCTAATAAAATATTAATTAAAAAAAAAAAAAAATTAAGTTAATCACTAGCATTATGCATTTGTTAACAGGTGCATACATTTTGTTCACAAATATGTATTTTGACAGTGCTTGACTTAAGGGAGACAAACTAATTTTCAGAAATTTTAGCGTCATCCTACTATTACATTATAATTAAATGCTAAACCAGTTTTGAGGGCACTATTTTCTTTAAACATAGTCCCCCTTCTTTATTTTTGCCAAGTCAAGCACTATGTATAGATATAAATAAATAAGAAAATATTGGCAATTCAAGAGTTCCTTTCTACTTAATAAACAACAATGTAATCATTATTCAATTGAACATCAAGTACATTTATATTTTAATAAAGATACAAATGATCCAGATATAAATTAGTAAAAAAAGTTTGTTTACAAATTAATGGTACAAAATAAAAACCATTATGGAAAAAAGTTCTTAAGTATAATTAAAAGGGCACATAATTATTAATAAATTAAAATAGTATTTTCACAATACTAACTTAGTAATTAATTTAATTAAATGAGTTGCTCTATACTAAAATACTGGGCATTCAGTTGTACAAATAGGTACTTAATCTAGGCGAGAATTTAAATTTTTTTTTTTGATGCAATCTAAAATTAAGGACATGATGCACACAGAACACACAATTATTGAGATTAATCTAATCCTAATATTTATTCATCATCTTCATCTTCATTTTCTTCTTTGCTGTCTTCTTCTTCAGCAGATTCTTCCTTTTCTTTTTTGTCACTCTTCTTTGGACGACCACGTTTACCAGTCTTATTCTATAAGATATAATCATTAAAATCCAACAAAAATGAGTGTTAAATATTATTAAAATACCTTGCTCTTATCTGATTTTTTTCCACCGGAAGCAGACTTTGGAGGACGACCTCTACCTCTTTTGGCTGGGACTTCATCATCCTTCTTCAAAACATCTTTGTCTTTCTTCTCAACTTCACGTGAACGCTTTTTGGATTCTTTAACAGCATCCTTTGGTAAAACAAATTATTTGTTAAAATAAATAAGTAAGACAAAAATGTTTCTTTAAGAATCAAGAAAAATATTAAGTTTAGAATATTCAGTACATTGATAAATTTAAACTACCTCAGACTTGTCTTTTGCTGGGCGCCCACGCCTTTTCTCAACAACAGCTTCTGAATCAGACATCTAAAAAAAAAAAAAACCATTGATATAGTATGAGTTCACTATCATAAATGTAAATTAAAAGTGCTAACATTTTTATGTAATTAAAATATAATATAAATATTAATATATTATCAAAATTAAATATATTATATATTTAATTATATTTTATTAATATAATTAAATATATTATATATTTAATTATATTTTATTAATATAATTAATTAATTATATAATAACACAGTAAATTTATTTGTTATAGACTAGTGTATTTTTAATTTATATTAATACTCAAAATAATTAAATACTTATAAAATAATTTTAAAATAAATGAAAAAGTTCTATACTTTAAATCAAACCAATTTAATAAGAATGTATGTTTATCATTTTATTACATCATTAACTAAAAAGCGATAATAGCAAAATATTTTTTTTCTTTCAGAATTTATATTCTTGGTTACTAAGATATAAATGAAACTATTTGGTTTTTTTTTTTTTAAGGGAACTTAACTATATTTTACCACAATCAAAATATTGTGTTGAATAGAATTAAAATTAATTTACATTTACACCAAATACTTAGTAATTTTAAGCATATGCAAATTGTAAAAAATTGTTGCACTCCAAGAAAACTTTTTTTTTGCCCCCATAATAGCTAAGTTATGTTACTATACTATCAATTTAACCCGGCTTAAGAAATAATTTTCAGAATACATAGTTTTATAAATTATATTTAAATACACACACTTAATTTATTAATAACATTTACCCCAAATCTGATAATTGAGTTAATATAAGTATTTACAAGATTTTCATGCAAATATTTAAAAAAAAAACTATTTTTAAATTATAATTATATTATATTAAACTATTTTTTTAATAAGATGACAGAATTATTATTATTATTAGAGAAGCGTGTTTGTTATAATGATACGACTTGAATTAAAAAAATTAAAAAATATTTAAGTTAGAGAATATTAAAATCAAGGACAATTCATTTATAATAATGGAAAACAAAATTCCCAAAATTAACTACAATCTGGAGTGAGTCCTTACCAGATTTTAACCGTTAGCCCCCTCCTAGACGGATCAATTAGATTTCAAAATTCGTTTTTTTTTTTTTTTTTGTTGGTTTCTATTGTTCGCACACACGCGGAGGAGAGGGGGTGAGTGTAAACTGAAAAACCGTAAAAAATTATTAAAATTCAAGGAAAAAAAAAAATCCATGGGGGAAACAACGGAAATAGTCAACAATAATTATAAATTCAACTCCATCAAAAATCGATAATGGAGACGATGAGGTCGGATATTAAGACGCGATAAAAAAGCGGACGGCGTCTGCGTAAAGAACGGTTAATGTTCCAACGGGACGCGAATAATTAACGTTAGGTTTACGCGATATAACGAGACGGAAATCGCAGTCATAAAATAATAAAGCTACTGTGGAATAAAAATTAAAAATTATCGGCGTCGGCGGCAACAGGGATGAACCCGAACAGTTACCCGCCATTATTGGTGGTCCACGGCGGTGAGAAAATCGATGAAACCCACGGCAAGCACCCGCTAGTTTTTTTTTTTTTTTTATTATTATCATTGAAACCGGGAAAAAAAATTATTAAATACTCACTTTAGCGTGCGGGAACTTCGTCAGTTAGTACTACGGTAGTCTGCGAAAAGTTACAGCGGAAACGGCGCGACAGAAATAATAAACGAAAAAAATACAACTAAACAAAAACGGGGGAAAAGCCAAGCGCACAGCCTAACAGTCTGATGTGAAATAATAATAAATAAATTAATAAATAAAAATGCTCTCCGTTCAACGGTTCGAAAACAACATGTCGACTGTTGACAACAAAAACGCGGTGTTCCATTGGCCGGTCGACTGACGATGCCGTAACCGTTTTTCAGCTACCGTCACTACGTTCATGCCAGTAAGTAAACAGCGGCTGTCGCTGTTTGATAACGCGTGAATACTGATAATGGATGTGACGTGTCTGCGGAGGAGATTGTCTATCGTCTCGGTTTTTCCTCTTGATATTATACTGAGATACTTTTTTGTGAAGTTGACGCTGTCTGTGATTATTGAAAACGAACCGAATCGAAATAATTAGTTCACCGTTTTATCGCAAAATCGTTTGCCGCCACCCAGACACCGATGGCGTTCAAACGGGATAAGAAAGAAGAAGAAGATGGTAACTGATTTGCTTCCATTCTACGCCCAAAACACCCGATCACAAACACTACACTGTACACCTATGGTGTGTGTGTGATTTTAGTCCCTGTGCTTTATGATTAATATCGTTGCTTATTTTCTTCTGCTCCGTCTTCTTGCTCAAGTTCATCACTGTGCGATGCATCTGAGTTTTTCCACATAAACAGACTACGACGCCAGTTGCAGCAAAATCGTTCAAACCATCATCGTGTTTTTTGATATGATATCATTGTTTTTTTTTTCTATCTTGACATAATAATTTTTAACTGTACAATCTTTTTACATTAATACCTTATTGACAAAACATGTTCAAACGTAAAAGTAAATGTGTTTTTAAAGGAGGCAATCCGTATCAGAATCTTGAAAAAACCAGTGTTCTTCAAGAAGCGAGGACGTTTAATGACACTCCAGTTAATCCAAAAAAGTGCACATACATCCTTACCAAAATTCTATACATGATTAACCAAGTATGTTCTTTAATTTATTTTTCTTGGATTTGTGTTATTAAGACATTACATTTTTAAATGTAAAGGGTGAACAACTTGGAACCGCTGAAGCTACTGATACATTCTTTGCCATGACCAAACTGTTTCAATCACGAGATATTATACTTAGGAGAATGGTTTATCTGGGAATTAAGGTTACATTTTTAAATAATTATCTTCTTATTAAAGAAATTGTATAATTTATTCAAATATTTTGCAGGAATTAAGTGGAATTGCTGAAGATGTAATTATTGTTACTTCAAGCTTAACCAAAGATATGACTGGAAAAGAAGATACTTATAGAGCAGCGGCTATTCGAGCACTATGTAGTATAACAGATGTTGGTACACAGCAAAATATTTTCAAACGTTGTTATTGTACTTCAATTATATTTTTTCAATTAGGTATCTATGTTGCAAACGATAGAACGTTATATGAAACAAGCTATTGTTGATAAAAATCCTGGCATCAGTAGTGCTGCTTTAGTGAGTTGTTTACATTTGTGTAAGAGTGCATCAGCAACTGATATAGTTAAACGATCACTTAATGAAATTCAAGAAGCATTAAATTCAGACAAGTAAATTAAATTCATATGAATTTATTATATATATATGAATAATAATACTTAATTATCTTATTATAGTGTAATGGTGCAATATCATGCATTAGGACTGTTGTTTCATATAAGAAAAACAGATCGCTTAGCTGTTACAAAGTTAGTGGCTAAACTTACAAAAATAAATATGAAGTCACCTTTTGCTGTCTGTATGTTGGTGAGTATTTTTACAAATTTTTTATTTATCTATTTCACCCAAAATTTATGAACAACTTTGATTTGATTAAATAGATTAGAATGGCATGTAAACTTTTGGAAGAAGAAACTATTCCACGATCTGAATCTCCATTGTTTGAGTTTGTGGAATCTTGTATTCGTCATAAATCAGAAACTGTTGTGTACGAAGCTGCTCATGCAATTGTCCATTTAAGTGGAACTGGAGCTAGGCATTTAGCTCCTGCAGTATCTGTATTACAATTGTTCTGTTCATCATCCAAACCTACCTTACGTTTTGCTGCAGTTCGAACACTAAATAAAGTATACAAAAACATTTCTAAAAAAAAATCTTATTTAAGAATTGAATTATTAAATTTTAGGTAGCAATAGAACATCCAAGTACTGTAACTGCTTGTAACTTAGATCTTGAAAACTTAATTAGTGATTCAAATCGTTCAGTAGCTACTTTGGCTATAACAACATTATTGAAAACTGGTGCTGAAGGATCAGTTGACCGTTTAATGAAACAAATTGCAACATTTGTCAATGAAATATCAGATGAATTCAAAATTGTTGTAGTTCAGGTAACAAATATTATTTCTTTAATAATAGATTAATTATTTAATTATATAAAATACTATATGTTCAGGCGATTACAACATTGTGTTCAAAATTCCCCCGTAAGCACACTATTTTAATGAACTTTTTGTCCGGTATGCTGAGAGATGAAGGTGGACTTGAATACAAAGCTTCGATAGCTGATACACTTATATCTATAATAGAAGAAAATCCTGAAGCTAAAGAGATTGGTTGGTAGTTATTACATTTTACGTTATATAATAACAAAATATTCAATTGATAGATTATATAAAAAACCTAAGTACTAAATAGACTAGTTTATAGACAATTGATGGGTGGGCGAGGATAACGTGCTATGTAGCAATTCGTAAATTGTTCAGTAAAACTAAAAACGAAAAATGTATGTACAAATTTATTTAAATGTTATCTGGAATGCATGTAACACGTTATTACATATTAGACCATTTTTTTTTATAACTTGACCATTATTTTATTATTTTGTGAACTGTATTAATTTATGAATTAAAGTTAAACAAAATTATTTCAAATGTATATTGCACAATCGCGATTTCTGCACATCACGCGTCGTGTTAACTTCTTGTGAATAGTGAATTTTTTACACAATGATTGTGTATGATAAAAATATTTTAGTAATATTACTATTTTTATAATAGATCGATGTTGCTTCATAGCACGGGATTCCGTAAAAACATGATATCGGAAAAAAATATTACATAGCATGTTATTCCCGCCCACCTTTCAATTATTTTATACTTTGTAAATATTACGAATATATATATATATATCAGCGGTTCTTAAATTTTTTTGTCCACGGAGCCCTTATGTTTTCAAAAAAATTTACAGAGCCCTGAAAATCAGGAATTTATATTCAAGACAACAATAATTATTAATATTTCATATTGAGAAAAATACACAGTTCAAAATTTTAATTTTTTTTAAGTTCGGATTTTGTATTTTGCTGTGAATACATTGGTCATTTTATGCTGTATTGATAAATTTACTTCATTTAATTCTGTGAAAATATCATCCAAGTTATGAAGTCATAATAACCAAATTTTATCAGAAATCTTAGTTGTAAATAAAATTGGTGTCACTAAAATGTAGAAGTCGTTACACAATTCAAGTAATCATACCAGTATTTTTCCTCAATAACTAAGAAATATAATAATATTTAAATTTAGTTAATTAATATATGCCCATGGAGCCTCTAGATTTCTCCTGCGGAGCACAGTTTGAAAACCGCTGTAATATATTATTAAAAATATAAATATTAATAAATATTTATATACAGTGAAACTTCTAAATACCAGACACCTTTGGTCACTGAAATTTTGTCTGTTATTTGGAGATGTCTGGAATTTATAGGAAGAAATATAAAAATTAAAATTATAATTAAAAAATGTATTTATTTATTTAAAATTATTTATACATATACATAGTTACATAAAATATTTAATTTATTTCATTATAAAATGCATAAAACTATTTATAATTATTATTGGTTACTTTTTGAATATTTTTACATTTTTTTTTTTTTTTTTTATATGTTTTATAAATAAGATTAACATAATATGAATATACAATTATTTAATTAAAATTGATTACATGGTTTTATGAATTTTATAATTAATTGTAAAAATGTATTATTTATTAAAATTTAAATGGCTCTCTTTCAGTCGATTTTGATTTTAGAGCCATCGTTAATTGGTCAAAATGACTTAAAAAATACTGTCTATCCGATTTTGGTATTAAAAATACCGGTTGCTATTAAAAAAAAGTTGCATTGGGCATGCGCGTACCAAGATGGTTAAAAATTTTAAATTTATCTGAAAATGTGTATTTATATACCACAAACTTGTAAAAAAAATTTGATTTATTCAAACATAATCCAGCCGAAAAATTCAGTACTCCCTAAATTGGTGAACTCACAGTATATATGTATGTATATAAATAATTTTAAACAAAAATATATAAATATAAATATTTTTGTTCAGTGAAATTATTATATGTTTAAAACATTATTAATATAGAACAAAATCATTTTCTACTCAGTTGTCTATTAGTATTTATCTACAAAATACCGTTAACTTAAATTAATATTATTGTAATTTAACAGGATTAGCTCATCTTTGTGAGTTTATTGAAGATTGTGAGCATACTAGTTTAACTGTACGCATTTTACATTTATTGGGCAAAGAAGGTCCTCGTACAAAACAACCATCAAGGTATAGATTATTAATTGTATTGAATTTATTTTAAAACTAATATATGAAATGATAAATTTTAGGTATATTAGGTTCATTTACAATAGAGTAATATTAGAAGGTGCTGTTGTAAGAGCTGCGGCTGTTGGTGCCATGGCTAAATATGCTGCTAACTGTTCAATGCTTCATGATAGTATTGCAGTACTTTTGAAGAGATGTTGTTTAGATGTCGATGATGAAGTCAGAGATAGAGCAACATTTTACAGCCAACTATTAAGTTGCAATAATCCTCAGTTAATTACTGATTATTTATCAGAACCTATGCATGTAATTTATTACAAATCAAGTTATGCTAATTTTTATAACTGATCCATATACATAATATAAAAATGTTCTTTTCAGGTTTCATTACCAGTTTTGGAAAAAACGTGTCAAGATTATATTTTAAATCCCACTAAAGAACATATTAATCTAAATGAATTGCCAGTCGATACAATTGTTAAAAATGTTGGAGTTTCCAAAGAACCTACTAAAAAACATACTGTTGATAATATTATCAAACCAGGTAATATACATTTTCATTTAAGCGTTTAAATATACAATCTGGAAAAAATGTATCAAATTATCTAATATGAAAGATCCAAGTAGAAAATATAAATAAAAGTTGTTTTAAACTAGTGAAAGATTCTATGCTTATTTATAAACATTATTTATTGCTGCATGTACATTTTAACATAAATCTATGTTAAATATATGTTAGGAAATAATGATGTATTCATGATTTTCATGTATATAAATTATTTTATGTAACTAATATTGTTATAGAAAACAATTATCATATACTAAATTATTTAAAATATTGATTGAATGTAATGGTAAGAAATCAGAAATTGATGCATTTTGAATTTTTTTTTTTTTCAAACTTTTTAAGCGATGCTCTTCTGGCCACAAATGTGTTTACATTGGCATTTGAATCCGAATAACTAATTTTTATTTTATATTTTTTGGTATTTGTTACTTTAAGTTTTTTTTTTTTTACCTTTTTTAATAATTTTCCCACATATTTAGTCATTTTTACTGATTTCACACTAGTTCACTTCTTATTAATCATTATGCCGATAACTTAAGACTTGTCCAATTTTATTTCGCCAATTACATTCGTCGTTGTTGTGTTGTAGTGAATATTATTATACCTAAATTTTATTATTTTTTCATAATATTCGATTAGTATATGATTTTATCTTGTCGATTACAGTCCTCCCTTCATTGTCATGTTATAGTGAATAATTATATCTAAATTTTATTATTTTTTCGTAATATTTTCGAAATGGTAAAAATTAAAACGTCAGTTAGCACTCATCTGCGTCTCCCAATCATTCAATGGACGTGGAGAGAATTTTTTCCAAATATAAATAATTATAAACAGATAATTGTTGTTCATTTACTTTTGATAACATCAAATATCAAATCGTACAATGCAATGATTTTGATTTTTGAGTAATTTATAAGTTTTGATAAATTTATATAAAAAAATATTTGTCATTTTTTTATTTTATATTTTATGGACATTTGTCATTTTTATGTCAATATTTTAAGTAATTTGTAAGTTTTGATAAAAATTATATAGACAGTTATAGTAAAATTGAATAAAATATTTAAAAAATATATATTTTTATTAATTTAAAACAAATATTTGTAATTTTTTGGGGTCATTTTGTAAAGAAATGTTTTGTCATTTTTATATCATATTTGCATCTTTTTTAGGATATTTTTTAATGTTTTTAAGGTCATCAATTTCCGACCCCTAGTTACGATACACATTACTGGTTTTATTAAACTTATTTACAATTTTTATTTTCATTGTTTTTTTTTATTGTTGCAATGTAGTTGAACCAACTGCTGAAAATGTGGATGGTCAAAAATTACCAAGTTTAATTGGGTTAGATGCTGGTAAACTATTCTGTTCATCTGAACCTTCCATGTTAACTGAACCTGAAACAGAATATGTTGTACGTTGTATTAAACATGTATTCAATCAACATTTGATTCTACAAGTACGTCTTATTGAATTCTGTATTTTAGTAATCATTAAAATCTTGTCTTTTAAAAATTTTAGTTTGAAATAACAAATACATTAGATGACCAAATTCTAGAAGATATTTCTGTTGTACTTGATATAAGCGAAGGATTCCAATATATAGATGAGTTTAAAAGTCCTTCAATAAAATATCAAGAAACAGGAAATGTTTATGTTTTTTTAAAATTTCCAGATGATTCAGTTGATACTATAGGTAAATTCATACACATTAAGTATTTTAAAATGATGTTTAAATTATTTATATTTTATTAATTTTTGTTTTAATTAATTTCAGCAAGTTTCACTGCTAAAATGAAATTTATTGTTAAAGACTGTGATCCTATAACTGGTGAAGTACAAGATGATGGATATCAAGAAGATTATAGGGTATGTTTTATAAATAAAATAAATGTATTATTAATTACATGAAGTTTAATCAATGATTAAGTAAAAAAAAAAAGTTCTGGCGTGTATCAGTTTTTTAAGTATACTATTATATATTTTATTCGATCCTGTATTTTTTTTAAATGACAGTTAATTTTAGATTCAGCTTGACATTCAAATAATAGTCCAGTTTGATTTGATATTAAAATTATAAGTTCTTTATGTGTTTAGGTTATCAATAAAAAAAATTGGTTTGATATCATTAATTTAAATTCAACTTGTCACTAATAATTATTATTAATAGTAATATTAATGGTATTGGATTTATTTTTATTGCTTGTTTTTATTTTAATTTCAGCTAGAAGATGTAGAAATTACTTTAAAAGATCAAATGTTAAAAGTCAAAGTAGGAAATTGGGAGACTTTGTGGGAGGAGGCAAAAAGTGTTTGTTATGAAGTGCAAGAAACATTTGCATTACCTTTAACAGAAGAAGGTTTATCAGATACTGTCAGTCGAATTATATCATTCCTTGGAATGGCTGCTGCCAATAATTCTGATAATGTAAACCCATCTAATAAATCATCGCACATCGTGAATTTAGCAGGTAATTGATTTGCATAAAGGAGTTTGATTATGTACTTAAATTTCTTTTATATTTTATTAGGTATGATGCGAGGAAACTGTAAGGTTTTAGCTCAAGCAAAACTAGCTTTATCAGAAAATAGTGTTACTATTCAACTAACAGTACGTTCAACGGATGAAAGAATAGCTGAACTTGTTGTGTCTACTTTTGATTAAATTTTTATGAATAATATTATTTGGAAGCTGAATAACATTTCCATTTTATGATTTTTTTTATTTGGTATATATATATATATTGTTTTACAAATATATTAATTAATATGATATATTTATATAAATGTATACATTAATGTATATTATATAAATATTATTTGTTTAAGTCATTGATAATTATTATTTGGTTGATTACATTTTACACTTATTAAATTAATATTATTGAATTATTTATTATTTATTTTACATTACTGAATTATTGAATATATCATTACAAGTTTAAAATTATTAATACTTGATCTTGTCATACTCTACTGGATTCTACTGGACTCTATTGGAATATTATTTTTAAAGTCCACAGTTTAATATATATTCACTGATATTATAAGTTTCCATATTCTAGAAAAATGTAAATGGACAATTAGTTTTAGGAAAAATTAAAAAAAAAAAATGGGTAGCTCCCATGTATGTAAAAAAAGTACAGGTCATTTATTAGCTGAATTTGTTTTTAGCATTGAAGATTATTATATATTAATTATTTTTACCAACTACATAAAATGTAGGCCATTCTTTCTAATTTAATAAATGCCTAAATTAAAATAGTTCTTTTCAGGATATAAATATAAATTGGATGTCCCAACAAAAATATAATAAAGCAAGAATAATGAACGATGCTTTGTGTAGGCAATTCAGGTAAATGCGCTTCAAGAAAAATAATCCCTCTGCTGCGTGAGAAGTTCCCGGACAGACTAATCTCGCTGCGTGGCTAAAGCTACCCCCTCAATCTTGCGACTTGACTCCGTGTGATTTTTTTTTATAGGGATATACTAAGTCACGAGTTTACCAGAACAAAGTTTGAAATGTCTTTGAACTTAAGCAAGAAATTCGTCGTGTCCTCAAAGAACTTGATGGGACGATGTATGATCGTTTTTTACTTTTAACCTTAACTTCTGAAGATAATGATATATTTGTTGTTTTTTTTAAAAAAATTAATTTAATTTATAGCCGATTTAAATCCCGCGTTCTTTTAAAAATACCCTATAAATATTTTGGTTTTAGTGCTGTGCCGTTTGTTCGTTTAATCGTGAGACAATATCATTACACGTTGGTATGACTAAAAAAAGAAAATTGACAAAATTATAAATCAAATAAAAAGTAAATTTGATTAAAATGATCAAAAAAGGTAAAAATAAAAAACAACATATTTGGAATTCCAGTAAGTTCGTCGACTACAGATCACAATAATTTTAAAAAAATTAAATGAACAACAAATTCGACGACAAAAAAAAAAACAATGAAATTAGGTGTTTAATGCTCTGATATCGGAATACTGTATAAAAAAATAGTTTCGAACAATGTGTAGGCAAAAAATCCTAATAACTTCAAAATGTATTTTGATATATTCTGCGTGTAATTACTATTTTTCGTTTTCTTATGCGATTGAACGAAATTAATACGTTGTAGACCATAATCTGTACTACAAACGACGCTCGTCCGTGTACCTGCGCAAGTGTTTGTAGTAATACACGAGAAGGTTTGTATTTCCACGTAACCTCATTGTGCTGTCAATCAATTATTCGAAGGGCTATTGAGAATTTTTAATCTTCTTTCCAATTTGAGCGTGCTGAAACGAGCCGTACATGAGTAGCGGTACTTGACCTAGTTGTTCGCATAAGGTCGAAGAAAAAACGCGTTGACCACAACACGTGCCGAAGAGAGTGCGACGCACAACAATTACAGGTACTAATTGTGACGGCAACGCGATGATTGGTATTGTTAAATTCTCGAGTGACCCATCCGTCACATTGCAACGTACGGTGTTGACGTGCGTCATCGTTAACGGACATCACGTCCGCATTATGCGGACCGCATACAATGTTCAAATGTTATAAAAACGTACGCGCCGGCACCCCTGCGCACCGCGTATCGGATCGACGCCGTTGTCGGACGTTTCCGCGAACCTGCAGAACGACCGGGTCGGCGGTCGCGCGTTATGAACCGCGCCGATGGCGGATGCGGCGGTGGATTCGACGACGACGGGCGCGTCGACCGCGGCCGCAGGTACCGGGGCGCTGACGTGGCCCGTCACGGCGTTCTGGAACGCGTGCGGCGTGTTCCTGGCCGACCTGTCGTACAACCGGTTCAGCCCGTGGTTCTCGGCCGTGCTGCTGGCCTCCGGCGTGCTGAACATCGTCATCACGCCGTGGAGCTTGTGCGCGCTGGACGGCTGGTGCGAGGACGTCATGTCCACCACGTACCGGCAGCTGTACACCCGATTGGTGGCGTTCACCAGTCTCATGTCGCGCGCGTCCATCATGTACAAGGTGTACCGACACATGGCCGAGTACCGGTGGCGGCAGGAGGGTTACGAGCGTAAATGGCCACTGTCCGGCGTGTGCTGGCGCCAAAACCTCGCGTACGCAACGTTCGTCGTCACCACGTGTCTGATGCTCATGATACCCATCAACATGCTACGGTTGTACCTGTTCTACATGTACGAGGTGAACAATGACAACATGCTGCTGTTGTTCTTCTTCAACATGTACCTGCAGAACTGGAGCATGTGCTGCATGGAGACACACTTTGCACTGCTGTGCTTCAGGGTGTACCTGCACTTGCGGAGCATCAACGACGAGCTGCTGGCCGTCCGCACGGACATCATGGTCAGCAACAGGTATCCGGTTGCACTCCGTTCGATGCGGCCATCCGCGATGTCCCGGTGCCGGCGGTCGTGGCGTCGTCGCCGTTTCGCCGCCGACGAGGACCACTACCATCACCGCCGCCATCAGCACCACGACTACCATCACCAACACCACCGGGCAGGTGGTGACGACCACTGCGATGTTGGCGGCCGCCGTGGTGGTGAACCGGTCGCTAACAGCGTCAAACGCGGCGCGGTCGCCAACCTGTCGTTTCTGCAGGACCCTCTGGGCTGTCCGCTGGAGACCACCATCGAGATGCTCAGAGTTAGGCACGGACTGATGCGCGAGTCCATCGACTATTTGAACAACATATTCGGCTGCCAGCTCACGCTGTCACTGGTCGCCCTGTGCGTGATGATGCTGTTCGACATCTACAACGAAGCTTTCCACGCGGGTGGCAGTACGGGCGGCATCGGCTCGCCGTCCAGGTTCATATATTTCTGGGTGCTACAGTACATGTTCAGGTTCTTCGTTATCATCATGACCGCACATAGCACCACCCAAGAGGTTAGGACGGTTACGGGATCGCATTAGTTTCAATAAAAAAATTAACACACACGCACATACACGTCGCATTTTTCTTCTTTTTTTTTTTTATAAAAACGTTCGCACATTTGTATTAAGGTCCCCACACACTGCCGCGGTGACGGTGGCGATTTTTATCCAATATAAACATAATATATTTATATATTTCTTACAATAATTTTATAGTTAATTAATTAATTCTTATGTTATACAATATATTATTTGATAAATTGACGATTTATCTACATAGTACGTTAGTAGGTACTATATTAAGTACTTATACTATTATACATAATATATATATTGTATAGATTATTTTATATGAATTGTTTTCAATAAGCTAATTATTTCTATATTTTTCTATATTATCTTTTTTTGAGAGAGACATAATAATTTATTATGTTTATAACGTTTTGCTGTAATACACTGTACACTATCGTTGTACACGTTGATCACAACACTAATCACAAATCAGTTATGACTAAACACAAGCGTTTTTATTTTTAACATTTCATTGTGTTTTATAAATAATATTTAATGCACCTACAGTACCTTCATTTTAATTATATGGTGTCCACTTACAAGTATACAAAAACGAATTAGTTAATAGTTAGTTAATTAGTTAATAATGAATAAAAAATAGTAATTTTTAATTTCGTATAATTATACATATTTTCAGAATCTTAGAGTATAATATTTAATAATTCAAAATAATAATTAATAATAAAAATTTATTTGAAGTACTAATATTGATTTTGGGGGAAAAATAAGAATGTCAATTGAAAATACCGCAGCGCGGTGGCATTAAAATCTAGCATGCTGCGGTTTTTATAAAAACCGCGCGTCGAATTTTACCGCGGCCGAATTATCGCTGCAGTGTGCGGACTCCCATTATAATACGTGTGTACAAATTTAACACCACCGCCACCGCGGCAGTGTATGGGGACCATTACTAGTATATACTTCCTGATCCGCTGGAGGTTGTGACTTCTCGCGGAAAAAGTGATAATTCACAGGGTTTCATCTTAATAAACGGATGACCATTGATTAGTACCAGATCACTCGGAAAAAATAATGTATTTGTAATATTATCTATACCGGTTGTTCCTGTGCGAAAGTATAAGTTATTTATTTCATTTATTTCTGGTAACACCTCAGCTCATTTTTATAATGGTGTCGAATTGCAGTAATTTTTGGTTTTTTTTTAAATACAACAAATGTATTAAACGTAGATATATTTCCAAAGAATTGCACAGATTTTTCGGATTATAAGTTATTAATTAGTAAATTTTTCAATTTAAATTTAATTTGTGCAGTATGTGTTAGCCATAATTTATCTTGGTTGGATGATATGGTGAAAAATATGCAACTTAATTCGTGATTACAGATTTATGTAAATATTTTCAGGGTTATAAAAGTAAGACACTTGTGACAGAAATAAATAACCGGTATCTGAACAGCAACACAAAATATGAGGTTTGTTTGGTATTGGGTTAACTTTAAAGTTAAATCATAATATTTCTAAAACGAGATAATTTATATCAATGCATATTTTATTTTACAGTTACAGCTGTTTTTGAAGCAAATGAATCATCACTCCATTGACATAACTGCGTGTGACTGTTTTACATTAAACAGTCACCTCGTAGCTTCGGTAAGTTAAAATATCAAATAGTACGCATTTATTAGTATATATATTTAAAAACATTTTTCGTCCAATGATTTTTTTTTATAGAAATAAAATATTTATTATTTATTAATTGTTTATTTTATAGAATAAAATATTAAAAAAAAAAGTTTCGCTTTAATCGTATATGATTTATTTTTATTTTTTTGTTTATTGATCTTGAAATTGTAGTCATTTTTGCTTCGAATATTTGGCCACTAGCATTACATTTGTAAAAAAAAAAAAAAAAAACAGATAAAATAATAGAGTTTAAATTAATTATTTAGTTGAATGTATACATTAAAATTGTTGGCCATATTAGGTACTTATTTAGTGGTATTTTAATTAATTTAAAAAATAGTATTGTGTTTTTTTTTTGTTTATATTTGGGCCTAGTATTGTTCCAATAATTAGCTTATTTTGAGTTCTTCTTTGTATTTCGTACATTCTGCATTCCTCGAAGATGCGCTTGATTATGAGCATCGTCCCTCATGATTAGCAAATATATTTTTATAAAATAGATAAAAAATATTGTATTCTGAGCTAATAAAAAAATTCACAAAAATATTTTTTTTTCTAATATCAAACTTTTAATAACTAATTTTTCGCTAAATGTCCTGAAATATTTAAATTACATTAAAATATTTCTTTGAATTAAAAAACAAAAGTAATATTTTAATATGGTCATTTATATGATTTTTTCCATGATATTTTGAAAATAACAAAATGCCGAAAAAAACTAGGAACTCATTTTAAATGATTTTCAGTAATCGTTTACAATACTATGAAATGGTTAAGCTTTTGGGGGTTGATATTTAATATTTTGTCTTTCAGATAAATTGCGTTTATAAATTATTCAAATGCACCTTAAAGAACAATTAAAAATATATTACTCGATATCAATCTTGATAGTTAACTTGCTGGATTATTCATTAAAATCGATAAATTAAATGTCTTCTCATGTGTAATCAATATATTAGTGTCGGCATATTTATATATTTATAATTAAAATAATTATTCTTTAACAAAATTTGTCTTATTCTAGGCCATCGCTGTTGGAACCACATATCTCTTTGTTTTAATACAATTTCATGAAGATATCTCCTAATCCGCAGGAAATAAAAAGTTACCAATAATGTTTAATACACATTGTTTGTGATAAGCTAAGCTTGTGATAAGCTTATTTGTAACAAACATAATGCATTGAAGTCTTGGGATAACTATATGGACTTTTAATTATCCTATTAATAAAGTACTTTTCAACTCTGCATGCATTAAAGCTTCTACTGCATTATCATTGGTGAAAAATTGTTGTTAATCGAGTAAATGTACTGCTAGTTGTAATAAAGTATGATTGAACAATAATCATACTTTTAATACATATTAAATGATAATATTCTATAAGTTGCTTCACATGATCCAACGTATCTAGTATTTAATAAGTTGAGACTTTATTATAATTTACTGAATTTTGGTCGACAATAACCTGGAGATTAGTACAGACATGACCTTTATATATATATATATATATATATATATATTTATGTAAATAATTAATTCTGTGGACAATTGTAACGTAAACATTAATATAGGCTACATAAATACTTTAATAAAAAGGGATTATACGTCACAACATATCTATTATAAATATCAATACATTTTCTGTTAATCGTTTTACTTATTCTTAGGCCATTACTCTTCTCATATATATAGAATATCCATTGTAATTTTTGTAGCACTTGAAAACGATTTAGGGAATTATTTTTTATACTAGTAATTTCTCCATGCATACACTATAAATTTAGATTTCAACAATATCCATGTATCATATGATTTTTCACTTAATTACACAATGTACTATTATAATTTGAATCAAGAATTTATGTGAACCCAACTCTATCAATATCCTGAACATCTCTAAACTTATAATATCCTGAAGGGCTACCAATAAATGAACGTGAGATAATTCTCTTTTTTAAAATGTTATTGTTTATATGTAAGTTTTTACTTCACCAAATATTTATTTTGTTCTTATTATTTTTAATAAGTGTTCAATTTTTGCATGAAATACATGAACAACAATGTCGGGTCTGTTATTTGCAGTTATTTATAAGTGAATGATGTGCATAAGGGATAGCTAAATGTATAAAAGAAAGATAAATTCAAGGTGATACAAAGGTTACCGAGTCAAATATACATATGAAAAGCTATATAATATAAAAGAAATAGAATAAACCCTGAAAACTGAGTACTAAGAACTACTTAAGATAATTTCATTACAAGTAAAAATGTTTGATGCCCATCAAAGTGACCACAGATCAATTTTTAATATAATAAGTATCTAGTGTTACGCGAAAATGGTAACGTTCGAAAATGTTCACTGCCGAAGCGGAAAATTCGAAACGCCATATAAAATGTTTTCACATAAAAAAATGTGGCGAATTTTTGTGATTTAAAAAAAAAAAATTATTCAACACTCGTATTTTTTTTCAATACTAAGTTACATATATGTGTGGGCCTAAAGAACATTAAATTAAATTTTCAGAATATTTTATCAAACCCAATTTATTTTATCAACATTTTCAAATAAAAACTAAGAAAACATGAAAGTTATTAAAGTCTATTATTATATTTTTTTTTTTTTTTTTTTTTTTTTTTTTAATAACGATAGAAAAAATTAGATTTCATCGGAAACTGTTATACCATGAATAATGCTTTTTTTTTTAACTTTTCTTCAGTTATTCTCAATTATTTAGAAAATATTAGTAAATATATTATATGACCCCTTTCAAAGAACTAACTAAAATTTTCTAACTAGACAACTTTTTCTATCAAAAATTTCTTATGATTGTGATAGTAGAAACAATCCTTTTGGTCGAAATTGTGCAGGTACATAAATATAAGTAAATTTAAAAAAATAAAAAAAACACATAATTTTAAAATTATACATTTTTTATTTCACTTAGAATCTGAAAATGAAAAGACAACAAATAAAATTGTATACCAAGAAAATTAAGGCATCAAACTCAATATATATGTATGAAATAGCTAAATTATCCTTCTAAACCTGAGAGATATTTTACTTTTTTAAATCAGAGCAATTATTATTTTAATTTATAAAAAAATTAGGTTGAAAAAGCGCACAATCTTCATATATTCTAATGATATTTATTTTTGTTTATTAATAATGTATTAACTATTAAGTTACATATACACCAATTAATGGTTATTAAAATCAATATTTAAAAAAAATAAAATATTTCCAGAATAACCAAAAAATAAAATTATGTAAACATTCAGTTCAAAGCTTAAAACTATTTCCACACTCAAAAATGCAATTTTCGAAATTTTCAAAGAACACCTATACATTCTCTTAAAATTTCAAATACCATATTGTTATGGTAGTTTTAGCTGTTGACTGATCAGTTGGTGAGTGGATGGTATTTTAATCTTGTACATATAAATCGATTTTGTGCACTTCAAAACCTGTGGAAAACTTGAAAAAATATGTTGTTAATAATTATTTTTTAAATAATGTTCAACTCTGTATATAAATTATAAAACATATTTTTGTTTCTTAAATACATGTTTTTTGTTATTTTATCTTTAGTAAATATTTTTCTTAAAGTAATATAATATTTAAAAGGGTAACACTAGTTATGTTATCATGATATGATACGTCAATAAAATCTTTGTTTATGTTTTTTTATTACACCATTACTTTTTCATATCTCATGTATTTTCTTTTTAATCGAAAAATATTAATGTGTTTTATTGTATTTTAAAACCAGGAACAGATAACTACAGTAATCCTTAAAAACGTTTAATAATGTTTCATCAAATACCGAAATGGGTAGTTTTTTTCTGGAAAATTTTTAGTATTATGGGTATTGATCACAATAAATGGCAAGTAATTTACTCTACGCTGTTGATAATATCTTGTATTTTGAATTTTTATTACACGCCTGAAATTATATGCGTACTGGACAAATATTGTGATAACTCAGTATCCACATTAATAAAAGGAATGTTTGTTAGAATAGTGGCTATCACCGGTTTTTTTTCAAGAGTCGTTCTTCTTTTCAAGGGTAAAATCAATTTAGTAAAGTACAAGGAAAACATGGATGCTTTTCATGCATTTACACCGATGACTTCCTCTGATATTGACGGTTTGAACAGATTTTCGTGTAGAGTTATACTGTGCTGTATATTACTAACTGTACCAGTTAATTTTGCAAGACTATGGATCTTATGGGATTTAATTCAAAATACAGTTGTATTTGTGGCTTTATCTTACATTCAAAACTTCAGTATGTACTGCATAGAAACTCATTTTATAGTCTTGTGTTTTATTCTATATCAAAAGTTTGCCGGCATCAATAAAGATCTATTGACACTTAAAATCAATACAGTTATGCGAAACAAATATCCGTTTATGTCAAAAACGGGAGAAAAGTATTTAAAGAATAAAAGTACAATTTACTGTAACAAAGAAATTGAATACTCTTTGGCCGCCGGTTATCCAATGTCTGACATTATTGAAAATCTTAAGATCAAACATAAATTATGTTGTGAAGCCATAATATATTTAAATAACTTATTTGGAATTCAACTGGGATTATCTTTATGTGCATTATGTTTATACACCATGTTTGACTTGTATTATCATTTGGTTGGTATATTGGATCACTCTAATTCGAATAATCTAATCTATGGTTGGATTTTACAATACTCCGTAAGATTTGCAACTGTTACAGTCTTCCCACACGCAACAACGAAACAGGTAAATAAATATTATAAATTTAACTTGTGTTATTTTTAAAATTATTTTATAGATTTAAGAACCCAATGAAAGAAATTATTAATTAAGTATGAGAAAATATATCATATACCTATTCACAAAAATATTTCATAAGACAATATGTACATGAACCACGTATCTATCATATTCAAATAAATAGGGATTTACAAATAAATAAATAATCGATCACATGATACAATTAGTCTTGATGTTTTATTTAACTTGGAGTTCGAACAAATGAAAAACAATGTCTATGCTTTGTATACTACTAGAAGGTCTACATATTTTTATACTTGTATTATTTAAATCAGTGGTCTTTACTAGGATTTTAGAAAGGGCCAAATGTAATTTTTGAAAATTACTTGAGAGCCGCATACATTTTTAATAATAATAACCGTAACATTAATTGTTTTTCAGAAAAAATTCCTTTTTTTTTAATTCAACTAACTCTCTACTAATTCAAACTCTCTTATATTAGATGTGTGGGAATAATTTTTAGAAAATTCAATATGGTGAGTTGTGTAATAACGATTAATATCATAACGTTTTGAAATATTAATGGTTTTACGAAAAATTAAACATAATGCATCGTGTTTCTTACCAAAAATACAGAAAAATTCAACCTCCCAATTGTCTTGAAATATTCTGCGTTCATCTTCGATTTTATATTTCGCCATGATAGAGAATAAAACTTTACGTGATAAAATACAAACGGACAATAATCGATAATGGATAAATTGTTCATACAAGACTACGCGGTGGAATGAATAAACTCATAATTGTAGGTACCTGCTTAGGGTGCGTTACGATTGCGTACATTCTACATACCAATATTTAGTGCAATGTTGCCGTTGTTCAAAATCGTGAAAAATTGTAATATAATTATTAGGAAATTATTTTAGGAAACGATTGCTTATATTTTATAAGACTTTTATAAACAATATATACAATATAAACAATATAATTTATAAATTTTTATATAAAAATTATATATAAACAAATTGTATATTTCTAACTAATATATGGGCTGAAGAACCTTCAATAAATAAAAGGTATCATAGTTTTATAAATTATAAAAAAAATTTGGAAGTATTCTTGTACAATATAACTTTAAAGTTTATGTTCTGATACATAAAAATAAAGTGTCATAAAATATTTAGATCATTATTAATTCCGTAATTTTTACATATTTTAATGTCAGAACAACAAATGATCCAGAGAGTTTTCACAGAACTTTTAACGCTCAATTCTATACCGCACATCCACCAATATACTTTGTGCTTGAGGCATTGAAAGAAATGCAGGCTGAAATCAATATAAAAATATCCACTATACAAAAAAATATATCCAAAGGTATTCTATCCAAAGATATGCAAAAAATTAACCATGTAATAAAACTATTTCAACTAATTTAAAATAGATGGTAATGTATTCAATTTTTTATCAGGGACTGGTTATCGGTACCAAGGTTTTAATTTATAACTTATAATGTGTATTTTTATTGTACTTTTTATATCTAAATATCTTATATTGTTTTCAATTGACTATAATATTACAATAATGATTTTTTTAAATTATATTATTATTATTTTTAATTAAATTTAATTTAATAGTACATGTTGGCAACGTTGCACTCATTTTCGTACGTAATCTTATATCACCGCCTGCTTATTTGTCCAACTAGTAATTCAATACAAGTTTAAAGTAGAAAGATAAAATAAATAAAAATAATAAGATAAAAAGCAACGTTAATTTTATTCTCTGTGTATAGAATTTTGGATTTTAGAATGTACAATTTAATTTTAGTGCAGTTCGCACTAAATTTGTTAAAGGGCCGTGTAGTGAGAACCGCTGATTTAAATTTTATTTTATTCATAATAACTCTAGAATAGGCATTTTTATATATTAATAACAGTTAAATATTTGTCTTCTATATCATTGTATAATATTTCTGTAAATATTTGTTGAACAAACTTTCAGTAACGAATTAGAATTTTTAAATGAAGGGATAATAAGAAATTTTATAAAACATTTCACATTCTTGTCATTTTTATGATTATAATTTTTCTATAAAAAATACTGTTATAGTATTATTATATTTTTATGTTTCACGTAGTTAATAAAATATAAAATTATATTTTTTATATGTTGTCCCTAAATTACATACTCAGAGGAAGGATGTCACACTCTCATATGTTGTCTTCATTTTACAAACGTAAAACATAGCAAATTGAGCTCAGTAATTACTAAAATATGTTGTTAGCTTTAATAAACAAGAAAAAACTTGTAAGAACTATTCGATCAAGGTTATCAAACATTATTTATGTTTATATAAAAGAAAACCAAGTACAATCGGTCAATATAATTTTGAGGGTGTAAAAAAGTTCGTGTATCTTGGATCCTACCTTAATAACAGTAACAGCATGTAGGAAAAGAATAAAAGAAGAATTATGGCTGCAACTGAGCATACTTTATGAATATTAAACTTCTCAAATCAAAACTTCTGTCGAAAACTACTAAGATGATATATAAAACACTTATTTAACCTGTAGTCTGCTATGAAGTTGAAACTTGGACATTGTCAAAATCAGATTCCAACAGGTTAAAGATATTCGAAAGAAAAATAATAATAAAAATACATGGAACAGTGAATGAAGAGGGAAAATGGAGGATACAGAGCAACAATGAAATAAAGCGGATTTTTGAAGACGAAAATATAGTAAAATTTATAAAATCAGGCAGGATCAGATGGTTGGGTCATGTGGAAAGAATAGACGAGGAAAAAATACCTAAACGCATAATGTTGTCAAGAATGGAAGGAACTAGAAGACAAGGACGACCAAGGAGTAGATGGATAGACAAAGTAAAGAAAAACCTACAACAGATGGGTATAAGGAACTGGAGAAGTATTGCTTAAGATAGGGATGAGTGGAGAGTAAATGTTTTGAAAGCCAAGGGCCACTTTGGCCTGTAGCACTTATGAGTTGTAGTAGTAATATTTATGTTTATATGTCAGTTTCTTTCGTTATTTTAATTTTTAAATATGTAAATTATGTAAAATATTAAAATTTAAAAAACTCGTTGCTCGCTTGAAAATTAAAATATTATAAATATAGTTTATAATTTATTCTTTAGGGTTGACAGTAGGTTAGTTTCTTTTCATAAATAATACAAAATGGATCTAATCAAAGCAGATTATCTATGCCATACGTTTGTAATACGTAGATAACAAATTGTAACAAAACTTGAAGTCGATATACGTTCTCTTAATTTTGCTAACTTTATATAATAAAAATGTTTAAAATTTTAATAATTTATAATAAAAAATGTTCATCTCACAACATAATAAGAAGGAGATATATAAGAATCGTACAGGTATGTATGATTATACATTTACAATAAAAATTATTCGTTACCGAGTTCACAAAGACTCACAACATTCAGATAATAGTTAGGGCTACTCACAATGATGTTATGTCTGTGGACGTACTAGGAGATTTACACAATTACCAACGTGTTACTCACAGTATGCTACGCTAATATACAGCGCACCCTATGGTAACGTCGAAAGACTTTCTAGTACGCACTGACACACAGTATGTAGGGAAATAACAGCACTGCAGACCACGGCAATGCTCCGTTGAATGTCGTACAATACCGATAGGAAAATTACGTCAGGAAACTGCTACTCCGGGTATGGATGTCGAGCGGGCATTCCTCCTGGTGGTGGCTCGTACAAACTCGGACGGCGACGGCTCACTTAACCAGTAGTGGCGCGGTTCCTTAACTCCTCGGATACTACTGAAGCGGACGTTGATTCGTACGGCGACTATTGAGCAGCAGGGGAAAATGATTTGATGACTGTACATTAGATTATACGTGTAATATGGGTTACGTAAACCAACCATATTCGTATATTCAGCAGATAATTCAAACAGTTATTGGGGGAAGTTGATCACTGATTTGTTTTGGTGATCTTATATACAGAATTGATCTATGCTCAGGTACTATAAAAAAAAAAAAAAAATAGTAAGTACCTGAGCATAGTATTATCCGTAAATATTATACAGTACGGTAGGAATAACATGCGGGTCGTAAACCACGATGACCGCCACGCTATCTTGACAATCTTCAAATCATAACTGTCAGATTACACGGGTGAATTGTTTACCGTGATCTCTATTGATAACAACAGATTATACGACAATCTCAATCGCGTACATCATTAGTGCTCCGTAACGTCGAGACGCACACACGCGGCGTATGCATGAGACTATGCTGTCTCCTTACGAAATATGGGATGGTTAAGCTTTAAAATATATGTAACATATAAAAAATTTTTATATTTATGTTATAATAATTTTAAATGTATGCGACGACCAAATTTTATCCATTTACCTACCAGGATTACACCATTAGTAGTTAATTATTGTAAATAAAATAAACTTCCTCTTATATTTTACTATATAATTATTATATATGTTTGTTGTAGGCCCTTAAATCAAAGATGCTTTTAACGGATATTAACAACCGTTATTTAGATAATGCTACAAAAGAAGAAGTAAATATGTTTATTATTAGAAATAAAGTTATATTTTTAAAATAATTAAAATTTTTTTTTTTACATCTTATAGTTACAAATGTTTCTGAATCAAATTTCCAGTTGTACGATTAAATTTACTGCTTGCGATTTCTTTACTTTAAACAATCACATGATTACTTCTGTAAGTTTATTTAACCTGTAAATTTATATTTAAAAATATTCTTGAAGAAAAAGTTTTTATGCAACTATATAATATATATATATATATATATTGATATTTAAGTTTTTTTTATTACTTTCAGGCAATTGCTGCCGGAACAACATATCTCATAATTTTATTACAGTTCAATACATAACCAGTAGATAAGTAATAAAAAGTAACTAATAGGAGGACCTTTCCTAAGTAAGTCTTCTAATTATTTAAAAACTACTATTGATTTTAGTTTTAACATAAAACTACATAATTATTTTCATGTTTTGCAATTAATAAATTATTTAGTTTAATTTAACTAGGATTCATTCACATTAAATACATTTTTGAATCCTTTAACTTAAAAACTTAAAAATATAATAGTTACATATTAAATTATAAGTTTGTGTGAATTTGCTATATTTGGATTAACTGTCAATATTGTAAGATACTAATATATGTACTAAAATTGTATGTTTTCATTATTAAGGGTAGGCACTCATACATGATTAACTGTTATATAATGTTACACTTTATACTTATTTCAATAAAAAAAATGTCATAAAAATAATGTTTTGATAAATAACAAATATATAAATGTAATTAATTATGTAGCGATGGGCAATGAGTGAATGGTACCCGATGTTAACTGTTAAGAAAATTGTGAATGTTCAATTTTTTTTGGGTGTAATTCATCGTAGAAGCTGTGCCTTCCTCAGTATAAATCATCCGAGATAACGACTGAAAGAATAATTTGTTATGTATTTTAATACTTAGGTAAATATTAAATGAAGCCATGCTTATTATGTTTTGCTGTGCCGTTTACTAAATTTAAAGAAATACTTATATCTTTACTATAATGTTCAATTTATTTTGGATCATTATTTTATTTTTATTTTTTATTCGTTTTATCTAGAAAAGTCTGACAGTTCAAGTTTTCAGTTATAAATGCTATTTATTGAAGTGCATTTGGATTAAACAAAATTTTTTGTTTATCATTTTCTAGTACGCACACAAATAAATCAGGTTTTCTGATGGGTGAGCAAGTCACATATGTAAGAAGCATGCATTTTCAAAATGTAGACAAAATTTGTTGTAATTATCCTTGTGCTTTATTGATGATCATTGCATAAGTGAGTCGCATCGGAAACTACAAGTTAGTTTGTATTTGAACGGCATATCTGTTGAAATCATCAGGATGCGTAGCTATTAGACAACTTCACCTTTAAGTTATCCGTTGAAAATTATAGCTTCGATAATGTCGTATATCAACTTTTTCACTAAAAGCCTAGTACCATTGCAGTGGTGGTGGATTAATAGTTCATAAAAAATTATGGGCACGCAAACTTTCAATGTTTGAACGTGCGGTGGTAATCAACAAAACAGACCTAAGACAGAACCTAACCTAACCCTCTTAGAGGGGCGCAAAATTACTAAATACGACACTGACTACAATGTATTAAACGATAGCACTTAGGAGTTTAAAAAATAGATAAAAACCTATTCGCAGACCTACAAAATTTCATTAAAATCGGTTAAGTCGTTTCGGAGGAGTATGGTTACAAACACTGTGACACGAGATTTATATATATATATATATATATATATATATATAGATATATTCGTTTATATATTTTATAAATTATTCTGTAAGACGTAATATAAAAAAAAAAACGATTTATAAATACAACAAACGTAATAGAAGAATATAAAAATAAAAATTTTTTAAGAATGACGTTTGTATGCAACAATTATTTGAAATAATAAATAATTAAAAGAATTATATGAAATATTTGACTTTATATATATACAAAATTAATTATAAAATTCAATTGAAGTTCAAAAATATGAATCCGAAACAGTCATACAATTTTTTGGGGGGTCAATAAGAACCACTTCTCCGTGGTGACCCCTGGGTAACTCTAAATGGTTCTCTAACTATAATTTAGAGAGTTGTGTAGAAATATATTTGGCAGAAACGACTGATGCCATAATATAATGATAAATTATTTTATTTAAAAAAATTAATTCTATGTTTTTAGTATTCATCTTATTTTTTCTTTTAATCATAACGAAAACACTCATATCTGATATAAATAATCGATATTTAGACAACGATGCAAAGGAAAAGGTAAAATTAATAATACCTCACTAAAAAGTAAAATAATTGATCTATCTACATAATATATTTTTTTTTTCATACCAGCTTAATTTATTTTTCAATCAAATATTTTGACGTTCAGTGGAATTTACTACCTATGATATTTTTACATTAAATGCTCACTTGATTACTTCTGTAAGTATAAAAAAATTATAAATGTTATACAGATAATTTAAATAATAACGTACTGATGTTATATGAAAAATTAATTAAATTCTGAGGTTTTTTTTTCTAGGCTATCGTTACGGGAACAGCATATATTTTTATGTTGTTACAATTCCATTAAACAAAATAACATTAATTATTCAGTTTAATTGTGTTGATGTCAAGGTACATGATGAACAAATAATGGTTATTAACAATGTTTTGTTAATGATTATTAACAAAAATTCTTTGAGAGTTAAATTTCAATTCATCTATAGTTGATAAAGTTCATTGTATTTACACAATTAAATAAAAAATAAAACTAATACATTTTAATTATCATATTTATTAAAATATATAACGTAATTATTCCGAAAAAAAAATAATTTGTAAAAATAAATCAGTTATGAGTATTTACATTGTTTCTGGTCAAGCATATTTCAAGAATATATAATTGACTGTATATGAAATTAAGATTAAAAATGTATATGATTATTTAATTTGATTTAAAACGAGAGGATTCTAATAAAAAGCTTAAAAAATATAAAAATCACTTTAGATTATAAAATCATAACTAAAAATGTAATATTTTAAATTAAATTTGTACTTATGAAAATATTTATGAAAAACCTAATAATACATCTAAGTATATGTAATATTAATGGTTGGAAATTATGGTCGCTAAAAATGTTTCAACTTATATACTTTTAAAACTTATAGTAAAAAAAGTTAAAAGTTACTCAGGGTTCTGAAATAACAGCGTTAGAGAACATGAAATTAAAAATGTACGTTATAATAATGATAAACAAAATGTTATTTGCGTACGTCTTACCATAACATCTATAACCACGTTAATCTAAACCAAACAATACACTTTATGCAATTCTATGAAATTATTCAAAAGCAGTTGCGTATAGTTCTGAAAAAGCTGTATAATGTTTCATTCATTTTTAAAGTGGCCAATTCTGTTTTGGAACATAACCAGCATTAATTCTAACGATACATATTACAACAAGTGGCAAGTAATTTATTCAATTTTACTTATGACATCATGTATTTATAATTTCTATATTACACCTAAAACTGTATGTGTGTTAGAAGGGAATTGCGATCATTCTTTATCCACAGAAATAAAAGGGATCTTTATCAGAATAGTTGCTATATCTTGTTTGATATCAAGATTGATGATATTTATAAAAGGTAAAACCCAACTAATACAGTATGAAAAATATGTTGAAAAAATGCACGTAATAACGCCAATGACTAATTCTGAAATTCAAATTTTGAAAAAAATATCAACACTTCTCATTATATGTTGTATATTACTAACAATACCACCCAATAGCCTAAGAGTATGGGATCTGTCTTTTAGGTCAGATTTTACAATGTTTGTATACATTTTCATGTATATTCAGAACTTAAGTATGTACTTTGTAGAAACTCATTTCGTCACATTGTGTTTCATTCTCTATCAAAAATTGGTTGGCATTAACAAAGATTTAATGGCACTTAAAATTGACACGGTTATACGAAACAATTATCCGTTCATGACACAAACTCAAGAAAAGTACGGTAAAATAAACAACACTTTGGATTACAATAAAGACATTTTGCATTCGCTGGCTACTGGTCATCCAATGACTGACATTGTCGAGCAATTGAAATCAAAACACAAATTAGTGCGTGATGCAGTTAGAACTCTTAACGATTTGTTCGGTGTCCACATGGGATTATCCATATGTGTGTTATGCCTATGCACCATGTTCGATATTTATTATTTTATTATAGGAATACTGTCTTTATCCAATTATAAAAGAATATTCTATCTCTGGATCTTACAATACACCGTTCGATTTGGATCTATTACGATTATATCACACTTAACAACGAAACAGGTAATTTAAATACTTTTTAAACATTAAAAATAGTATTTTATAGTATTTTATAGTATTATTTGATTAAAAACAATAATTTATCAATGAATCTGTTTATAATGTCACATAAAAATCATTACTAGTTCAAATTCTGTCATAAAGAAAAATCTCCATCATACAATTACATTCATATTATAATGGTTCAAATATAATAAAATATGGTTTTTTCAATATATATAATTGAATTATTTTGATTAGGTATTACAACTTTGCAAGAATGTTCGGCTCATGGTTGATTTATATTACGACCGATAACAACGAGGTGTTTTCGAAATCCTCATGCATTCTCCCTCATTGAACCATTGTGTCTTTCCTCCTTACACCCTAATTATAATCTTAAATATTAAGTAAATAAATATTATTTCCAATTGAAAGTTATACAATAACTTCTGGTCAAACAAATCTTATTAACAATAACTTCTGGTCAAACAAGTCTTATTAAAAGATAAAAGTACTTCCCCGTCATCTATCTCTCTCTCTCGCCACTTAATTCTATCTTTTAAGTATTAATTTCTATGGTAAAATAACTCCAATTATCAAACGAGAAAAGATTTTTAAAAAAATATAATCTCACAAGTAAATTTATTTATTATAGGTAGCGATTTTAAATGTTTGTTGCAGGCAAACAAATCTAAAATACTCATTACGGATATAAACAATCGGTATTTAGATTATAATATAAAAGATGAGGTAAAAAAATCAAAAATATCTTTATCCTGTAAAATCTTCATTTATTATTGAATATACATCTATTTGATTTTATAGTTACTACTATTCTTTGATCAAATGTGCAATAGTGAATTTGAATTTACAGCTTGTGATTTCTTCAGTTTAAATAGTCGTCTAATAACATCTGTAAGTTCCTATTATAAATTATATAATTTTAAAGTATAGAATTATTTAAAATTATCATAAAACAATTATTATAATAGGTTTGAAAACCTATACAAATAATATATATAAATATAGATTGTAGAAATTCGATTAACCGTTACTGCCGGGACCAGAACTATATAGTATAATATGATTGTTAATCGTAAAAGCGATTAACAAAAATTTTACAATAAACGTATATATTTTACGTGCGTATTATCAAAAAAAAATAATGCACATATATGCTACATATTACATACCATTACATACCATACTAAACACTACTAAAATAAAACTAAAAATTGTAAGAAAATATTATTTTATTTTATTTTTTGTCTCTCGAGTTCTTTTAGCTGCAATATTTCATATTTTATGTAGTCGTAAGACCAGGTTACTCGTCAGTCACTTATAATTTAAATTAAAAATAATTCATTTTGTTCGTTCACGTTACGTTTTTCGCATATGTTGGATATTAAAAAAAATTTGTATACACTTGATAATCGTCACAACGAATTTATCGCGATTGTCTCATTAATAATAGCGATGACGGATAACAGAGAGCGACGGTTAATCGAGTTTCTACTGTACATCAAAATGTTTAAAACAATAATTAAAATCATTACCACCAATAAAATATACTTTGATAAGTTTCAATTAATTTAATCTGAACAATTAAATCTAGGTTCCATAAAATATCAGTTTAGAGTTCATATTTGTTTGATACCCATAATTATTTATCTTGATTTCTAAAGAAACTGTAAATTAGAAAATTAGGTTGATTTAAAATGACTGCATGCTTACAATTAAAAATAGAGGAATTTTATATAGATCTTTGGAGTAATATTCTTCGTGAAATATAAATAGCTTATATCTTACAATTAATAAATAAAATGTATATTTATATAAATATTTATTTTATAATTTTACTATTAATAATTTGTTTACTAATTTGTATTTATTTTTATTTTTTGTAGACAGTTGCAGCAGGCACTTCATACCTTATTATACTATTACAACTTCATTACATAAAACAATAATTGTTAAAAATTTCTTTTGCGTACACCATTTAAATTGTAGAACTATCACTAGTACATAAGAATTATAATATAAGTATTTATATAATTTATTGTTATAATCAGTATACTTATTGATGCCTTATAAATAAAATGTGATAGATTAATAGTTTTTAGACAAAAATTATAATTTATAATAAAAACTAACTATAATAACATTACGAAATAATGACATCACATATAATTGAAATGTATGCCAGTAAAAGAATAAAAACAGTTGTTCAAGTGAAGTTATTTTTTAATTTTATAAACGTATATAGACTAATTAAAAAACTTCAATAAATGTTATTTACAATATATTATAATATATAAGTATTTTATGTTAGATTCCTCATTCGTTCAGAATTATTTCTAAAATCATTGGTTTTACGTTTATAAAAACAATCACCCGTTTCTGAAACAATTTTTTGGTAAAAATAAATATAAATAAATATAAAATCACAAATTTTTATTCATTATATAACTTTTAGTTTTATAGAATATAATATAAAATGAATGTCCTATAATTCTGTCAAAGATGGTATGTTATTATAATTATTATTGATAAAAAATTATTTACTTATTTGTTTTATATTTTCAATGCATAAAATGATAGACAGTTGAAGTTAACTTATCGATCCATAACATTATTGTTTTTTTTATATATTTTTACCCTTAATTTATTAAAAGCATATTTGTTTAAATCAAGCACATAATATTTTTTTTCTTTAAAATTATTTTATTGTTTATTTTTTATGAAAAAGTTGCTCTATATCTCATTTAATTCCCAAGAGGTGTAATGTATTTTGGAATATGACTAGTGTTACTTCTATCGATTCATACTACAAAAAATGGCATGTCATAATTTCTGTAGGTACTATTAGTTATATCGTGTTTTTTCAATATTTATATCACACCTAAAACTATATGTGAACTAGAAGGTTAATCTGCGATGATTTTTTATCTACTGAAATGAAAGGACTGTTTCCGAGAACAGAAGCTGTTAGTTGTTTGATATAAAAAATAATGGCTATGCAAAAAGGAAAAACTGAATTGGTGAAGTACTAAAAAAAAAAGTTGAACATTTTCACATAATGACATCAGTGACTCATTGGAAAATAAAAATCTTAAAAAATATTATTTGCACTCATAACAAGTTCTTTATTACTAAATGTACCCTCTAATTATGTCAGAATTTTGGTTGTATCTTTTAAATCAGAATCATCAGTTCTAGCACATGCTTTTAAGTATATTCATAACTTTAGTATGTATTGTGTAGAAACACATTTTACCATGTTGGGTTTTATTCTCTATCAAAAATTCGTAGATATCAACAGAGATTTAATGGCACTTAAAATAGATACGGTTGTACGAAACAAATACCCGTTTATAATATAATCACAAGAAAATTACGGCAAAAACAGCAACAATTGTAACTACAACAGAGAAATTTTACCATTCATATTCTGTCTGCTGGTCATCCAAGATTGACTTCGTCGAACAATTAAAATCGAAACACAAATTAGTTCGTAAAGCAACTAAAAATCTTAACGAGTTGTTCGGAATTCAACTAGGATTATCGATATGTTCATTATACTTGTTTACCATGTATGACCTGTATTACATTTTTTTGGAATAATGTTTATTTCCAGCTATAGAAGTATAATATACGGTTCGATATTACAATACATGGTTCAAATTGGCTCTGTCACAATTATTGCCCACTTAAAATCAAAAGAGATGATTTAAAGTATACATTTTATGATGTAAATAATACCATATCATACATTATATTTAATGAAAAAGGAAGATTTCTCATTCATTTTTCCAAATTAAATCTCAATATTCACACTAATATTATTATTTCACCTGACAGATATTAAGTAAAAATAATTAAATATTTGCTCATTGAATTTTTCTTCTAACATTCATATAAGTTACATTAATTTAATCACTATCTACATAAAATTCCCATCAGATGATAAAATTATTTATACAATGTAAAATGTTCATAACTTACACTTTTACTTTGTCAATATTTGATTCAATATTTTAACTGATATGCGCATAACTATTGGTCATTGATAATTTGAGATATGTCTCCCCCTACACGAAGAAGTCATGAACTTACATAGAGTAACCGTAACATACCTTATACTAAATATTAAATAAAAGTTGTTAATAATTAATATATTATAATCTTTCGTTTATATTCTTAATTCTTCTAAAAAAAAAAAATACAAATTTATTTTTAAGATCCTTAATATCCAATAAAGTACATATACATCCTTCCCAAACACAAGTTGTATTGTTTATTAATATTATTTAAAAAAATTGTTATAAGCAATGAAATATAAGATTCTCATTACGAATATAAACAATCATTTATTTACAAAAATAGAGGTTAATTTGTTTAAAAATTAAAAATATTACACAATTTAATAAAATTTCTTTTTAATTTTAGTTACAGTTGTTCTTTAGTTAAATTTCTAACTGTGTAGTTGAATTTACTGCTTGTGAGTTCTTCACTTTAAATACTCATCTTATTACACCTGTAAGTTATACATAAATAGTATAACTATAAAATTATATTTTCATATTTTAAAGAGGTTGAAACTTAATAAACTTAATAACGCTCAATTTTTTTCATTAATATGTAATAAAAATATATATGAAGAAATGTGTAGAACAATATCAACACATTTGGTCAAACCAAAATTCCTTTATTATTTTTCGTAAAATAACTTCTATAAAAGTAACAATTAAAACTATTTCTTAACTTTTATTTTTTATTTGGTGAAAATAAAAGCAACATTCTGATCAAAATTATTCACTCAGGTACAAAAAAAACAAATCATTATAAATTAAATAAATTCCTCGTTTTAATTTTCATCGGAATAAAAATAATATTAGTTATTTTTTTTTTAATAGATTTTGTGTTACATATAATCTCGACAGTTAGGGAAATATTAATTAGTAATACATAACGTATTCTAAAGTTTATCATAAAAAAAAATTGTATTTATTTTATAAATATTTGAAAATATCATTTTTAAACATTTAAATATTCTATACATTATTTTGAATAATGAAATCTAAATTATTAAGTCTGAAACTATTATTTACACTGTTATTTAGTCTTTTATATTATTTAATTAACTTAATTAATTTTATTTTAATCAATTATTTCTGAATTGGTTCATTTTACAATAAACTATTTTTATTAGTTGCAGACTGTTACTGCACGTTCGACACATATCATAATATTATTGCAATTTAATTTTATTCAATATTCTTCTACCTAACATCATGTAGTAAAATACTAGAAATTATTTTAAAGAGTACCTTTCGAAGAAAAAACAAAGTCTACTAATGAATAATGAATTAATAAGTGATTCCTATAAACAAGCGATACTTCACATTTTTAATGGTTAAAAATTCAAGCTATAGCTGTTTATTCAATTATTAGACTATAATAAGTCAGTTTTCTATATTTCATATCGAAGATATTATTCTTTTACTCTACGCGTTTACCTAGACTATTATTTTAGAAATTATGTTTATATTAGTTTTCAATAAAATGCGAAACAATATTGGAATATTTTTTTCTTTAATATTATTACTTTCTGGTGTTTATTGTTATGTAAAATCTCCAGAAGTCATGAAAGCATTACATAATTGTGAGTCTTCAAAGTCTAATCTTGTTATGATGGCTATGGTTCCTCGAATTATAACTATTGCTAGTGCATTATCTAAAATCATGAATATGTATACAAATATAAGTGCGTATTTTAAGTACAAGAAAAAAGTCAAAGAGTACGAAGCTAATTTTCCAGTTGAGTCAAAAAAAAAAAAAAAGGGAAATTTTTTTATTATTTTTATCATATTAATTTTTGTACTCGTAATATTTTCATTTAATTCATACAAAATTGTTTTGCTTCATTATTATTGCCGAGATAATACAATGATTTTATTTTTTGTAATATTTTATGTACAAAATTTCAGTATGTGTATGACAGAAATAGAATTTATTGCACATTGTTTCGGGTTATATCAAAAATTTCAATCAATTAATGAAGAAATGTATATTTTGAAGTCAAAAACGATTTCCACAAATCGATATCCGCTAGTATTAATATGGAATAAACATAATAATAATCAAGTAGGAGCCGATTCCATTTTTTATTCTCCGAAAATCAAAAAATACCCGGCGGACAATAGTATTGATGTACTCAAAATGAGACACCAGTTTATATCTGACTTAGTCAGCGACCTGAATGAATTATATAATTTCCAACTGGGATTATCTCTATCTGTTTTATTTATCATGTCATTGTTAGATATTTATGACACCGTATCCAAAGAAAATACGACTACAAAAACATATTTACTTTTCTACGGATGGATGGCACAGTATTTACTAAGATTTTCTTTCATTGTTCTTACAACACAAGCCACTTCTAAACAGGTACAATGATTGACTAATAAAAATTATTCTTAAAAATTATAATTTAATAAGCTATAAACATGTTTAGTACTGTAGATGGTGTTTAAAATACGAAAATAAGAATAATAAAATAATTATAATTGAATTTTCAAAAATCTTTAAACATACTTTTGTAGAATATTTGATATTCATCAGTGAAATATTTTTATTTTTAGGCTAACAAATCAAAAACACTATTAACTGATATAGATAATAGATATTTAAATAATAATACAAAAGAAGAGGTAATTATAATAATACTATACAGATTGACTTAAATAAATATTTGTACTATTTTTTTGTTTTCAGCTACGATTGTTTCTTAGTCAAGTATCAAGTCATCCGGTGGAGTTTACAACTTTTGATTTTTTCACGCTGGATGCGCACCTTATTACTTCTGTAAGTTAATGATACACTATTTTTTTTTTTTTTATAAATTTCATGCTAAATAATTTATTATTATTCCATTGTGAAATTTTACAATTCAATGTTCAATTTAATAATAAGTTTATTATGTGACACTAAACTATGTATATAATAAAGCTTAAACAATTTGTGTGTTTCTAAATCAGTTTATAAGTACTTTTATTATTTTTTTTTTTTTTTTTTAAACAGTGTATTTAAATTTATCAATTTATTTTCATAACAACTAAATTTTTAATTACATTTATATCACTTTTATTTTCAGGCTATAATTGCAGGAACAACCTATCTCGTTATTTTGTTACAGTTCCGTTGAATCAAGAAAAAGGCGAATAACACAAATATTAAACGTTATGAATAAAAATAAATAATTATTTACATTTAACTCTTAAATGTATAACCTAAACTATTTATGTAAATAAATTGAATTAATAATAATTAGTTCACTTGATGGCTATTAATTTTAACCATGAAATGTAAATACAAAAATATGTTTAAAAAAAGATCAAATACTTTTAATATTACCTTTTATAATATAATTTCATATATATAATTGTATACATACAGACATGAATTAAATAATTTATAGTATTAATACTATAATCAAATAATACGTAATATATTTTTTTTACTAGTGGCTAAAATAATTTGAAATAAAATACTATTGTCTATAATACATTATATTATGTTTAATTTTTAATGTTTAATTTTAATTATGTTTAATTGTGTAATATATAATAAACTTTGTTCAGGCCCATGTCGATGGGGGTGTGAATAGTACGTATGCACCAGACGCAATGACCACTGGGGCCCCAAAATTTTTTATTATTTTTATAATTAATTAAATAACATTAATAACATAAACGAATGTTGACTTGAACGAGTTGTATGAATTATTCTAAACCTATCTATGATAGTGTTCACATCAAATATCAAGAACGCAAAAATTATATAGTTGCCTCATTATATTTTATTTTTCAAAATCAATTATTTAAATATAAGTTAATTTTTGTGCAATAGAATAAATTTGATTTTTAAATAAATTATGTGATTTGATAACTTAAGTTAAAGCTTATAAATGTAAGAGGTGTCACAAATGTGTGATTTCCTCCTCATGTTTCCATTCATGGTCAACTGTCGTAAATTATTTATATTACTTATTGTACATACTGTATAGATCGTAATTTTTCAAATAATGTCAAATTATTTAAAAAAAAAAATAAATAAATAAATTATGTGGGTTTAGTATGATAGGTTATTATCTACATGTTTTGTTCTACCTAAACAGTTTAAGTTATATTACTTATATTGTTCTTTAGCTGTTGATTATTCTTATATTAATTTAATTAATACAAAATAAGTACTGTAGTTAAAATAAAAACTATAATAAAAATCCAAGATGATAGTAGATAGATGTAATACTAAACCAGTAGTAATTAAAATTATATAATAAATATTTAATACATAAGATAATTAGAATAAACAAATTTATGTAGATGGCCCCCCCCAAAAAAATCCGAAGCCTTAAATAGGAGAATTAAAAAACGAAAATTATAAGATAAGGATAATTTGTCTAGGCAAATTAATATATTTTTGTCGAAATCAGTTAAAGGTAATAATTACTCTATTATTACAAATTCTTTAACTTACCCGTGTACTAGTAAAACAGAATTATTTAGTGATTTACCAGATATTAATTCTCTAGACTATGTGAAGATCATGTAGATTTTTCCATTCATTTAAAAAATGATTTGTCCAAATAAACATCAACAAATCAAGATAATAATTCGGAATTCATCAATTCAATATCTTTCTTGTCCTCGTACAAAGAAAATTTTCAAAAGATTGGTTTTTAAATAGTCCCAAATGATAATAAAATTGAACGTAATTGGTTAATGTATAGTGATGATATAAAACCCATATATTGTTTTAATGTCTGATATTTCCTTTATGAAAAATAAGTAAGGCATTTATGATAGAACCAAAAAAAGGATTTAATGATTGGAGAAAATTTAATCCGAAAATTCCTGATTATGAAAACACATTTGAACATAAATCTAACGTATTTGCATGGAAAAGTTTTGAAAAACGTTTAAGAGGGGAAAACATTGGATAAAAAATTGCAAAAAGAATTTTTAAATTAAAAAAAAGATGGAAGAAAATTTTCAAAATCATCTATGGTTGGGTTTGTTTTTGTTTCTACTTTGTTATTGATTAATCTGTAGTAACATTTATATAAAATAAAACATAGTAATTAAATAGTAATTAAAAACAATTTTATTTGGATATCCGGTAACCAAGTAGTTTTGAAAGCCAAAAATGTTCTGCCTAGAAAGAAACTGAGACCAAATTGTATTGTTCTTCGAAAAATTAGAGGCTCAATATAGAGCAGTCGATAAATCTGTAAACCTTATGAGTTGTGATTGCTTTCTTACTAACGATAAAAATTTAAGCAATCTGTTTAAGTGATGATAAATGGAGATTATCTTGTGCAAATATTTTACCACTGATGATTGTATACGTAGTTATTCTGAATTTCAGTTATGATCAGCATAGCCAATATCTCTTAAGCTCCTCGCTTATTCTTACCATTTACGTTAATATGTTAGCATTGATAATCGATAGTCGATAGTTACAGTCACAATAATTTCTAAATAAAATCATAATGTGTTTGCTATAGTAAATAGTATTACACCGGAACAATGACCGTACATAACGTTCGGCTTGTCAAAACACCACGTATCGGGATTTTTAAACTTTATATGACCGTCGTATTTATTTTTGTTTTAAATTTCAACTACAGCAATGATATAAAGTTAAAAATTAAATAGCCCCTTTAAAAAAAAATATATATAAATATTATGACATCACATTGTTTAGATGAGTATTTCACTTCTTATGTCGGTTTATCATGAATACTATGCATTTATTCCCCTCACTGTTGTATATTGCAACGACATTCGACAATGAAATATCATATTGATAATAATACCAATTATTTATACTCAGTGTCAAGTTTACTCCTTTGCCTTTGATGTCATATTCAATTCGACTTTTAAGTATATTAGCTCAAATAAAAATTGGTATTTTATTTAATGCTAACAGCTATTAGGGCCTTGTTTTCATTATGGAGTTTGATTGTTTGAATGACTATAATTTTTACACAAATGAGTGGATAAATTTGATCAACACTGATGACTCTTAAGTTTCAGTGAAACTATTTCACCGTACATATGCATCTATAATTGTATGTATCAGTATTAAATCTAAACCTATTGAATTTTATTTAATAATTATAAAAATAAAATATTTAACACAAAGGTATTACAAGGTATTTAAAGATGTTAGCAAGTTAACAAAAATGTTATTTTGTATTTTATAGCAATGCTCTTTATATGCATCATATTGGATGAAACTAAATTGCTATGTACAAGTGTATTATATTATTACAAATAACATATTATATAATGGTTTTAAACAGGAACCTAAGTTATAAGAAGGCTTTTAAAGTATCATATTAAATATTTAAAAACAATTTCAAGAGCTAGAAGTTGACTTTTTCAAGTACCTATGTAAAAGATGGATATAATGATCACTTATTGTAATTATGAGTAAACAAATTGATCTTTCCATTTTAGTGTAATTCGATCAATTTTTACGTAGTATTAAAACTAACCATATAATTATTTAAATTCCATTTTTTCTGGTTTACATTACAATATTTTGAAATATTATAAAACATAATTTCGTAAAATGTATAAGTTCTATTTAAATAAGCTAAAAATTTTCGTAGAAATAATGTATTCTGTATTATTGGTGATTTCGTGTGTCTATACGTATTTAAAAGCTCCCGTTGTTATTTACTTACTTTCTTCAGGCTCTAATTCAGCGGTATTAGATATATTATCTATGTTTTCACGATCTGTTGCAATAGTATGTCTCATATCTAGGATTACAATTTTATATAAAAGCACAAGTGATTTTTTTGTGTACAAGAAAAAAATCGAATATTATGAATTATATTATCCAATGGAATTGCTGAAAAAAAAAATTCAACGTATCTTCAATACAAGTATTTTGTTGGCATACATAGCTATTATATTCCCTTTAAATATATATAGAATTTATTTAATTTATCATAACTATCGGAATATGATATTGGTGCTGTTTTATATGATGATGTACTTGCAGAACATCAGTATTTGTTGGACAGAAATATGCTTTATTGTAAATTGTATGGGGTTATACCTGAAATTTCAAACAATCAATTACGAAATGGCTGAGTTAAAGGCAGAAAGTATAAAAGCAAATAAATTTCCGGTCGTGTTACAAACCGAAAGACGTAGCAATCGTTTAACTGATCCGGGATCTACTGATGGGTTTATTTCGTCGAATTCCAGTGTTCATCATTTGGCTAACTCTATTGAACAACTCAGAATGAGACATCAGTTCGTCAGATGTGCTGTTATTGAACTTAGTAATTTATATAGCATTCAAATAGTATTGTCCGTATGCGTCTTATTTGTAATGACATTATTCGATATCTATGCACAAGTGACCAATAAGGACAAAATAACCAAAACACAAATACTCTTCTACGGATGGCTGTTTCAATACTCATTCAGATTTTGTATAATAATTCTGACCACACACGTAACCACCAAACAGGTACCTATATATAGTCTTATATAGTTGTCTAATATTAAGTTCAAATTAGATATGTCTAACTTGCATTCAAAGTTAGTCAATTTTTCAATTTATTTTTATAAAATTGTGTATAATACGGTTTACCTAATACTGATTTAAATGGTGAATGTAGCAGCCGTAAAACGGTTTTGTTATTTATTTTTCTAATGAATATTTGAATAATTGAATACTTAAGATATATTAAATGCTTAGTTCAATATGTATTTTACATTTATAATTTTTTATTTGATAACAGGCAAATAAACCAAAAGTGATAATAACTGACATAAATAATCGTTACATAGATAATAACTCAAAAGAAGAAGTAAGTATAAATTGATACTCCTAATTATTATATTAAGTTATAAATTATGTAAAAATGTTCTAGCTACAGTTATTTTTAAACCAATTGTCTGGTCGTTCAGTTGAATTTACTCCTTGTGATTTTTTTACTCTAAATACTCATCTTATTACTTCTGTAAGTTAATATTAATATATATGAATACTTTTTAATTTTTAAATACAATTTATAATATAATTTTTGTTGATTGCTTGTATTTGTATTATATTATAATTTAAATAATTAAAGGACTACAACTATATAATGATAAGATATAAGTACTTAATATTAATTATACATTTTAAGTATTTTTAAGTATTTTTTTTATGGGATTAGACATATATTTTATTCTAGTTTATGTAGATTGGCAATACTTTTCAATATACTCGTATTATATTATCTTTTATTTTATTGCTACCAAAAATGGCAAATAATTAATCGATTTATGCTAAATTCAAATTTTTCAAAACACCTCCAGACATTATAAATTTAGTTTTAAGTAAATTGTATATTTATTATGTATTTTTAAATATGGGAATTTAAAAAAAATTAACTATACATAACTAAAATAACTAAAAACACATTATAATTTTTTTTTCTACTATACTTATCTACTCATTTTTTATTTTTCAGGCAATTGTTGCAGGAACAACTTATTTAATTATTTTATTACATATATCTACAAATAAGGAAAAAATCACATAATTATCATTAATAATGATATGACAAATTAAGTGGTAGAATAAATAATTATATTTATGTGCTCATATAAATTAAACAAGGTATGTAAACATTTTAAATAAAAATAAATAATAATTTTACTGTTGGTATAAAAATATAAATGTTTGTACAAAAAAATATAATAAATTGTATTGAGTATCTAAGAGTTTGTTTTTATGACAATTAACATTTATTGTCTTTTTATAGGTATTATGTACATCACTGTTATACTAATAAGTATAGCAACTATCAAAAAGAAATATATGTTTCTGGGAATCAGTCATTTCAAAGTAGATTATATGACAATTAAAATTAATTATAATTAAAAAATTACAATATTTAAACATGTTATATCAAAGTGTGAATGGAGTATACACTTGTAGAAACCTATCTAGAATTTCCGAATCAAAATGATTATACGCATTTTCAAGCTTTTTATTAGTTTTACGAAGGTTATTAGATAAATTTTTAGGTCTTACAGACGAAACCCTTTTACCTTGATTCCGAAAATTTTGTAAATTCTTATTACGATTATATTTTTTTTCAATTTTAGTGTCGTTATTTGAACATATTCCATTATTAATTATTTGTATTATATGTATAGGAACCATCTGTTTATTATCTTCTTCGTTTGCATGAAAAGTCTTTAAAGTAACTAAATCACAAAGTTTTCCAGTTTTATCAGAATTGCTGCCGTCGTTTTTTATTGATGTTTGTGATGCACTCAGTTGTGAATCCATATCTGAAGAATGATTTATAGCTAAAGAATTTTCATTATCTCTATTAAGCAGATGAAAATTGCCAGTTAATAAATTTGTTAACGATATTGTCATGTGCTGTCCATTTGATTTCTTAATCGGTATAAGAATATCAGAAATATACTCAGAGCCATTATTATTATCATAATCGGTATAACCTAAAAGTGGTATTTTAAATATACTATTATTCACTTTCAATTGAAGAAGTTTTTCAAATCTACTCTGATTAAAATATTTTCTATCGAGAATCTTTATATCGTATTTTATAAAATCCGAAGTACTTATATTATCTTCATTCAAATCATAACTAGATAAATTTGACTCTGGTAAATATTGTTGTTTTTCAATGTTTATTTCTTCGCCGTTGTTCTTCGTCCACATAGAATAATCATCATTCTCAGGTCGAATGATTGGTACTGACTGTAAAAAATTAAAATCTGGTGTATTATGGAATTTGTTTCCATACAAAGGTTGCTGACTTGGATGTTGGAAAAATAATCTAGAATTTCGGTTTGACAATTTAGGCTTTTCCGTTGCTTCATTAAATATTATTGGCTTCAAATCATCATATTTATAAGGTGCATGTTCATGATCAAAATGATCTCCTGTTGGGGGTACTTTTAGAAGTTTAGCTTGTGGTAATTTATTCAAATTAGATTCATATTTCAATTTTTTTAAGTTTGGACTTGATCCATTTTTTTTAGTAAAAACTAACGAGTCTGTTGTTTTATCATCGTTTAAAGTATTTTTATTTCTTAAAACTAACCCTGATTTATCGAAGATATCATATTTTTCTATCGGTAATTTTTGGTTTGAAATTGAAGACACTAAAATATCTGTTATATTCCTATCATTTAGAGAGTTTTTTAATTTACGTTTTGATATTATATTATTATTTTTTTTTTGTGATGTTATGCTTAAAGGATTTAATGTTTGAATAAGCTGAATAGGCTTAGATTTGTTTAATTGTAAAGCAGTTTTATTTACAATAATACGTTTTTCATCTGTTGGATCATTTTCAATAATTCTCGATGTATTTTTTGGTCCTGTATATATTTTAGTGTTATCAATTTTTTTTACTAAACCTAATTGGGAATTTCGAGAATTTACTGTTTTTTTCATATTATCGATATTCTCTTTGATAGTTTTATCCATGTAAGATCCTGTAATGAGTTTTCTTGTATTATTTTCAGTAATATTAACGTCATTATAATCCAATCCAATATTTGATTTTTTTGACATAGTTTTAAATAAAGGCTTAGTTATACTTTGCATTGATACAGGTGATACAATCATAGAATTTTTTTTTTTGTCCACCGGTATAGAAAAAGCATTATATCTACCATAGTTTCTTTCTGTGTGTATTTTTGAACTAATTGGAGCATCAAATTTAAATTTTGTTACAACGTTTTTTAAAGATATATCTGCATTATTTTTATCAAGATTTTCGCTTTTTCTTGATTTTTTTTCTATACTTTGTGGTAAAATTTGACTAGAAATTTTATTTTGTGGTCGGTCTAATATCTTGGAAGTACTATTCGTCATATCTGTATTTGTGTTAGTTTTGTTTTTATTATTAAATGTTTCAAAACTATTTTTCATGTCAGTCTGAGGTTTTCTTAAAACATTTTGTTTAAGTTGTATAATATAATTTCTAGGATACTTCTGAGATAAAATCTTGTGAATGGATGGTATTCTTTTATTTTTTATTTCATCGACATTATAGGTTTTTTCATTGTTATTTATTTTTTTTTGGTCCTCAAATTTCAAATCGGAATTTTCAGATAAAATATTTTGTAAGTTTGTATTTACTTTATGACCCCTTTTAATCTGTGAATTGTTATCTTTAACAGTGAGCACTGACTTTTGAATTTTTTTATTTTTCGGTACATCAACTTTAATGCTCGCAATAAAAGGTATTTGATTTTTTTCAAATAAATTAAAATTCAGTCCATTTTTATTTTTTATTAAAATTGTTTCATTTCTATTATTTTCCTTAATATTTTCATCGTTTGTTTTTTGTGATTTATTTGATCGTTTTTGACCTTTAACTTTAAAATTCTTTGGTGATGTGTATGTATCAGTTTTTATTTCTGTGATATTTTTCATTATTGTTGAACTCATATTCTTAATAGTTTTCTTATTGCAGCTACAATTTAAATTATCTATCTTAACTGAAATTGAATTTAATTCCTCTGGGTTATCGTTTTCATCAAGACTAGACTCAACAATTTCATCTGAAGTTTTAGTTTTTAATTTATCATTTATATCAAATTTTTGATCTTTGATTAACTCAACATTTGACGTAGTTTTAAAGTTACCTGTGATTGATTCTAATGACTTATCTTGATTTCTATGCGCTTTGTGATTTGAATTTTTTTTTTTTTCAAATGGGTCTGTAAGATCTGCAGTTGTAAATTTACAATTATTACTATCATCTATTATAGTAGAACCTAATTTATCTTTTGATTCGAATGACAAATAAAGAGGTCTTGGGGTTTCTCTAGTAACTAAAAAATGTTCATTATTTTCTAAAATTGGAGATATTGAAATTTCTTTATTTTCTTGTGTTCCAGTTACTTTCAAATTATTTAAGTTATCAGAAATATCTTGATTAGTTTCTATTATTTGATCGTTTGAATTTATTAAATCATCAAATGTGTTCATATCACCTCTTGAAGTAGTTTTATTTTTATATATTAATTCATTTGTGAGATTAATTATCACAGGATAAAATTCATGAGTTTTGTTTCCTTTAATTTTATTTTTTACCCACTTTCCATTTACAGATATATTTTCAGGACTGAAATCAAGTTTATCCATAATACAATTTCCTTTCATTTTTTCAAATGTAAGTTTTAATTCTCCTTCGGAAGAACTGTTTGTCTTTTCAGCTGATTTATTTTTTAATGAAAGTAGTTCATTACTTTTCTGTACTAAAAAATCTTTGCGGGAGAGAGATTTTGATTGTTTTGCTTTATCTAATTTTTCAATTAATTGTTTTAAAATATCAATGAAATAATCGTCATAAGTTTGTTTCAATTGTGAACTACAATTATTATGAATATTATTAGGTTCTTCAGGATTTGTATTTTGTTTTAAAAATTTACAATCTCTACATCTGTGTTCCGATATTTTCTCATCCTCTATACTTTCTGTCAATAGTTCTTCTGATTGTTGACGCTTTATTGAACCTAATTTTTTCTGTATGCATCTTTTTCTTTCATGTGATTTGCTTACATTATTGGTTACTGGATTAGAATTACTTTCTATTTCAGTATTTATATTACAATTATCTATTAAGCCATTAGTGTTTTTTTCTTTATAATTATAATAATTTACACTATCATTGTTAAACATCGTATCTTGTTCGTTTCCAGATTTTAAATCTAATATAACTTTAATATACTGTTTGGGAGTATCTTTTTCATTATGTTTTCTTGGAATATGTCTTTGGATTCGATTTTTTTGCGTACAAATTACTGATGCTGAATCTTTTAACGGTCTAGCAATACGTGGATAATGGATCATCCGTGAATCATTACGCTCAACTTTCGTCATGTTGTAGTTGTAAAGGATTGAATCATTGTCAACAAATTTCCTGGGGAAAAAAATTGTATTTTTTCATGATTAAAAATAATGAAATGTATATAAGTATGAAATAAATAAAATATTTATTTATATTATTGGGCATTATAAGTAACCAACTGAATTATTCAGCTTAACACAGAACAGTATTCGGGACATATATACATACAATTTATAACATACTTAAAATTTTATTTTAGTATTAACATATCATAGTAAAATAAAATATGTATTAAAAATAAATATGCATGCTTACTTATTCAGAAATATTTCTTTCAATCTTACAGTCGATTTATTGCTATTCGTATCAATCAATTTATAATGTACATTGTTCAATAATGTTAATTGATTTTCAGCCGACACTAAAATGAAAAAAATTAATCCTAGAACTGAAAATCGCTGATGCATTGTTTCACCTAAATAAATTAAAACAAAGTAATTAAATTACATTTTTAATTTACTTTCACTCAAAATATAGCTTTTTATTAGTCATGGACAAAATATTATAGTTTATTCGAATATATATTTACGTAAAATGCTATATAAAGCTAAAAAAAAAGCAAAACTCTATAGTTAAAAAATATAGTCAAGACTTATTTCATTAAAATTGTAAATTATCACACCATTTTAATATATAATCATAATTTACACTTTTAAAATTAAAATAAACCAAAACTATTTCTTATTTTTAGAAAAAAATGTTGGTTCTAAAAATCAATTAAATACTTAATTTATTATTAATTTTCTATATAAGATAGGTAACTAAATCATTTTCAAGACTCCCATTAAATAGCGCCACACATTTAAAAAAAGTGGGAGTGTTGTTCGGGATACGGCCTAAAACCCAGAACTCGTGAATCATTTTAAATAATAAATGAATACTTAAATTTAAAATATACATATATTTAAATAAGTGACTACTAAAATTTAATTTACAGAAAAAATAACTAAGGGCATTAATAAATAATTTACTAATATTAGAAGCGATAGGTATTCTTGGAATTCTTCGAGAATAATTCAATTTATAATTTTGTACATAAGCAGCGACCTATTATGAATAGTATGATTCTTAAAAATAATCAAAACAATCTTTCGATGTTGAATTTAAAAATACATGTACAAATACAAAAAAATAACAATATTATGATGATTGCATACATTCTTGTGTCATTAAACTTGTTCGTGACAACCGGACAGAGCATGTGTTACTTAATAACTAAATAACAAAACAATGAATTAAGGAAGTTTTTATTAAATACAAACAAAAACACACATTAGACAATACAAAAAATATAACAAACACTAATATCTAAACCCTTAATTATTCTGATTGAGCACAATAAATATTTAATATCACGTATTCTAAAAAGTGAATTTTTACAAAAGATAATGTTATACTTAATATAAAAATATTTTTAATTTACTAGTTAGTTAGTTTACTTAGTTTTACTAAAACTTGAAGCTATATTAGCTCTAAGCAATAAATATATAAACAGTGGATTTATTGTTATTATTTTTTTATCTTGCATAATGCCATTATTTTAATTATAAATGAGAAATAAAAAAGAACAAAATGAAAGGAAAAAATGCTTTTAACTATCGATATATATAAATTTCAATTATATGAGATAAAATTATAATTGTATTATTTAAAAATATTTGCCCTAGTCCATAGGGAATTAAACAAGAACTTATTTACCTAAACTTATATTATAATTACATAACAATAATGTTAACTGTTATTATTAACTTATTTGATAAAATCAGTCTAATGATTATTCCTATATAACTTTATAAACATTTGTTTAACCAACTTGATAACAAAATTATTAGGTACCCCAATGTGTTTCATAAGTATATATGGTATAAATATTTTTAATAAAAGGCTGATTCACCCGTTCTCATTCACTCAGAAACATTTATTGTATATCGATTTCAAATTCATGAGAACAATTTATTTATATCAGTCACTCTTCTTATATCTCATCCAGCTACTGAAAATTATCCGACCCTTATATCTCGTCCTCCATTTTCCTTCTTGGACAGAATTTTTAAATAATTTAGAACAAAACCTAATATGTTTTACTACATTTTATGTGTACGTTTCTTTAAAATTATACAATCTATAATTTCTTGACTTAAAAGTAATATACAAATTCGTATTTATTTTATTTTGAATTTATTTATAAATTTGCTTTTATACTAACATAAACTGTTAAGAAGATCGAAAAAGGATCTTACATACTTTCTAAGTTTAATGACCAATCCAATGAAATTCCGTACATATGTTTAAAAATTTAACATTTTGAATAATTGTTTTAAAAAAACCATAATAGCAAGAAACATTATTCAGTAATATTGCTTAATAATAACATTTTTTGCATACGTCAATCTATATATTATTATATTTATATTTATTAATAAAACTTTTGTATTTAGGGTATTATAATTACCAAACAAGTAAAAAATAAAATGCATTATGAAACAAAATTGAGTGTGTCATTATAATAATAATCTATGAATTTTAAATACATTTTAAATAATAATATTTTTCGATTCGCATTTTTAAAATACATATAGTTAAAGAACTAAACAAATACAACTACCTACTCTTAATATGCCTATATAATTAAAAAATTATGACTGTCTTACGCATAACTAACAAATGCGAAAAATTCTGAACATTTGTCTTACATTATTTATAATTTATAAAATATAATCTTACCACGTGTTATAAATCCTCGAAACATTCACACAACGCAGTTCAGCCGAGACGTTTAACTGCTGAAAAAACGTGTAACTGAATTCCATCGACTACTTGTTATTGTGATATCATAACGATTGTTCATGGTGTACACAACAAGAAGTTACGATGTGACATCTGATTGAGATAATGTAAACATAATATTAAAGTACATAGTATTTTCTTTCATCTTCTGACACCATTTTCACATAATGTTTTATTGTTTAATAAACATTTTATTGTTGCCAGTAAAGATAATCATTTCGTGCGTATTCAGATAGAAGTTGAATATATATATATATATATATATACTTATTATATTTATGTGTTGTAGACAATTAAGCCAAATTTACCATCACATGAACTGAAAATGGCTTTTTTACTAAATAAGCAGTAGTATCAAAACCGAATTTAAGCGTGAAACATTAAGGACACTTAAAAAATTGCTTTAAGAATGTATTTAGTCTTAATGATAATGAATTGTAGCGATGGACGAAAATATTCACGATTGCAAATTATAAAAAATAGATTGAGGACTAAAATTAATAAAAATCGTCTGAATCACTTGTCAATTTTAAACACTGTATGCAATGTTTTAGATGATATATCATTTAAAAATATAATAAATTACTTTGCTAAGAAGAAATTCAGAAAAAAACAATTTAAATAATAAATGTATAATATCTTTATTTTAATTTTAAATATCGTTGTGGCTATCATATTATTTTGATTTGTATTATAAATATACATAATATATTTTAAATTAAATAAAAATAAAAAAGGGAAAGTTAAAAAAAGGTAATGCTTTACCTACTTTATTATTATTTTAAAAGAGTATCATAAAAAAATGTAGATAAATTAAATGTATTTTCTATAGATGCTGAAAGACTTGTTCAAAAAGTATAATCTGAATATTATATAAAACATTAGCCTTGAATTATTGTTTGCCCATGAACCTCCAAAAGTGTAAATCCGTTCCCAAAGTAGCATAAAATGTTATTTGAATTATTTTCCATGGGGTTTTGCAATTTATAGTACCGACCCTAATATAATTCCTGGATACCTATTCGATATTCAAATGTATAGTTGCTGTATGGATCATATCTTATAGTACCTACCTACATCCAGACATTTTAGTTCACTTTTAACGAAATGGTCCTATAGGTGTTATAGGTTATTTTATTAAATATTATGGAGAATTTTAATGCTATAAATAAATTATATAATAAAATGGAAAAATATTACTTGTATAAAACTGGAAAAAATAGCATCAATTGTATTATACGGCTATTTTTTGTGCTAATTTGTAAGTATACAATTGTATACGTATAGCTAGTAGGTAATCATAATCAATGGTTATATGCAGGGCTCGTAAGTTCATGCACTTATATGTTTTTTTACTACATCTGAAAACATGCTAAGTGAACAAATCCGTTTCGTAGCAATGGTAATAAAAATTTTAAATTTAATAGAGCATGTTATGTGTGTTGACATATGTTGACATATTGGGCGTCGTTCATAACCGCACACTTTCAAAAACAGGTTGTCGTTCAAAACTGCAAACTTTTATATCTTAATCCCACATATTTCCGCCAAATTAAACCATTCAATACCACTCACATTGATATATATCAATTACGTATACATTTATCTAAAATAACATGAGTGCACCTCGAGACCGGACAGAATCATTCGTTCGCTGCGCTCGCTCGGACAGTTAAAAACAAAAATATGCCCCGATTTGCTATGCAACACCACCTCAAATAGGTTAGGTTAGGTCACAGGATAAAAAACGATTATGAGTGGAAGTCATACGAAACGGCAACGTCAACCGTACATGCAAAGTATGCAGGGAGAAAGAACTGTGAATTAAATGTGTGCGGTTTTGAACTATCGACTTTTCAAATTTTCCTTTTTAACAATAGAATAAATGTGTGAGGTATTGAACGATGTGAAATGTGCGTTTATAAACGTTAAGTATGTGGTTTTGATGACCGCCGGACATATTTGGCATTAAGTTGATTTTTCAGATTATTAGCGCATAAAATTTTATCTAAATTCAGCAAAATCGTTTTTTGTAAAAATAAAAAAAATAAATAGATCAATAAATGCTTGAATTCATTTTTATTTACGTTTCTAAACATATTTACAAAATGTTAGTATTTTACTGTTGAAAACAGTACCACGAGAACAATGTTATTGTACACCACTACTATCCTCCTCCTATCAACGCAGGGGCAGCTCCAGAGCCTTGGTTAGGGGGGGGGGCAAGTTATAATTTTACAAAATCTTATAACAAAAAGAAAATAACAATTTAGTCCGTACAGTAATGTGTGCTACGCAATCCATGTTTTGAATATTATAAAATAATAACATCATAGTATTATACCCAATAGCGTAGCTAGGACTTTTCAATGGGGGAGGGGGAGTTGCGGTTTAGATCTATACAATAGGTAAGTATACATAAAACATATTATTTTAAATTGTTTTGTACTTTATTTAAAGCATTTAAAGTCAAACAATATTTTAATTACATTAAAATTTACATCAACTGTAGTTTTCTTGTTTTGGTCGCTAATTTATTTAGGACATCATCAGTTTTTATTATTATATCACTGTGTATATCCATAATTGCCTAACTATTCAACCTTTTTTCACATGTGGTGTTTCGTAAATATGTTTTCAATCTTTTTAATGTTGAAAAAGATCGTTCACTATTAGCAGTTGTAGCTGCAAGAGTTGCTAAAATCTGTAAAAGTTTGAAAGTAGAAGGGAAAATTGATATGTTACATTTTTGAAAAACGTCAATAGCATTTTTGGTAAATCTTTAATTCCTGTAAATTTTTGTTGCCAAATTTTAATTTCGCTCACAGCTGCTAACACACTGCAAGCCTTGATACATTTCAACTAGCTGCTTAATTTTTTCTTCATATTGTATACTATTGAATGATGGTAAAATAACGTTAAAATGTTCAATTATAGATCTATGAATTAAAAATCCATCATTTAATTGATTTAAAAAATGATCTATAAATGGAATGAATAAAGATATTCTATAATAATTCTCAAGTAAATTAACCTTGATATTGCATCAGTTTTTTTGTTTTTTTTTTTGTTATATAAGGAATAGATATTTCAATATTTAAGGAATCACATTTAGATTTAACATAATTAGATATAATTTTAAATTCACTTTCATCATTTAATCTTAGTTGTTTAATTATATTTACTACATCATCAGCAGTTTGAATAGCTTCAACCAGTCTCAGTATATAATTTGATAGTATAAATTCTGGTTTTCTTATAGCACAAAGCAATTTGTATGCTTCTAATGAAGCATCCTTATCAAGCCAAGTACAAGCTTCTGATAAACTATCAACTATTGCATCAAATAACTCGAGGAAAATAATTATTGAGTCATGTTGGTCTACCCACCTTGTTGGACATAACAGTTTCAAACGTTAATAGGTTGAAGAAGAACATACACGTCCTATCATAGGCGTCATTACGGGGTAGCGAGGGATAGCCATTGCTACCCCGCCATTTTTATTGGGGTAGCAAATTAATAACTATGACACCCCACGAGAAATTTATGTAACATTTTATTGTTTTAATATTTTAAGTTCAGTTAAATCAGAACCACGGGGCCTTAATTATAATTTAAAGTGCGGGAACTTAGGCAACTGCCCCTATTGTCCTTCCCTCGCGCCGTCCCTGAACAGGAGCCAGAGTTCTACCATTGAAAACCCGTCTTAATTTATGTTAATTGTTTGTTCAACCCTACAGGACAAACGGCTGAACATATAATGTCGTATGAGGTATCAATCGATCAGAAATATTGTGCAGTTGGGAATAGGAGAACCCGCAAACAGATTGGTTAAACGGTTTACAAGTTATAACAAAAAAAATTTAAGTACTTTTAAGACCGATTTTGCGTACGCAACGAAATATACATTCGCCGTTTATCAATTCCCACTAATGTCATCGCAACGGTAGAGTTTCTCGGACACCGATGAATATCTAGCGCGATGTATGACGAGTAACGACGACGAACAGTGAGATAAAATGCATTTTTAATAGGACAATTTTTTTTTTTATTGATATGTATACACCATTAACAAAATAATAAAATTATATTTTCCAGTAATCTTTTAGCTGTATGATTAACTAATTCTTGTAATGGTATACTTGCACTGTATTCATTAACCTCAATATTATGTGGGTAGCAATAAATTAAAATAACAAAAAATAATTTGATTATAATATGGGTATATATCAGCATTTCGTTGTTTAAATCCTTTTTTTATTATCAAATAACTATGTTTTGTTAATTTAGCATCTATAATTAAGGATAAAGCTTCGTCAGCAGTATATGAGGATCTAACAAACTTATTCCGGTCATTATACATTTTTTTTATTTTAACTCCACGGTTTGGGGAAGTTTGAGTACTTTGTTTTAAAAGATCAGCCCCTGCATGATTTACATCATAATATAAAACAGTTTTCGCTGCGTAAATTAATTTTTCTTTTTAATTTTCTGTGAGAAGATTTTTTATTTTGCGTCTTTTTGTTTTATCACTACATTGAGTGAATGGTTTTACAGACCTTCCAACATTAAATGTAGATTATGAAGGAATAAGAGTCAAATAAGTTGAAGCATTAGAATTGAGTGATAGAGGTATATTGAACTTGGGTTTAACCATTTTTCATTTTTTTTTGTAAATACATTTAATGTTCTTTTTGATGACATCCATCTTTTATTTAATGAAGTACAATAACCCGATATTTTATTTTCCAAAGTTGTATTATCATGATTATTAAATGAATCCGAGTATAGTATTTTGGATTTAATAAAGTTGATTAAAATTTTTTTTTGATTCACCAGAACAGGGCTAGATTTTTTTTGTACGTATTCTTAATTCGGTGAATATATGATGATTTTTAACGAATTTTCTAAAGAAAAACATAATTAATTTTAGTATTGGCGTATATTGGCAAATAAAAATTAATTTTTTAATTAAATAGGATATAAGAGTATAAGTATAAACAAAAATTATCCCTCCTTTTTTTACCTTTTTTGAATATGAGTCCATATTGAGTGGGTACAATGTATGACATTATAATACTAATATGGATTTCATATCAGTTAAATTCCTAATAAATATATTAAGTAATCTAAGTATTAACTGTGTATAAATATTATGCTTATCTTATGAATCATTATTTATTTTTAATTTTTTTGATATAACAATATATGAATAAATTATTATAATTGAAATGAAACAAGTTAAATTCTGTGTATAATAATACTATTTTCGTGCCTATTTTGCGGTGAAAAATTACCTATATTAAAAACTCAGTTTCAATAATTGCCATTTATAAGGTGTTACCTTATCGTAAATGTTATTTACTTTAGGCTGTATGGCATTTTATCAAATTTTATCACTACCTAATTTTTTTATGATTTTGTCCACCAAAATGAACTATTTTTCCCACTGTGCCACGCACGGACGATTACGATGGTGCGGTCACGCGGCGAGACAACACTGACGATGACAATTGATAAAGATTAAAGACAAACCATTACCATTTCGTATTTTCGACTTTCGTGACTAGAGTCTAGCACTTAATTACGCGCAACGTTTATACTGATGCTGAATGGCCGTTGCTTTGCTGAGATATTATTAGGATTTTAATTAATCTCATTTGTATTCGCTGCAACGAGTAGTTGTATTGAGATTTGATGTTTGCCATTTCGACTTTATTATCATATCTTACTATTATAATACTAGTATACTACTACGAATATTTCAATTATTATTATTCGTATACGCTTTTAGTGCGTGTGTTGATAAACCACGTGCATACTACATAACGTTTTACGTGTAATAAGAGAGATTTGGCGTTCGCCGTTTCGGCATTTTTATTATTTCTTTCTTACTATTATAATAATAATTATTATTATTATTTATATACGTGGATAAAGTATTCCAAAAGGATTTGAGGTTAACCGTTTCGGCAACATAACAATTTTCTTCTTTATATACTATTATTATAAAATAAATAAATAAATAAATAAAAAAAATTGATATCTCGCCAAAAACACTTCGTTATAACTCTGTGTAAAAAAAAAGCTAAGATAAAAAAAAATTTAGTAGGTAATAATTAAATCTTTAAAAGACGTGATATAATATGGAAACTAAGTAAAATGCCATTTTATAATATTACAAATACTTAAGATCAATATTGTAATATTAAATAATTAGTCAACATATTGTTTATATATAATTAATTATGAAAAATACTATAGTGGTTACTTATTTGTATTTATTTAAGTGTACTTCTACGTCTGCCAAATAGTTAGACAATATGTTGACTAAGTATTTAACATTACAATATTGATCTTAGGTATTTGTAATATTATAAAATGACATTTAACTCAGTGCTTGATTTGGCAAAATTAAAGAAGGGGTACTCTGTTTGCTTAAAAAAAATTGCGTCCCCAAAACTTTTAAGTGTTATAATAATAACGTATTAATAGTAGGGGAACGCTAACATTTCTAAAAATTAGAAGGGGTACTCCGTCCCCCTGCGCCCCCCCCCTTAAGTCGAGCACTGATTTTCTTAGTTTCTATTTTATATCACGTCTTTTAAATATTTATTCATTACTATATTTTTTTTTTTTTATTTAAGCTTTTTTTTATACGGAATTATAACAAAGTCTTTTTGGTGGGACATTTAAAAACATGAATAATAAATATTTCTTTAATATAAAGCATCGATTATATTAATGTACAATGGTATAATTTTTACTAAAAGAAGTAATAAGTTCTCTGTTTTAAATCTTTTAATTTTACAAAAATATATTATTGTTCTTTATAACATGAAACAATAGAATTTCATTATTACTAAATGTAATGCAATATTAAATGTATGTTAATAGTTAATAATTATTAAGTTATATATTATAATATATACTATAATCGTTCGTCATAAATAATATTTAACTTACAATTGCTTTTAAATAACACGACTGAAAACATAAAATGTAAAGATCAACACAATAGTCAAGTAATATAAAATGAGAACTCCTTATAAGTCATTAACTGTATTCTGGTCCAAAATCAGTTAAAACCTATTCAATCAAGAATATTATTAGAAGATTGTTATTTTTGTTTTGCTTAGTTAATAAATTATATATTTTTATTTTTTATACTAGCTAATTTCAAAATTACATAAATTTATATATATTTATATAAATTACAAAATTAAAAATTTTACTAGGCTATTACAAATGTAATGTTAATACAATAAAAGTATAATAAACAAATAAACATTTAAAATATACAAAAATTCAAAAACTTAATTTAGATTATTACCGTATTAAAACATGTTCAATAAATTAACTATAAAATATATTAAAATGTATAATTGCTAGTCAAATGAATTACTTACGTTCTACTTATTAATGATTGTTCCTGTGTCATATATTTATGTTTTTACTATGACATTAAAATTGGAATGTCTTTTTAAAACATTTCCAAAATGATTGCATATGACTAAACAACATGTTCATCATATTTTTAGAATTATTACTATAATCGTCCTTATCTAATTCATCAAAAATAGATTTTCGTTTTGATTTAATATTCACACTGTCGTATTCAGTATCATCCGCTAATGGACTGATATTATTTGTTTTAGTCCAGTCCTCAGAAATATCACTACCATTATCTTCTGTGAATCCATTGTTTTTTGAATATTTAGCTCTTTTATTTTTGTCTACGTAGGTATTCACTTCGTTTAGTTTTACCGTAAAATCAGCCACCGCTCTTGGATATCTATTAATTTCACGTTTTATTACAGGTACAAAATCAACGTCAATGTCGAACTCATTTGATTTTAATCGATCATAATTCAAAATATCATTTTCATCCATTATATCGTCTTTCACTTTGTTATTTAACAAAGATCGTTTTTTGTGTTTGTGAATTTTCTCGTGTAATTTTCGTTCCCTTTCAGAAATACGAAATTTCATTTTTTCTTCAAACGCTTTGATTTTTGCCGCCGTCGTTGAAATTGATTTAGTTTCTAGTTTAGTTTCTTCATTATTCTTAATTGGGCTAACAATTGTGTGTTCATTTTGTAAGATTTTTTTGCCATCTTTAAGGTTTTCTACTAGTCTTTCCGCAATTTTTTCATTGGTTACAATTTGATTGACATCAACATTGGATGGTGTTCTAACTCTTCCCAAAGGATGTGAAATTGGTTTAATTTTTAATTTTGATCCTGGGTGTTGTGTAGTTTCACGACTCTCTCTTACTATTGATTTTTTACTTTTCAATTCGTCTTCATTGAAAATAATTTTAGGTTTTGCAAGTTTTAAAGTTTTTGGTACATGTGTCAGAATCCTTACTTTAGTAGTATTATGCGAAGACATTTCTGTAGTACTACTAGGTTCATTATGAGTTGTTTCAACAATAGGAGTATTTAAATCATTAGTATTTTCTACATCAACATTTTTTAAAACCTTTCTCAATTTTATATTTATACGAGGTATTACGGTTTTATGGTTATTATCTAAGATTGTATTATTTGTTTGACGATTATATCTTAACTTATCAGCTAAACTAGTAACTTTTCCAAGGTTTACTGAATCTTTTTGAGTATTAACGCCTTCTATATCTACTGTAATTGACTTTTCAGTAATTGGTTTTTGTTCAGAAGGATTTATTGCTTCTTCTGAAAGTTTATCTTTTGATTTTCTATCATTCATTTTATGAGACGTTCTTTCATTATGAGAATTTTTTCCATTTATTTTAGCTAAAGCTTGTTCTTTTCTGGATTTAATTTTCTGAACATGACTCTGAATATTTGAATATTGATTGATTATCCCAATAGGCATTATAGGTGTTGATGTGATTATTGTTTGTTGTGTTGTTTGTGAAGTAATTACTGGTTGTTGTACTTCAGAAACTATCGAGTTGATTTCTTTTTTTGATCGTTCAGAAATTTTGAAGTTATTTTCATTTGATTTTAAGTATAGACCAGAAAATGATTCGTCATTTTCAGAAAAAGGGTTTGATAGTGGTTTCTCTTTATTTGTAAATTCATCCGCGACATTTTCATCTTCTTTTGAATTTAAGGTGCTGTTTTCAACTGATCTTTTTATTAGTTTTGACTTTTGGGATGATTTGAAATTGGTTATAGCAGAATCTAAATTGGAATACAAATCAGACCGAATATTTTTCTCTGTGTGTCTTTTTCCAGCAACTGCTTGTGCTAGTACGTGATACTTCCCTCTCCTACTTTGAGAAGGCTTTGTACTTTTTTCTATTAGCATTTCTACTGTAGTATCTTCAGTTGGAGAAATAGTTGATAGTTCCACAGAATATTCATGATTGTTTAATGATTTTGGAAATTTCGACAACCAATTATTATTGGAAAATGTAATATATTTTACAACTGGCTCTGATTGTTGCATGTTTTCACTATAACGTGAATTTTCATTGTTTTTTTGAACTATTTCGTTATTGTAACTTTTTAGTTCTTCTTCTCTCCTATTTGCTTGAGATATAGAGTCATAATTCGTTTTTATATACTTGGGACGAAATGCCACATATACGTTTTTTTCATTTGATGTCGATTCATCTTCTTGATCTAATATTGATGATGATTCGTAATCAGGTTCAAGAAACTCCTCTTGATCTACTGAAAACCTTCCACCATTTTTATGAGATTCTTTAGATTCCTCGATCTGAATTGCCATGCAAGCTTTTGATTTACTTTCTGGCAAAACTAAAAAGAATACGGATTGACTGGGAATGGTAATCAATTTATGAGAACTTCGTACTTTTGGTGATATGATTGGCAGATCACCATCGGGTGATAAAATCAATTTTTGTCCATTAAGCATAGTAGTTCTAGGTATAAAATATATTTATTAATTTAGATAATTTAAATATATACAATTTGTTTATTAATTTACTTACATAGGTTTTACCGCTCTTTTTCTATGTTGTCTATTATTAGCAGTCATGATGTATTGATGTAATGGTAGACTTTGCTTTTGACCAATTTTTAATGATAATTGTACAGCTTCTGATCCCATATTTACACCAAAAACTGTAATTGATCCTCTGTTATAGCGATATTCAGGAGCTATAATTCCTTCGTTTGGATCGTACGGTGACATTTTTGTACAATGAACTATTGTTTCTAGCCGTGTTTTGTTTCCTAATGACATTTTAGCATCTATAACTTCTGTTCCAATCAATGCTTTATGAAGCACTGATACCCAATAAACCTAAAAGAATTTGTATCATTTTAGTAATTAGGTATATGTATTATATTAACATAATATAATTTATAAAAAAAAAAAAATTGTATTAAGTTAAATATTTTAATTTCAATTTTTGGGATTTATATTTTTCTATTATACAAAAAACAGTACAATGCAATTAAAAAATAAAAATAAAAAATTTACCGTATGTATATAGTATATAGTATAATTACTAGAGCAGAGAACTTGTAGCATTTGCATATTTTTTTTGCACAGTCACAAAAATAGCAGAGTGCGAAACGAATACGTTTCATGCTTCCACAATGTTAGTTTTGAAATTTTATTGTGCATATAAATGCATATTTTGTGTTTTATTGGTTTTTAGGGCATATTTCTTCCATCTTATACTTTTAGATGCATATTTTAAATAATTTATCAATTTATCAATATTTTTTCGTCGCCGTTTTTATTTATTTATTTATACAAACAAAATAACGTTGAATTTAAAATTATTTTAAATTTTCATCATAATATTAATATGGTTTTTGGCCCATCATGGTTTTTCTAAAAACACGTCACGAGAGTAGTCGATTATATTGTTGTTGGGTTATTAATTTTATTTATAGACAGATGAGATAATATTGTTTAACGCACAAAATATTGATAAGGGCCATGGGGACACCTGTCATCGATATCGGACATATTCATATTTCAGTAATCGCTGTGTTTCTCAACGGTTGACAGTCCAAACACGTTCTATATTTAATATTTATTATAAAAAATGCCTAAAGTAAACATCCAGATAAAAAAAACCCATAAAATAAATCCAATTAATTAATTTTAACTTGTAAGTTGTTAAATAAAGTTGTAAATAAATTTTTTTCATTATAATAAGTACCTACAGAAAAATTCTTATTTTATGTTCAAAAAAATTAATTTTAAAATGCATATTTAGTATATTTAAGTGCATATTTGGTGAATTTTTAGAGCTACAAGTCCTCTGCCCTAATAATTACTATTAAATTAATTAAATATTTTAGTATATTGGTCTATAAAATAAATACAAAACTAGAACTTTTTTATAATTATACAAAATTGTAAGCATATTTGTAATAATACATTATGCACTATATTATAAAAATAAAATTATAATTAAAATTTAGATATTATAAAAATAAAAAAAATATTCACAAACTATATAGTTACCGGAGTAGGTTCTGTAAGTGATAAAGCAGATGGTTTTCTCATAATAACATTTATTCCAACTCGAGCACCCGCACAAAGTCTTTTTGCCCAAATCAATCCATCTGTAAAATCTCCTCGTCTGTTATTATTTCCTGATTCAATAATCCACAATGGTTTTTTTACTGCTATTCTCCCTAGATATTTGTTTATCGAATCTTTTTGCCACACTCGAGATTCCAGTTGATTTTGTATGAAGTTGAACATTTCTGTTGGGTTCTCATTTACTTCACTCGATAAAGACCTAAAACAATAAATACATTTATTCATCTTTCTATTAATAACTGATATTATTATAAAATTATAAGAAATAACAGATTATTTTTTTTTTAAGGATAAATATTATATCTTATTAAATCATATTTTTAATTGATTATTATAGTAAAAGGTATAATGTATTATATAACAATAATAAATATAGTATTAATATTAATAATTAATTGTTAATTTAATACTCACATAAGTTATTAACAAAAAACCTCATGCAACCGTGCAATATTTTAAAATACTTATTACTTAAAACCTAATACTTATTAATATAAATCTATAACGCATTTAATTTCTTTTAAACGAAGAACTGAATATGTTATTTTAATTATATAAATTAATATTCTAAATTAATTTAAATATTTTTATCTATTTTGTAAACATTTTAAATCGCAAAATATTTGAATCACAAATACTTACCATCTCAAAATAAAAATTTAGTATACCTTTAATTTTAGAAATAATAAGATGTTAAAAGCTTAAAAATAAGCTTAATAATTATAATATACACGTTATATAAAACCACTTGATACAAATAATAATTAATAACAATATCGTTAAGAATTATAATTCATATAAAAGTAATTTCTAAATAAGAAGTCTTTTTGTTTTAAATGTATCACTTAATAATTAAATGGTGTTCTCAATTCATACTATATTTTAATACTTACACTTGATACGTTAATGCCGAAAGTGAAGAATCAGATTCTACGATAAAATTCTTTAAATATTTAGCTTCTTCTTGTGTATCACAAGATTTAATGTCAGGACTGATAATCTTTGAATTCATGTATCTGGGAAATGCTTCAAGTACTTTTCGTAATCTTGTTACATCCTTACCCAAGGACAAACCATCAATACGCGATTCAATTGTTTGAAGATCTTATTAAATAATAATAAATATTACACCCTTAAATCAAATGTTTCCTTGTAATTTTACGGTACAAAAATATTTTACGTTACCATTTCCTATTTGGAATTCCATATTGTAACCATGTTTATCTGAATAAGATATAAGATCTAAAGTATTGCTTAAATCCCAAGAGCCATGTTGCCTGTTCATAACATTTAATGCAACAATCAAGTCTAATCCAGTTTTGGTCACAAATTCATTTAGCTGTGACCAATGCCATCCAGTTATCGTAGTATTATTTATCCCTTTTTTTATTACATGGATTGATGATGATTGCGAAGTGTCCTGCACATCTTGAAATCTGAAGTAATTGCATTCAGGACCAGATATTCTTACATACGCCGGGTTTAAACTTTTTGCCATGTTAATGGCCGTCGACCTATACAGAAATATAAGTCAAAATCCAGATCAACTATATACCATTAATCAATGAATACTTACCCAAGATTATTTTGTAATGCCAAAAATATAGTAGATGGTTCCAATGTAAAACTTAGGAAGTGATCACTAACCGCGTGAATACATTTTTTCGTATTAATATTTAGTGATAAAATATTTGATGAAGGACCCGGTTGCAATAATATGCTAGGATTTTGAGAATATGTTAAACAAGTATACAATAAGAGCAAAGCTCCTAACCAGATAACATTTACCATTTTGTGCTGGAAAAAAATTAATATATACAATTATATCAGTATTTTAAATGGTTATGAATTTTGTTATTCCTATTTAATGAAAATTGTAACTGCTGACATTTTATGTAAAATTATAATATCAGCAAATAAAAATTGAGACAAAAATATGAAAAATCTAAATAAGCCTACAATAATACATTAAGCTTTAATCATTTAATGCTATTTTCTTTTATCAAATCACAATTTAAATAGGCTTGTAATTGTAATCGTTTAATTTAGAACATAAATTGTAGATACTTATAAGTCCATCTATATTCACAACTAATGTAAGATAAAAAAAATGTATTTATTTAACGAAATATTTAATTTCGTGAAAAAATTAACAAATATTTTCAAATTAAAAAAATTTTAAATTTAAATTTTTAAAATATGTATTTATGTGAAAAAATATTTAAAATGTAAATACATATTTGGAGCCCTGCCAATTATGATACATTCAAAATATATTCAACTCAATGTTTTATTTAATTTAATATCTTCCATAGTTCTATCTTATTAATCATTAATACTGTTGTATCAGATAAATATAACGTAATTTTTAAAAAAAATATTTATTCATTAAAAAGTAATATTTATGAGAATAATATTTGACATTTTTTGGATTAATGTATTAAAACACTTACGAATAATGAAATAGTGATGTCTAGAACGAATGCGAACTGTTATTGATCACGAATAAGGTTAAATTCAAAAATATTAAACACACTATTATACAGACGTCCACTTCATTTTTCTAACATTCGGTTCTGAAAACTTGTCATGGTTTGTGTGGCGTACCGTAATATACTTGTATATATATATTAATGTTATTTTTGTAATGAAAACATAAACAATTATATTTGTTATTATTTTAAACAGAGATGTGTGCGTAGTATACATTCTCATATAATCGTGATAATTTTTTAATAACAATAATTCTGACGGAATCTCCATTATATTCCTCTTGTTTTCAAAACTTATTCATTTGTAGACTTCGAAAATATAAAACAATTTTTTCACGTTTTTCATATTATTTTTGTTATTACTCAGGTGTTGTTAACCCGTGAAGTAGATTCATATAAGAATGCGGAACATAAATCTTTTTATTTCAAAAGAACCTTGTACTTAAATTAAGTATCATATTTTGAAAATTCACTATGAAAATATTTTGTAATTTAAATATTTAAATTAAGAAAAATAAATGTTATTAGGTATTTACACCACAATTTTATATAATTATAAACTGATTTAGGTACTTAAATTAGAAAATATATATTAATTCAAGAGGATAGTTTTTTCAATTCTTATCAAACTGTATCAAACTTACTACAAAGAATATAATTTTAAACTGTAGTTAATCATTTTTCAGTTAAAAATAATAAATCATTGAAAATTTTATCCATTATTTTTTTAATATTTTATCTATTTTTTCGATATCTATAAATATGTTACAATGTTCAATTGTAAGCGAATGCAAATTTGTGTATTATTGATTTATAATAATTTAATTTAATTTATATTTTATTTTTAATAACTATTTTTAATCTTTCATTATTTAGTTGACTCGTAATAGTTACATCAAAAATAATAAAATAACTTTTAATATGTATAAGAAACACTAAATTAACATATACAAACAAATGATTAGTAATAATACCAAAGATATGTAATCAATTTTTTAAGTTAACACACATACTTAGTGACTAATAAACCATCAATTTGTCTACTCATCATTTTTATAAGAATATAACAAGACATAAAATATTCTTTCATAAGTACTACACAAAAAAGTTTATTATCTTACAAAAAATCATATAAACAAAAAATGTGTTAATTTATTATTATACAAATTAATGGTTGAACATGAATTGTATATTGTTATTAATAATTATATTATTAGTTATTAATGGTGTTCGATTAATTATATTATATTATACCAAATTACTATTTTTTAGTGCACACTGTACAATAGTATCAAAGCCCAAATTAATCAACGAGTTTAAAACAATAAATATTTTTAATACAAAATTCAAAAATAATTTTTAAACTTCAATCAAAGTATTTAAATACATTTTTACGTACATCTTTTATATTTATTTTTTATATAAATTTAGGTCAAATTTTGATAAAAAATTCCTCTGCGTATTCGATATTTAAAATCAAATAGGTAAATAATAAAAGAAATATGAGCCAACGTTTTTTAAAGGCATTATGTCATTTAATGTTAATTAAATTTTATGTTTACTAAGCAGTATATGTATATTATTATTTGTTGCAACGTTTTTGCGTATGTTTTTAACAAATAACCATAATAACTTTAATTCTAGAAAAAAAATGTGAAATGTAAGCCTATAATAATGTAACATAAATAGTTAATATCATGTAGTTCATATGAATATAAACATTTTAATACTAAATTTTATTTTTTTATTTTTACTTGACTACTAAACTAATAGTTATCTAAAATATGATGTATAGTGGTAAAAATTAAAATATTTTAATAAGTACATTGTCAGACTTAGAACTGTATATGATCTATTTAGACAACACGTATGGTTAAAAATGTTTTTTATTTCTTTTTTTTTTTCTTTCTTTTTAGTTTCTTTTCCATTAAAATATAAAAGATTAGAATTGTGTTGGTAAAAATATTAAAAATGATAAAATCATTATATAATATAAATAAAAATTAATGGAAAAAAACTAAAAAATAAAAAAACTATAAAAAATATTTTTAACCATACCTGTAGTCTAAATAGATCATAAACAGTCCTAAGTCTGTTAAAATGGGAAGAAAAATGTTAGTATAATATAGTACTTACCAAAAAATATTCAGGAACTAGTGTAGTACTTATAAAAATCCGGGATCCAACTAATGTAGTACCTAAAATATTTCGGGACCCAACTAGGGTAGTAAATTCGGGACCCAATTCGGATACAGCCGATTTATTGATATATTGATTAGTGACATCGATAATGAAGCAGTTATAATATTACAATACAATATAACTAGGGTTCGGAATTTATAGTAGCCATTAAAAGACAAAATATGCACGAAAAAATGATAAAATATGCATGAAAAAATATAAAATATGCAAAAAAAAATATTTATTTATTTATTAAAAGTTAATTAATACATTTTAAAAACCTATAATTAAAAAAATTGTATTATTGAAAACTAAAATATGGCGCATAATCGGTTGGCGTTTGAGATTTTATTGAACTGAAAAAGTAGTTAAATAAGTATATTTTCATTATTTGTGAAATACGAAATAAATATGTTTTGTATAATATCTTTTAAGTTATTGCATTAAGCCATCAATATTTTCGTTAAATTCATAGTAGACATTAAAAAATAACTATAAAAGAACCACGAAAAATAATATTGAGTATTATATGATGCATATTTTCTGCGTTATTAGCGTTGTGTTATGTAACATTATTTAAAATAAATCGGTTAAGAATGAAAAAAATTAAGGTTTTTAGAAAACATTAAATATGCTTACAAACAGTGGTGTAGATACAATTTTTTCTGTTGGAGAGGGGGTGGTGTTTAAGAGTAAAGTTTTAAGTGTTCTTAGTATATCTTAAAATTAGGTCATATGTAATAATATTACATTTAAAATGGTATTATTATGTCCCGTATTTAATGAAAATTATTTTGTTATATATACCTAATCACAGTAAAATCAAAATATTTTACTATAATATGTAAATATTAATAAATAATAATCAAATATCATAAAAAAAAATCCGTGGGGGGGAAACCCCTTACACCTTCACCGTAACTACGCCACTGCTTACAAATATGCAAAAATCAATGAAAATCGACAATATATACACTTTTTCTCTAAAATTAACAAAATATGCATTTTTAATTTTCAATTTTTAAACTCATCATTTTATAGCTTGAATTTCTAGCTTGGTCTGCTATAAATCGAGAGCATACAGAACAATATGCAACTTCTATAGCTTCCAAACCCTAATTATAACTAATAATACATAAAAAATCGATTCAATATGTTTAATGTAATAGTATTTATTGGCTTGTACATATGTGTCAAGATTTATGAGATGAAAGTGCATTTCGTTTTAGTAGAAAAAGTCACAATAATTTGACTATAATGAACTGTGTTAAACTACAATTTCTTCGACCAAATCGACCCAAGAAACATCGACAAATCTTGAAATAATTCCAGTATTTTTATTTATAGAAAATACCTACATCAAAACACATATCGTTATAAGTATACTTCTACTTGATTCCATTATTGGTCGAGAACCAAGTCAAAATAACCTTAATTCTTAAATTAGATATTATTCTGGGAAACATTACATTTTATTCGGTGTTCAAAAAGTTACTTGTTCATAATTTATTGATTACAATTTTTTATTAAACTGAAGAAAGTAAAAAAATCGTTTATTTATGACTAATAAGAAAACAATAAATAAAAAATATAAGTAGAACAATGTTAACTAATTCGTATTCTTTTTCCACATTTGTTGGTTTAAAACATTTTATTTACTAACAATCACTCATACATTACTCAAGTTTCATTTTTAAATATAACTATCAACAATAACATAATAAATGTATAATAAAAAAATTTTCCTACGGTTAATAAGTTGTTTTAATAATGAAAATAAAAAAATATACCATACCTATATCATAAAATGATAAAATATTATGATAACCGACGAGGTTTTTTCAATTCGTTTCACTACTTTTGCAATACACCCAATAACGACTAATTTATTTTTATAGTTATTATTTATCGTTCCTGTAATAATAAATTATGATCAATAAAGAAATGATTTACCATTACGGGTTTAAGTGTAAGCGTTATTTAAATATGTGTTTGGCGCGCGCCAATACAATGCAGTCAGTTTGGCCAACGAGCACCGTTTCAACCACCGTCTGGTTATTGGTCAATCGGTCACACTGTAAATGATAATCAACGAGAAGTGATGGCAAACGCGACCGCATCCGCGAGCGACGTCGTCGTTTGTTTTGTTTGGGGTTGTGTTTGTGAAATTCATTGATTGCCGCTTTATAAAATTAATCTTTTACTACGAAGTTTTGTTGGTACTTTATAACTTGTTTCCCGGTAAATTTATAAATTTCAATTTACAATCCCGCTGTCCAGAACTCGGAACAGTTCCAAGTTTCAGGTGCTGTCTTATGAACTTTGGGTTCGACACACAAAACGTAAGTGCGTTTCGTTTAATAAGAATTACACACAACACGACAACACTACGTATACGTACGCGCAATGATTCTACCGTAACCTCGCACTTGCCACAACTATTGTTATGGTTTAAACTACTTACACCATCAACATCGGTGTGGCTCGTGTCCACGCTTATTAATATTATTTCTAACGTTATTTTGCTTGATGTGTGTATAACAGGACGACGATGGGCGATTACATACATTCGAACATAGCTCAGGACAACGTAGCGATGGTGCGCCTCGAACTGTCACAGAACGATCAGATACCTCTGCGGCGACCATTCGACCCGCTGATACATGACCTGGACCCACACTTCAAGCTTACCCGGTTTGCTGACCTCAAAGGACGGGGCTGTAAAGTACCACAAGACGTTCTCAACAAACTACTGGAAGGTTTCCAGCAGGATGAAAACGGCCATGGCGAACAGTCCCATTTCATGCACATGTCAATGACCAAAATAGGAATTGGAATGGATGCAGCTGTTGTGCCTCTCAGACATGGTGGTTTATCCCTAGTTCAGACAACTGATTATTTCTATCCACTTGTTGATGACCCATTTGTTATGGGTAAAATTGCTTGTTCAAATGTTCTGAGTGATTTGTACGCCATGGGTGTGACTGAATGTGACAATATGTTGATGTTATTATCAGTATCAACCAAAATGACTGAAAAAGAACGAGATGTTGTGATACCACTAATAATGAGGGGGTTTAAAGAAACTGCTTTTGAAGCTGGTACTACCGTTACAGGTGGACAGACTGTTGTAAATCCATGGTGTACTATTGGAGGTGTTGCTACTACCGTATGTCAACCTAATGAATTTATCATACCAGACAATGCTGTTGTAGGTGATGTTCTTGTGTTGACTAAACCCCTTGGAACTCAAGTAGCTGTAAATTCTCATCAATGGGTTGACCAACCAGACAAATGGAACCGAATAAAATTAATTGTATCTGAAGAAGATGTAAGAAAAGCATATCAGCGGGCTATGGACTCAATGGCTCGCTTAAATAAAACAGCTGCTAAATTGATGCATAAATATAATGCTCATGGAGCAACAGACGTTACTGGCTTTGGACTTTTAGGTCATGCCCAAACACTAGCAAAACATCAAAAGAATGAAGTGTCATTTGTTATTCATAATCTTCCTGTAATAGCTAAAATGGCATCAGTAGCTAAGGCATGTGGCAATATGTTCCAATTGTTACAAGGTAATTCAGCTGAAACTTCAGGTGGACTCTTAATTTGTTTACCTAGAGAACAAGCTGCAGCATATTGTAAAGATATCGAAAAAGTAGAAGGATATCAAGCCTGGATTATAGGTATTGTTGAAAAAGGTACTCGTACCGCTCGAATAATTGATAAACCCAGAGTAATAGAAGTTCCAGCTAAAGAAAAAGAAGGAGAACTATGGTAGGACTGTAATTAATGTAGTGCCATTAACTGGGAAAATTTAAGGATTATGGATTTTTATTTATTTAGTATCTAGCTTTCAATTACTTCGATAATTCTTGTTCAAAATATTTTTATTTATTTTGTATAGTTTTTATTCAATTTTATCATTACTATACTTGAAAACAAGCTAGCTAACTAACTTTATGAAATAAAAATTTTAAATTAAATTAAGTCATTACAAAGTCACTCAAATTTATAATTCCTTAAAGACTAAAGTTTGATTCATGTAATAAAAATAGAAATGATTACTTATAAATATAAAATATGGGACTGTTTGCATATAGTGTTTTATAGCTTAGACATAATAAATAGAAAAAAATCTTGTATTAAACATAATATGAGGGTAAGATATTGGAATTTGTAAATGTTGCTGTTTATTGCTGCATATTTATTATATGGTTTTGAATTTAACTACATTTAAATTGTTTTAGGATCTAACCAATCAATTATATTCTGTTTCTATGGTCTATTACCAATATATATTTTACTATATATCCATTGATACAAAAATAATTCTATAATATTATCTTTATATTATTATTATTATTTGAACAATAAGAGCTAATATTAAAATTAAATATTATGTTAAGTGTATTATGTATAAAATAATATAAATCTATATATACATTTATGTATAATATAGTATTTAAATCATTTTTATTAAATCACTTTTATTCTTATTTTATTCTGTACACAAATTAATATCATGTGCACAAAAAAATTATTGTTTCTATTTTAATAATTCAATAAAATAAAGTTTATAATAAAATGCTTTAAATTTAATTTATTTAAATTACAGAAATAATAAAACTATTAAATATAATTGTATTAAAAATGTTGAGGCTATAAATTATCCATATTCATAACGGTGTTCAATTCTGAATTTGAAAATATTTCTATATAATAGATATATTTCTGTAACAGTATTTCTATATACAGTTCACTTTCAAATCAAAATGTCTTAAAAATTGTTTTCTATTTTTAATACTTTTATAATTATTAAAAATTTTAAAACTTAAATGATTTGTTCACTAACAAAATTGTTATTAATTTATATTAAATCATTGCAATTGACTAAATGTTAGTAAACTTGAAATAAAAAACTTATTTACATCAAACTTGATATTAAGTTTTAGCTTCAAATTATTTTTACAAATAAAGCATAACATTTACTTAACGTTTAGTTAAGCTATCTATTATTTACTAATTACATTACATACATTATAACGTACATAAAATCATCAATATTTTAATTTACTAGAGGTGTCTTCAAATTCAAAGAAAATTATAGTTGGACGAACTAATTTGAATTCATATTTATACCTGATTAACCAAGTAAGTAATTTTTTTGATATGGAAATTGAAAAATATTGCTCTTCAGAATTACATTTATTAATATAACTTATGAGAAGTATCAGATACAGGGACTATTATAATATTCTATTTATCTACAAAATATAAAATAAGCTATTTTTAACATAAGACAGTATTGCTACATTTTTAAGTTACTAGTGGTAAAATATTCAATATTTTCTGCATATTATATAGTTTGGTTTTTCTTGTAAAATTAGATATTAATAGAACTTTTCAATGAAACGTATTATAAAATAATTGTTCTATAAAAATGAGGTAAAATATTGAGGTGTATACTAAATGCTTTATTAAAAAATTTCTATATCAGTATCATTAACATAATATGTACATAGAAATTTAAACATATTATGTTAAAATTTCTAACATTATGTTCATATATATTAGTACATGTATGTATTACATATATATATATATGAAGTACATGTATTATTATTATTTTAGAATTACATTGCTGTACAATTTTGATAAAAACAAAATCTTACATAGAAATCTGTCTCTGAACAACTTTTAAATGTAAACTGGAGCTTTGTCTCCTCAGGCAAAACTCGATTATGAACATATTTGATGTAATCTGAAGAAATAAATCTAATTTAATTTATTTTCGAGAATAATCATAACTATTAAGTAATGAATATAAGAAAACAAAATTTTAAAAAATATATAACATAAAAAAAAAATTGTTTATAGAACTAAATTGTATTGATACTCCTAACATTAATAATAAAACTAATAATTCATCCAGTTCTTAACATTTTAGCTTCTTTCATTTCTTGGAACTCTCGTTTTCGTTCTTCCAATACAATCTTTCTATCTTCTAAGAACTTTTGATATTCATCTGCATTTAAATCCTTGACTACTTTAATACCCAATGATCGAGCTGTGGAAATTAACATATCACATATTTCCTTCAGGCTTCTAAACTCTAAGTTCTCATCAGACTGTTTTATTACTGCTATTTCGTATACATGCTTTAATGTAACAAATCCTGCTGTCTCCGTTTTATGGTTCATGGCACCTTTATGTATACCTGCTGCTTGTTTGAGGTAATACATGGATGGCGGTTTTGTCATTGTTATCTGATAACTTCGGTCAGGATTGACAAACACTCTAGTTGGTAAAGGTATGCCATCTTTGATATCTTTGGTCTTCTCGTTAAAATCTTTGCAAAATGCTGTAATGTTAATGCCTCTACATCCCAACATTGGTCCCAGTGGCGGACCTGGTGTGGCCATACCAGCCGGTATATTAGTTCTCAACTTACCATGTTGTATTTTATCTACACCCTGTTTCATTTGTCGTAACTTGCTGGCGTTATATTTAGACATAGTGCAGGATTACAATTAAATCTCCTCGATTTATGGTAAATCAGGGTGATATTAATACTTATTTTAACTTAATGAAAAACAAAAACTGTCAACTCAACGCTCAAGTGTACATAAATGTGTTCCTGTACACTCCACAATTATACGTGAATTATCATTAAATATGATAATGTTATCAAATTACAAACATGTGTTACTAAAAATTAGACATGATCAAAATACCCTAGTTCAAAAGTATTTTGCGGCAAATTTAAACAAGCCATGCATATCTACACTATTCAAAATCAATGTAATTAGAATAATTTATAAATTTTTTTTATGATAACATACTATTTCTCTATACGCAAGTACTTATCAATAATAAAAATTAAAAGAATTTGATCATCTTCATAAGCACAGAGGTACCTACTGCAATCATTAATTTACCGTAGTACTGAGGATGTAGCTGCAGTGAAATAATCAAATTAGGAGTATGAAGTCCCAATTATATTCGTAGAAGTATATATTAGATGTTTTTATTTTATTTAGTGTATCAACCCGATTATTCAATATTTTAAATTGCTGTATTAAATTCAGTTAGTAATGATGATTGTACAGTTTTTTTTCTATGGATAAACTTAATTAATACTTAATTTCACGATTAAAGATATATCTTTAATCATACTTAATATAAAATTTGTTATCAATATAAATCTGTAAAATTTCGATTTTTATCTATTTATTTATTTTATAAATTTGAATACAAGACAACGTACACTATATTTTTACTCCTCAACCTCGAATTTTTCATTTATAATTAGTATGAAAATAATTGCAAAATACAGTGCTATCTTATAACTGGTTACAAATATTTTACAAAGTGTATCAATGGAGCTTTATAAGTTCGGGAACCTGTAGAAGAATTGTTAAAAATGTTAGAAGAAAATAGAACAAATGCAAGTGAAATCTTTGATTTATTATTTACTGATGCCAAATTTATAGCAGATAATTTTGAATTCACTATTACTTGTCCCAGAATAACTGGAAAACAATCGCACAGAAACAATTATTCTTATGAATTTCCCAAAGACTATTATCGAATAGGTATTAATTTTTCTACCTTATCTAGATTCAATAATTCAGTGTCTTAAAGAAAGATTTGAAAAAAGTAATAGTGTTGCTTTTTCACTACAACACATTTATTCAGCATTATTTACAAAAATGAAAAAACAAGATTACATTGAAAGCATAATTAATATTTATAATTTCTATAAAATTGAAAATTTGTTAGCTGAAAGAGAAAATTGGTATAGCATATGGCAAAAAAACACTGCAAAAATATGGATTTAATAGATTTACTAGAACATAGCAAAATATATTTCCCTGACATTATAATTGCATTAGAAATTTTTCAATCTTTGCCAGCTACAAATTGTGCAGCCGAAAAGTCATTTAGCACTTTACGAAGAGTTAAGACTTGGCTTCGGTCTACGATGGGTGAAGACCGATTAAATAGCCTATGTATGTTAAGTGTCCATCGCGAAAGAGTTGATATAAGAAAAGAAAAATTCAATGTACAGTTAATAATAAGATTTGCAATAGAACAACCACGAAGACTACAGTTTTTATTTAATAACGAATAAATAGCAAATAATTCTAATACATTTTTTAATTTATAAGGAATATATTTTTAATGTACTTTTTGGTGTTTGATTTCATATAATTTTAACACATTTTGTAGTTTGCAAGGAATAAACTTTTTTAAGCACACATTTTTTGGTGTTTAATTTCATTATGCCCCTCCCTGATAAATTTCCAGCGGGCGCCCATGCCCCCAGGCATGTGCCTACCCGTCCCCCCTTATATACGGGGCTGTATGTGGGTCTCATACGACATCGATGACTGTAGGAATGATAAAAATATTCTGTACGATAAAGGGAACTATAAGTCGACTATGAACTTACACTATAAAATATAATATACGTAGTTTACATTATATCAATAGTGTAAGTATATTACTTTATGATTATACCACAGACTATGGTTATAAAATCAAAGAATAATAAAACAATGTCTATGTCTATTTTATGCTGATACACTAAGATAATTAATTGTACGACACCAACAATGAAATAAATAAAAAATGTATGATTTACGTCTCTATTTATAGATATTAATCATATTTTGACAATACAATATTTGGTATTTGTCCAATATATTAGAGAATAATAATGTCAAATGCATATTTATTTAGTAAAAATCAATATAATTCTCAAAATAAATTAAATTCTTTAATTTATTTTATTTTATTTAAACATCCTAGAACTTTTTAAGTCTAATAATGTAACGTTTTGGAGAAATAGATTTTTTTAGTATTTATAAAATAATCTATGAAAATTATTAGCATTAATTGCTTTAAAATTAAATCATAGACAAAATGAGAATTTTTAGAGTGTTTTAAAAAATACTGAATATTATTCTACTTTAAATTTAAAAAATATAATATCTTTATTTTTGCCTTTCAAAAGGCATGATCATATAAACCTACAGCTCAAAAATATAACAATGGGAGCAAATGTCTCGATCCAGTGGCGTATTTGGGAGGGATGGGGGCAATCGCCCCCTCCCCCGAGAATTTTTATACTAAGACAATTTTTATATAAATAATGGGTATTTTATTAAGAAACAAAAATTATAATTTATTTTTTAGTATTACTACATTTGAAAACGTTTCAAATTTTACACTAATTTAAATAACGCAAAACACTAAATTTTTCATAACGTTTTAATTGTCAATAACGGTAAACGGAAAATTTTTTAAACGTTTAAACGCTTAAATTGAATAACGTTTAAATTATAAATTATTTATAGCATTAAACACTCAATTGCTTATATCGTTTATATGTCTCATAACGATAAATAATATATATTATTTTGATTGAAGACCCAGTCTATACTTAGTGAAAAATTAGATAAAACACAAGCGAAACTTTCAAAACACAGATAGGTGTTAAAAAAGAACTACACGAAAGACCATTCTAAGTGGATCCGGCATTAGATTAAAAAAAAAAAAAAAAAAACCACAAATATTAAGGATTCACCTGATATAAATATTACCAACAATTTTACTTGTAAATTTTGAACCTAAATTTAAGAAAAAATTTGAGTCGCCGTCCCCCCTAGAAGTAAGTCTAAATACGCCCCTATCTCGATCCTACATTACCCTTACTCTCTTCCTACCATAATCACACCACTGAGTGTGGCATGTACATAGGCATGCGCACGGGGGGTGCCGGGTGTGCCCGGGCACCCCCAGACAGTTTGTAATTGAGGCCCTTAAGTCCCAGAACATAGAACCAATATTAGACTGATGTTCTTTAAATAAAATATATATGTATAATAAAAGCCATAAGCCATTAAATAATATGCCTTGAACATATCAACAAACGTCGTCATATCGGGAGAATTATTTTTAACTATTGAAATAATATGTGATCAAAATAATAATAATAATAATAATAATAATGTTAAAACCCATCTTAATATATTCGTATTATGAGCAGGTTCTATTAGTGCTGCCAAACATACAATAAGAATTTAAATTAATCGTGAATAAATTCAGTGACATTCTTACGATCTATTTTATGTTTATAATTTGCATTTCTACATCTCAAGAAATATCTCCAGAATTAGAAGCTTTATCAAACATTTAATTGTATAATTTCGCATTACTACAATGCGTACTAATGGTTTGTTATATTTGTATAACAAAAAATACCAATAAAACTTATCATTGATGACTATCTATACGCAGAACTGTAATGATAATTAATCAAATATATATAATTGTATATTAAATAATCAACATTTATTATATTTTTTCAAATTGACTGCATTACAAGGATAATTATTTCATATAAAATAGTTATTTTTGTAAAATTTATATCAAACTATAGTATATTTAATTACATTTTTTATTCGGGTTAGGAGTTATACACATATCTAATTAAGAAAAAAACCCGAAAATAATCTATCTTTAACAACATCTGGGTCAAATTCTCTACCTAAAAAATATAGTAAATAGAACTTAGGTTGCAGATTTACTGGATATGAGATAAACAGTACCTATAATCTGAATCTTTCAAAATCTAATTATCTTAAAAATTATATTATAATATAATTTTTACAGCACAAAAGTTGATTAAACTTATCAAGTTACATGATTTACTCTGAGTTCAGAATAAAAAAAAATGTTTTATAAATGTATGCTTATTCTGCCTAATACAATTATGTCAGACAAGTCACTGGCCTCTAAAGAAATAAAACAATAGTAGATAACAATTTAGTTTTAGAGAAAAAAAAATAAAATTAATTAGACTTAAATTTAAAAAATATTTTTATTATTTATAAGAAAGGAAAAACACTTTATTCACAATTATTATGATTAAAAATGTTTTAATATAATAATAGGTACTCATTAATGTTCCAAAAAACATCACTCAGTCTTCAATAAAATAATTACATATAGATAACCATTAGTTATTATATTACTTACAATTTTTCACTTGTGTATAAGGTTCTAACAATTATGTTGTTTAAATTAAATCATTTAACTTAGTTTTTCTTAAATGTATATACGATAAACATAAATCATTAGCATGAAACTATTACTCTTCAAATTACATTTGAAAATTGGACATATTTTATACACTCTTTATGATTTATGTATTTGTATGTACTTTCATCAATTATTAATTATAGTCTTACACCATCACATGATTTCTTTACTAATGAATAAATATATTATTATTATAATTTAATAGTGTATATTTAAGAAATTAAAGCAAATAATAAACATTTCAGTATTTCGCTGAGAACAATTTTATTGCGAATTATAGTTTTAACTACCAATGCGTGTCGTCCCAATTGGCAATTACGATCGTTACAATACTAATAGGCAAAATATGCAGAATATATAGGTACCATGTGTCACCGAAGCACATGACGTACTTAAATATATAATATATACATTAAGTATTTCATTGTGAACAAGTGCCGGAGGTTATTGTACGACCGTTCCGGGCTAATGCGGCGAGACAGTGGTGGTGACCTTTCATTATTATTTCATACGTTTATGAAATGTACCTAACATACATATATAACATAATATTTTATATCTAAGATATAATATAAAAATGTTTATTGTTGTAAATACTGCCGAAAAATATATCGCCGCGTGGGTTTTTGTACAAACGCCACTTGACTTATAATCATACGTATTATGATGTATACCATACTGTTATGTTATTATTGTTATTTCTGAAAAGACCTTTTTTTTTTTTTTTTTTTTTTTTTATAAATATGTAGGATAATAGGAAAAATACATAGCAAGGCGATATAACGTATGATGTGTGAGATTTTAGAGAGTTTATTTGCGCAACCGCTTTATTAACAAAAAAAAAAAAAAAAACTACAAAGACAATTAGACCAACTCGCGATAACCTTCACCACCAAGGCACAAATACTAATATTGGGGTCTTTTAAAGTACATGTGTGATATCTGATTTTTCTCTACAATTTAGTATAAATCAATAAAAAATAAATATAAGAAATAAAAAAAATAATTTGTTCACGTAAAAAACTTTTTAAGGTTCAATAAGTCGTGAACTTTTAATTTTGGTTCTATTAGGAAGGGAGTTAGTCCAAATCAGCGAAGAATTGTTTTCCCGTATAATACATATTACTGATTTTTGTTCTCTTACACGCCATCATTTCGCGTTTGAAATCTGTGACGAAACTACGTTTGATCAATACTCTATATTCTATATTACATATAACAGTGCCGTTCCGAGGGCAGGGCAAACGGGGCACTCGCCCAGGGCCTTGTGCCTCCAAGGGCTTCGCGTTTATTCAATAATATATATATATATATACAACATACCATGTATAAATAGATTATAGATATATGGATTGAGGACTGCTATTCTGATGTATCTATAGATTTCGATATAATATTGTAGGACCTCGAATTCTAATGATGCCCAGGGCCTCGCAGAACCTAGGAACGGCACTGATATATAACATGCGATATGTGTAATGGAACTGTAGATGTATTGTGTGATAAAAACACATCAGATATAAGCTATATATTAGTCATATTAGTATATATATACATATATGTAAATATATATGGGTTTAGTTTTTTTTTTAAAAAAATGAGTAAATAAGTGTCGAACTTCTTAGTTTGACCGTCAAGTTCAACCAGATTTATTTTCAGTCGAAAGAAAATTGGAAGTATTGGAAAAGTATACTGAAATTTCGCTGTTTCACGGCTTACTAAACGCGGAGTGAATTTATGACTACTTCAATACTCAATAACCTGCTCACTTTATGCAATAAAAACGATATAAAATCGTTACAAAAAAATATCACACGTATGGCGCGTGAAAGTCGTCTGGTTTACTTCACGTTACCTACCACTCGTTTCTCCTACCAGTCGTGTATAATAGGCCTTGGTTTTATCGAATATACACGTTGGACCATTAAAGATCCGTCCGCTAAGGATAATAGGTCCAAAAAAGTTGTACCTCCGGATTAGGATAAAAATTCAGTTTACGGAAAATACAGCAACGAATTAATTTATTATTGTATCTATAATATTATTATTGTATCTATAATAATTCGTTTGGTTTACGAAGAATTGTGAAAACTATAACAGAACGTATAATTATTCGATGTATGCAACATCGATTCCGACATGGGAATTGTGTACCATTAAATCAGCGGTAAGGGATGGTGTGTTTAGGTCCCGCAGCGAATAACGACGACGTCCAACAAGTTACGCGGGCAGTTGAACCGTGACGACATCCCCTTTAGTGGCCCATCGGATTCGACGTCGGTTTCGGAGTGGCACCGCGCGTCGAGTACATATCATATTAAGCGATTTCCACTCACGACACGTCACGTCTCTAAGCCGTTCGCGGAATTCTTAAGTGTTATCTTTCAGAAACAATAAAAAAAAAAAAAATATGTAATAAAAACAATTTCGAATACGCGTTCGGAAACCGGGGTCGGGCGCCTACAGCTGTGGCGCCGTCGAGCGGCGGCGGCGGCGTCACGCGCTACGACAACAACGCGGCGCACGCACACACACTTGCGATCCACAACAGTTGTACGTTTTTGTAGATAATAACAATTTCGCGCGTTGTGTGTGTGTAGGTGACGACGAGGTGTCGAACGCGAGATAACCGCGATAACGTGTACGGCCACCGAACGTCATTGTTGCAACCGCGTCCGACCATCTCGCGACACTTCTGTTCACCGTCGCCGACGTCGTCTACGTGCGCAACCACGAATTCCAAGTCCGGTAGACGTCGATCACTCAACGCACCTTTGTGCCCTTGCGCCCCGCCGAGACCAACGGTAAATGGCACCGGCCCTATCGCAATCCGTTTCGCATCTGGCCCGTTGACTTTACTGGTAAAAGTATTCGTATCGTGCGACACGACGACGCACTCCCCGCCGCCGCCTCCGCTGCCAAACACCGTCGAAACACCTTCGCGTACCGTTCAACGTTTCGTCGTTCTCCACCACCCTTCCCTCCCCCACAAGCACGGCTTGTAGTGATGTGTTGATCGACGACGAGTTTTCGCGCTTGTGATTTCTCGTTCGCGCCTTCTCGTTCTTTACCCGCGAACGCGCGCCAGCCAAAAAGGCGGTGGCCGTCGTCAATTCTCCGGAATCTTGTGCATCCATCGTCACTGGCAATATGTGGAAAGTACGAGAACTGGCCGATAAAGTGTAAGTATCTCACCGTGCCCCGACGGTAGTCATTGGTATCTCGATCCGATTTATTCTTTCATTATTTTTTAACCTATTGTCTGCGTTTCGTGTTTAGGACGAACGTAGTCCTAAATTACACAGAAATTGAAGCCAAAGTCAGAGAGGCGACCAACGATGAAGCTTGGGGACCCACAGGTAATGTGTATACTTTAATTTCTGATCAAACTTCGATATTTATTTTGTCTACTTCAGCCGTTCTATCCACCGTATTTTTTCTCATTTGTCTGCTCAACTTATTTATTAATAATATTTATCTTCTTGTTGTTTATTGTTCACTTGATAACAATTTATAATGTTATTTTCTTGGATTTTAAAGTAAATAATAATATATATAAACGTTTTAATTTCTTGGAACTAGGAGGTCAACAATCACTTTTTATCATTTTGATACCTACTTACTAATTTACAATGTTTTTTTTTTTTTTTATTATGAAAATGTAAAAAATGTAAAAGCATTTATTGATAGTAAGCAAAGTTTGATTGATTTCCATTGAAATATATATATTTATTTATACTTTCATACAACAAGCACTTAGCTGGTACTAATTTATTTTGGAATTATTTTTATAAGGATTTGTGCTAGGTTATATTTTGTAGATATTTAATACGTCCTTAAACATTAATTAATAGTTGCATTTCAAAGAGCATTTTAATTGGGTTTTAAATTTATTGTGTAATTTCCTAGTAGTTTATATTACAGTATTTGTTCATTATTCTATGAAATATTAAGAGTACTACTTTGTTTAATTTTTCCTTGTATTTGTACTATACTTATACTTGTTTATATTTTATAATTTACAGGTAATTTAATGCAAGAAGTAGCTCAAGCAACATTCATGTTTGAACACTTCCCTGAAGTTATGGGAATGTTGTGGAAGCGAATGTTACACGAAAATAAGAAAAACTGGCGAAGGACTTACAAAGTAAGTGTTAGCTGTATATAATAATGTAAACAAATATAATCAAACAGTGTATAACAGCGGTTTCCAAACTTTTTTGGTTCACATATTCCCATTACAAAAAAAATTGAATCGCCCCTCCCATGAATAAATAAAAGAACATTTTTTTATTGTTTTAATTAAAGCAAATTACTATCAATCTAAAAATAAATATATAATAGTGTAATATACAATATAAATATTTGCTTTGTGCCTCTTAGGGAGGCACACCTTACAGTTAGGGAACCATTGGTTTATAGGAAAATATTTTATTTTTTATCTTTCTTATATGTATCTATTTAGTTTCATATAATAAACTTTTGATAGAATACGAATATAAATTAGCTTACTACTGACTGCTAAATCTAATTTAATATCTACTAAATTGTATTAACAATTGATGTTATTTTAATATTCAATTCATCATATTTGCTTTTAAGTTTGACTATATTTTTAATGTTTAATTTACTTAAATGAATTAAAATTAATAAGCACTAATAAACAATAAGATTAAAACTTATCTGTATCTATATTTATATAAATATGTTAACATATAATTGTTTAGTTATTACTTATTAATAATTGAAATACTCTTTATAATTCATATTTTATACCCTTTATTTATTATATTGTTTAATTATTATGTATAATAAATATTAAACATTTAAATTTTAAATTCATGTTTGATGATGTTTTTTTATGAAATACTTAAAATTTTATAATATATTTATTTTTAGAGTTTATTGTTATTAAATTATTTGGTAAAAAATGGATCTGAAAGAGTTGTTACATCAGCACGTGAACATATTTATGATTTAAGAGGATTAGAAAATTATTCATTTGTTGATGAATTTGGTAAAGACCAAGGAATTAACATAAGGTATTATTGTCACAATATGTTATCTCAACAATATTAAAATTAATTCATTTTTTTTAGGCATAAAGTAAGAGAGCTTATTGATTTCATACAAGATGATGATAAGTTGCGCGAAGAGAGAAAAAAAGCTAAAAAAAACAAAGATAAATATATTGGATTGTCCAGTGAAGCCATGGGTTACAAAGGATCAGGTAATGTATAATGTATGTTAGTTTGTTATTAATATTAATTATGGTGGTTTTTGTTGTTGTTAGGAACTGAAAAATGGGATGAAGTACCAAGATGGAAAAAAGACAGTAACAATGAATTTAGTGACAAAAAAAGTAGTAGCACTCTAGGGTTTGAAGAATCCCCTAATAACAGGTATAAATTATGGTTAAATACAAAATAAAGAATACATCTGATTTATTTTTTTTTTAAATGTTTCACCTAAGTTCCTTTGTCCTTAAATTATGTAAAAGCCTAATCATGCACATCAACTATAAATTATTGAATTACTTAAAGTAAAATCTATTTAAAACAAAGCCTAACATTTTAAAATACATGTGTCTATTTATTTAAAACATTTTTTTTTTTTTTTGTTTAATTTTGTAAAAAATAAATATTTGTGTGATTAATTTATTATTTAATGCATTTATAGTGATGAAAATGATGTAGTGGATTCTGAACCAGAACTTGATTTGCCACAAAAACCTTCTGTTGAAGCATATAAAGATCGTAGTATGTCCCCTACTAAAATTCAAAGCCCGTCAAAACATAGAACACCTATTAAACGTATTGATTTGGGTGCAGCAGCACATTACGGCAAAATACAAACTGAAATCAAATCTCCAGTAGCTACCACTAGCCCAATAGAAACTGAGCTGAACTCTGTAGATTTGTTAAATATTGTAGATAACAGCAATAAGCAATCAAATGATTTTGGAGATTTTAATGCAGCATTCAGTACTGCTCCTAGTACTGGTACTGCATTAAATAACTTAAGGTAATTAAATATTTATTGTGTGTGATTTAATTTTACAGTATTATGTATACTATTCTACTTAAATTAATTACTTGATTATTTTGTTTTATTTTAGTACTAATAATGATGAATTTGCTGATTTTAGTTCAGCATTTACTCGGTCAACCACTTTAAACAGCAATATTGCAAGTTTATGTAAGTTGTCACTTTCTACTAAATTATTACAAAAATATTAAATTTCTATTAAGTTATTAATTTAACTTTTGTAACACAGCTAACCAAAAATTAATTTCAAATACTGATCTCCTAACGTCGTTACCACAATCATCTACAAATGGAACAAGTCGTAATTTGTTAGATATGAATTTTGACACTTTAGATAATACAGGTAATTTATCTAATATCTATTATCGATAAATAGTACAGATAGTTCTAGATATTTTGATCAATACTATTTATGGTAATTGTGTATTTGCATTTCTTTTAATCTTAGTAGAAGTTGGTTTCTTGTATTAATTATACAGTTAAGGTTAGAAAACAATTTTTTTTATTATACATTTTCAGCAACTGGAACAATATTGAAGAAACTTCTAGAATCTATTCACCAACAATCAGATTCAAATATAATAAAAGTTTTAGAAGAATTTATTGAATATTTACCAGGCCCAATGACTCCTCAAAAATTTACAGGACTTGATTGTTATCCAAATTATTCTCAAGTTATCAAAATATATAGCCAAGTACTAGAAAGTATTTTAGAACATACAAATTTTATCAATTATATTGATTTAATTTCAAAGATATTTGCCCCGGATGGTGGTACACTAGAAATGCTTGACATATCATTACATATTTTATGGAATTATATTGCATTAAATTCATTATCCTATAAAACTGATTGTGCTATTGAATTAATCAGCAAAATTTTAATAAGTGATTTAATTAAATCTTCAATTATTACTGAAACTCTAAACTCAAATCACAGTCGTTTTACAATTATTATTGATTTTTTATTATCATTACCAAATAGACTGGCCAACAAAGTTGGAAAGAATTTACCTAAATTATTTATTCCTGTAGAGTTTTCAAATAGAATAATGAATAATATATTATATGTCATTGACCAATTGAGCCAATTTTATACTTTGGAAAAAAAGAAACCTAATACAAAGCCAATTTCAATAATTCTTGGGAAAACTATTGCTTCTTTTCTTCAAAACGACTTTCATACTACTTGGAATATTTTAGAATGCTGGTGCTTGGACAATAACTATGCTGTAGTTATTAGAAGTATTTTCTCAGAAGTTGATAGAAGAGCAATTGATAGACTTGGTTACTTGTTTTGTCGTAAATTATCAACAACTGTTTCAATTCATAATATCATTGAAAATGCAATTATTGATGTACCTAACTGGAATTACACTTTGTGCAAAAAAATGATATTTCTTTTTTATCACGAAGATGATAATATAGTAGTAAATCTGATGAATTATTTGTACTTAGTTCAACAAAAGTCTAATACAAATATATTAAGCTCTTTAATCTTAGAACTTGTTGAAATTTGGGGTGATAAAAGTGCATTGATTCATACACCATTTGAACAACATTATTATTTATCTAAACTTATTGTTGTTGGTTCAATATGTTTAGCAAATATTACGTTGGATGAAGATTATAAAAGAAATCTGGAAATTAAACTCTTTGAAGGTGTTCCTGTTCATCTTGGGAGTTCAGAAGAAAAAGTACGAACCATAGGAATGGTGTTAGCAGAAATTGTTATTGGTTGTATGAAATCCAATGAAAAAGATACTCCTAGCTTAAAATTTGAGTATGATGGATTACAAGAAGAATCACAATTGATAATAAAAACATTAAATGAATTAAAACATTTTAAATGTAGTAATGATTTGATGTTTAATAATGCTTTTAAAATGTTAAATAATTTTTTCCAAGAATCAAATGTCAACAAAATAGAAAATTCTAATGTAATTAGTACATTCCATAGTATAAAAGTAAATAATATAAACAATTCACTTGATAATAGTCTAGATAGTGATGATGATGAGTTTGAGCCTTATGACTTATCAAATGATGTTGAGATAGATTTAAAAAGTAGACCCAAATACATTCGTGATCTTATTGATGGTTTAAACGAGCAAAAAGATTTTAAGGTGTGGTGTGGTAGCTTAGAAGTGTCTGAAAGTCTTATTAAATCACAGTTATCTAATGATGATCCTTCTTTTGCCATTGAGTTATTAACATTATTAATGAGTATAGAACAACGGTTTTATATAGAAAATTTTGAAATTTTAAGATTTCAATCTGCTGTTGCTGTTGTAACTGTCTATCCTTACGATTGTTCAAAATACCTTTGTAATCTTTTTTATGAATCTATTGGTAGATATGCTGTTTCCCATCGTATATTGATATTAAAAGTTCTAACTAACTCAGCTCAAGAGTTATCTGGCTTTAAAAAAACTGAAGAAAAACAAAAAGAACAAATTGTAGAAAATAGTCATACAAAATACTGGGAAGATATTATCAAAAAAAGAATTCAGCATAAGACAAGAATAATTTCCAATCCCAGAACACCTATTAAATATCAAAGTAATAGATTTGTATCAGTAGCTGATGCATTTTTCTTCCCTCTTATTCGGGGGAATTTAATAAATCCTATTGTTAACCCAAAAATGGACCATAGTGAGCAGTTGAATATTCTTGGTGTGCATTTATTGAATTCTTTATCAATAATATTGTGTTGTGCTGTAAATTCTATGCATGCGACCCGTATGGCTGTAGAGCTCTTAGAATGGACTTGGTCATTAAGATTTCATTATGATGTTAAAATAAGAATGGCTGTTATGGGTTGTGTTGCTGCTGTTTTGTTATCCGTACCAAAATCAAGAATAGTTGACTTGGGAAATTTATTAGAAGAATTTATTATGTGGTTGGAAAATATTGTTACATCTGAAGGAATAATGAATAAAGTCGATAATGAAGTAAATCAGGAAGCGAGAAAATTTGCCATGCAAGTTCTTCTCCTTTATAAAAATGTTGTTAGTGAACAAATTATGTTATAAAAATAATATTTCAACTTTATGCTAATTGTTTTACCATTTTAAAAATGTACTGCTGTTTATTGATAATTAAAAATTAATACATTTTTTTGTATTTCATTTTGCATTATTTATTGAGTCTTAGTCCTTTGTTATATTCATCATTTTTATTTATAAACTAGACCTTTACAATTTACAGGGTCTTCTTTGCCATTGAATCAAATGATTCAACCGGTATCATTTGCTCAGAATAGTAATACAGACAACAAATCACCTGGAAACTTAAATAAAATACAGGTAATTTAGTTTAATATTATATTTATCAAAAATATTTTTATAAAACACTTGTGAAAATGGTTACACAATTGCTTGTAGTATTTCTTACATTTATAGATTATTTGTAAATATGATACTGGTACACTAATGTAAATTTGAGCTACCTAAATTAATTTATGATATTATTTATGTAGCATAATGTTTGTTTTGTAGTTGGGCAGTACATGGAGTGGAGTGAAGGATCTAAATATAGACTTGGATAATCTATTATCACCTGGTAGTAAATCGCCAAATTCTATTTCAATACCTATGAACCAAATGGCTAATAACAACAATACTCTCGGTAAATAAAATGAATTAGTTTTTTTTATAACATTTGGTACCTAGAATATTATTAAATATTAAGTTACAATGCCGCTTAAATTATTATATTTATTACTCAGTAAAAATCAATTATATACAGGAAGTTGATAAATAAGTCTTTCAATACTATGATGTTTTATTTATTTATTTTAATATTAATTTTAGGTGGTAAACAAAATGCTTTTTTTGACTCCAATGAAGTACTAATGCCTACTCAACAAACATTCTCTGCTAGCTTCAAGTGATATTTTTATTATGAGAACATATAAATTTAAAATATTAATTAATGTGCAAGAAATTATTTTAAAACTTAGGGAAGATGTTTCCTATTTATAATGTTTTTTTTAATTTAATGGTTGTGGGACTCTTATTAATTGAAATATGATCATAATAAGGCGATTTACTTATATCGCTTAACAAATAATATTTTAATTGATTAAAAAAATGGTCTATATTTACTAAATTATCAATGTGGTGAATTTTTAAAAGTCCTTAAAAGTGTGTTACTTATCATTTAAAATCATTCATTAATAAGAGGTGTGTAATGTACATGTTATAAAAATATACTTCAATAAATGAATTAATACATTTATACATAACTAAAGATAAGAGTAATATTATATTGCTGAAAACATTGGTACATTTTTTTCTTCTTTTCTTGATTATACGTACTTATTGATGGTTTGTTGGTTTCGAAAATACTTTTTTTCAATCAATTTTATTTAGTGTATATATTTATTATTTTCTTTAAAACATCGAGTTATAAAATGTATTGCACTGAATGATTGTTTAAAAACTGAAATCACATCATCACATAGTATCACCAGATTATTTAACATATCACATTAACATATTTTGTGAAATGCGTCAATAATCATATCAGTTTTTTTGTTATTTCTTTTTGAGCCAAATTTGTACCTGATTTAATTATGATATTCTTAATTTGATTTTGGTGCTTATATTTAATGGACAAATCAATTTTATGAATGTTTCTTGCATGGCTCAATGAACCATATCCAACAGTATTTATATTTCTAACTACAATATTATTTGTTGCAAATTGTTAATTTTCGGATTATTTGATTACAATTATTTTTAAATACCTATTATTATTATTTTACAATTTTATTAAGTTTATTTACCTACCCTAGGATGTTTTATTTGTTAATTTTAAAGTCAATCATTTTAATTTAATTAATTCCAATATTATTTCCTTTCAAATTTTAATTATAAAATTAATATATACCTATGTGTTATTAATAAAATTATTTTGTTGATTACAATGTTGTTTTAATTTTCCTTGACTATGTTTTATTCTTTAATGTTATACTGCCAATTTATAGTTGAAAAAATTATATTTTATACTTGTGTTAACTATAAAACCTTATTTATTAAAAAAGTTATTATTTTGATTCAGACTCATTGACTAAGTTTATTATCAGCATGCTCAAGAGGGGGGTATGAATTTCAACCCCTTCCCAATTGATTATTATAATAGTTTATTTATTTTACAATCTTACATCAAATGATGATATGACAGATACCAAGTTATATGATAACATGGCTAGCCACTATTTTACACAGGCTACTGCGTCCAGTGCTGGATCCAAGTTTCAGGAGGCCTGGATGGAAATATTAAATTAAGGGCCCTTAAAAAAACGGTTCTTAACATAACGCTTGTATATTTATTTTATACATGTTGTTTTATTAAATATGTAACTAAAAAAATGAAATTTAAATACCTTAATTATTAGGTAAATTATAAAAAAGCATATAAATATACAAAATAGACAATTTTCAATTTTGGTTTCAAAATTTTAGAGCTTAAAGACCCGTTGCATTCCACTCGTGTGCCATAGCTAAATTCGGCAATGGCTTCATAATTGCAACATAGTTTACAAGATACAATATCCATAATATAGAATCTAAAATATAAAACTATAATTTTCTGTAAAATCTGATTACTTAAATATTAAAAGTTACATCATTTTTTATATGTTATTATTTTCATAGTTTACCGTAATGTTAACTTTTGCAAATAGTTGACTTTTACTCGAAAAAAGTTATTAATCTTGCTGAAGCGACTGTTTCTACTATTAAAAAATTACTTGAAAACAGCTAATTCAAAAAATTGTTTTAAAAAGCTGAGGTAAAGATAACACATCTTTCCTGATTATCTAAGAGACTTTCAATTTTAATTTATGAAAATACTTTTTCTTTAGAAGCTAAGCTTAGAAATATTGATCCATAGCGGTTGTAATGGCAGTTTTAATTCATTGCTGCTACAAATAAGAATAATCCGTTCAATCATGTGCGTAACTTTGAAATTTATTAGAGGGGGTGGGCAAATATATCATTACATATCTAACGAAAAGGGTGTCCGCGTCCAGGATTGGACTAGCTCTATAGCTCGGCCTGGGCAAAATAATTTTGAACGGCCTCAATGGAACTTTATCAATAGGTAGGTACCTAATCAAATTATTGTTTAACTGAAAATTTATTTTCTTAACTCAAAAAACAATATACACACAAGCACATTTGAATATTTTCAGATTTAATGTTATACCTTAAATAAATCTAGTTTACGCATAATATATCTTATCTATAATATTGATATAATGACCTACTTATTAAGATAAATTGTACACCATAAAAAATTATTTGATTTAAATATGTTCATACATTTAATTTTAATTGAGTTAGAACAGTGGGGTCGGCCACTAATATCTCTTTTATGTGGCCGGCAGTAAATTTCAAAAAATAGTAAATGTCATTGAATATCATATAAATTTTTTATACTGTCTGACCCTAGAACCATTTTTAATTTGTGAATATGGCCCAAAGGTCCATTAAGGTTGCCGACCACTGAGTTAGAACATATTGTTTTTAACCGGTAATAATTGACTTGAAGTCAACAGAAAGGTTGAAAACTAGTAATAGACTTGTTATTGACTGAATGTCAAAACTATTAAAATATTTTTAAATAAAAGTTTAATAAATCTTATAAAAATTATTATTATCGAAAAACAATTTCGCTATCGCATACCTTGCACGACCGTGTCTACCCATACCAACATTTTCTTTTGGTTAAATGTTTGAACAAACGCGAACGGTACGTCGTATCAGTCCCTATTTTTCATAAAAATTCGTTCTACACATTTTTTAATATACAATGATATGATACATGGCTCCTCTCTACCCCCTTCCATATGATTATAATTTTTAGTACAATGTCAGTAATAATTTTTAGTGATATTTTTTTTAATCGAATTGCATATTATAATAAGTTAAACTAAAAACCAATCTGATATTATTTTTTAAACTGAAAATATACTTTTGTCTAGTATAAATCTGAAAACTGTTTATAAATTATTAATTTTAATGTGGGATATATAACTTAAAATATAATAGATATATTTTATTCCTCATCTGTAGAGCTAGGATGTTTATGAAATTGCATATTTTTTCTATTTATCCAATTAATTGCAGACCTGGATACAAATTTGATTCATGTTCTACTGAATAAAATAATGCTATTTTTATTTTGCATATTTTTGTATATTTAGTGATTTTTTATTTTAAATACATATTTTTGGATTTTAAAAATATAAATTCATATTTCAAAACAATTTAACGTAAAATATAAATAATGTTCCTTATTAGGTATTTTTATACTGTGCTTGTCCGGAATATTTATTAGATAACGATCTAATAATAGAATTTTGTATACACTTCATGTCATGATTATGTGGCGAAGACCAAGCGACATATTGGTACGATTTTAATCGCCATGTTTCCATGTCTGTCGTTAAGAGTACCTATTATTATTTATATTTTTTCGCAGTTAGTTTTACTTTTATTTAAAAATGCCGAAATGTAAGTCGTTTTGTTCAGTTCGTCTTAAAAGTTTTGTAGACGAGTTTGGAAATTATGTTTTTTCTACGGATGGTACGGTTTTGTATTGTAAAGTGTGTGAAATTAAAGTTGGATCCGAACGTCGTTTTACCTTCGAACAACACTTGAAGACAGCCAAACATAACCGCACAGCTGATCGACAGAAACAAACTCAGTCACAACAACTAATTTGCAATGTGGTCGGTAAAAAATCATCATTTTACATGGATATGTGCAGAGCGTTTCTTGGAGCCAATATTCCTTCCACAAAGTAAATTATAAAATATTTTGTAATTTTTTAACAAAATATACAGGTAAAGAAATACCAGAAGAGTCAACTTTACGCAACAATTATTATCTGATTGTTATGAAGAATCAATTAAAAAAATTAGGAATGATATCATTGGCAAAAAAATATTAGTTTCTATAGATGAAATAACAGATTACGAAGGCCGCTACGTAGCAAACGTGATTATTGGTATTCTTTATAAAAATACGCCGGGTAAATTGTATTTATTGAACTCTGAAGAGTTAGATAAAACAAATTACTTTACAATTAGTAAAGTTTTTGATCAATCCATGTTTCTTTTACGGCCAGAAGGCATTTGTCATGACAAATCGTGCACGATGATGTTCATTTATTTGTTACTGATGCCACCCCATATATAAGTGAATAATTGCTGCCAATCCGTTTAAATCGCTTTATTCAAAAATGGTGCACGTCACCTGTCTTGCATATGCACATGATAGAGTAGCGGAAACAATTCGTGGAAAATTTAATAATGTAGACTTGTAGACTTGTGTCAAACATTAAAAAAGTATTATTGAAAGCACCATCACGTTTAGAGATTTTTAAAACAGAAGTCTCTGGTATTCTTCTACCTCCAGTGCCTATAATAACACGTCGGGGAACATGGTTAGAAGCGGAATTTTACTACTCTGATAATTTTACAACTATACAAAATGTATTTTCAGAATTAAACTCAGATGACGCAGTTTCAATCGAAAAAAGAATTAGCATTATGGCTGAACCAAATTTAGGCCCAAACTTAACATTCATTCGGTCCAACTTTAGATTTTTACCAGTCAAAATAACTAAATTAGAATCATCTGGATTAACTTTGTTTGAATCAATTAATGTTGTCAATTATACCAGAGAAACCCTCAAAATGGCTAATGAAAAAGTGGGAAAAGAAATTTACGACAAATTTCAGAATGTAATTGAAAAAAATAAAGAATTTAAAACTTTGGTACAAATTTCGAAAATACATTCCAGTGAAGTTGATACTATGGAAGGAATAGAAGAAGATTTGAAGGTTAAGGATCTTGCATTCATCAAATATGCATTCATCAATAACATCAGTTGATGTAGAATGAAGTTTTTCATGCTACAAAAATTTACTTTCCGATAACAGATGCAGTTATAAATTTGAGCAAATTAAAAACATTTTAATTTTTTACACATTAATTAGCACAGTGTAACGCTAATAATGTAATAATTAATAAATAATAAATAATACTGTAAATTAATGTAAATAAAACGCTATGTAAATTTAAAAAATGTATTTTAATTTGTAGTAAAAAAAATAATATATAAAAATAACTACTAGGTAATAAAAATATTATATTTTTATTTTATGAATTGTAAAATATTTTTTGTGCATATTTTGGTATTTTTATTGGCTAAAAATGAATATTTTATCATTTTTAGCGCATATTTTGATTGCATATTTTGGTAATTTTTTAATGCATAAATGTATGCATATTACAGTAGTTTTAAGTGCATAAACATCCAAGCCCTACTTATCAGCTATCTTGCTTAAACTGACTTCCTGAAAAACACCTTCATAATAGTCTTATTTATTAGTATTTAATAGGTAAACACTTCTCGAATCCTGTAGTGCATACTTGCAGTTTCGGACTACACACTTTGTGTCGGGATTCACAAAAAAAAAGGGACTGTATCGTATGATTAAAATATTGTATACAATTTTTGTATTCGAATTTCCTACAATTTTTCTATTTATAAATATTGTGATAAAATTATTATTATCAATCGGCCTATCGCTACATTTTAAATATGTTCAATATTCAAATTTCGAGTTATCTAATTCTGTGTCACTGTATCCATTAGTAATGTCGTATTATAAAGCGATATTTTTTATTTTATTTTAAGAACAGAAGATAGACACATTAAATAAAAAATAAAAAATCCAAGTAATTTTATTTAACCAAAATTACAGCAGCCCACCGGGGCATGCCCTAAAGCCACGGTGGCCTAGTTTAACCCTGTCCGCGGCTAAATGTCGCTTTACTATCTATATATTATTATAAAAAATTATTCATTTTCTAACATTATGTTAGATAAGCAAATATTGAAAATTAAGATTTAAAAAAAAAATTATATAATAATAGTTATAACCAGCTGTTTTGAACTTATTTTAAAACAAGATATTTTAAATATCAGAGGGGGCACCGCCCCTCATTATTTATTTCAGGAGGGACAATTGCCCCCTCTTGTCTCCCCCCCCCAATTAACGCCTAAGCGTTCAATTATGATTTTTAACAATTTTGAAAAACATAATCACTAAGAAATTATTCAAATTTGTTTTTCAATTCATAGTCTAATCAACTATAATATATATTTATTTAATAAAAAGACAATTTGAAAACATATTATTTATTATATAATAATTTAGCAATTGATTAAAATCGTTTACAAGCTATCGTCAAGCCTTATTATTATATTTTAAATTAAAATGTAATATTTTTATTACACTTGGAAATATGAAAAATGATTGTTAGTATAATATTAATAATATATATTAGATAAGTGTCAGACCATAATTATATAATTTAATGAGTATCAATTAATATAATTGTTTGACTATACTAAATTTAATTATTAATGTACGATACATTAATAGGTATAATTATATGACAGTTAAAATTTATTAAATTATAATAGCTATAATACCTTATACAAATAATTAATAATTAATACAATATTTTGAATAATCTTAATGTATGGAGTATAATTTATAACATTTGAAAAAACGTTAGGCTTAAGATATTAAAACTTATATATTTTTTGCTTATATTTGAAGAAAAAATGATTGGACTAAATTTGGTTTTCGCAAGGAGAATTTTTAAATTTATATGTATGACAGTGTACTTTTAATTTAATGATTTTAAAAAACCTCATATATTTTTAATTTTTATTGATTGTATATGATATGATGTGTAGACATCTATTAGTTTTTTATTTCAATCAATTTTAGTTAACTTTTAAATAAAATTAGTTAATTTAAAAACATAAAATATTTATTTTAGTTTTTACTCGAAGTAAAATTATTATTACTTAAGTTTTATTTTAGTAGTATTAATTTAACATTCACCTGAGTCTTAGAATATGACTGAACATCATAACAATTAAGTTATTGGTAACTATTACATCAATAATAATAATAATAATATTAAAAGTAACTAATAGTAATATTCAAGAAAATAATAATGATGCTATTATGATTGTATTTTTAAAAAAAGGAAAGTATATATTACGAACGTATGTTAAATTATTATAATATGGTGTTCGAATTTAATTTAAATGTGTACGAACAAAATTTGAAAAAAACTCATTTTTGGATACCACTGAAAGCTATCACTATACGGTAACGTACATATTAGGCGTTAAAGATTCTAAAACTGTATAATATTATAGAAAAAAAAATAAAAATGTATAGCCTAAACGCAGCAGGTAATGTACATACAATAAACACACATACATACACCAGTGGCGATGTACTTAAGCTAAAAAACATAATATTATTCAACACAAAAATACATTTTCAAATAACGATAATTATGCTACTGAAATACGATAAGTACTTATTATAATATCAAAATAACATATTATAGTATTGAAATTCCTACAGGTATCATATAACCTGGACTAAACGATTATTAGTATACCTATATAATAACTACATATTATGAACCATTGGCGGGTATTCATTGACTAATAGTTAACGCTTGATAAATTACGTACAAAACATAATAATAACATAAAAAAAGGTACAAATACAAATAAAAATCAATTTACATATTATAATATCAATACATATTATTATATTTGTTTGTACAACACATCAGATGGTAATAATATAAATTATTATAACATATTGATCAGAACATTTTGTTTCATAAGACAATTATTATAATTATTATGACTTATAAACCTATCTCTACATAATCTATGTACGAATAATATAGATACGCAAAAAGGGCTATACGCCCACACGTTTCGACGAAATCATATTCAGTAGATAATAACAACTATTCATTGTACATTTACATTATAATATATGCTACAAGCAAAATTGCGAATATGTGATAGGATACGTCGGATCGATGTTTGATTGCATTAATTTTCGACGATTACTATACGTAATACTAGTATGAAATTATTAATTAATTATCTATGTGCGACTAAATAAATACGGAATACAATGCGTACGATACGCATCGTGCACAACTTGTGTACGCAAACAATGCAGCCATTTCGTTAGTATTATTTATTATAACAATATTATTACAGAAAAGCAATCGGGTCGCTGCGTCCTTTGGTGGCAGTATTTATCGGCGCGCCGATGGGTAACGACAATACAACGACTAGTATAGGAAACAAGCGTCTGACAGGTCAGAGGATAGGCTGAAGGCTCGGGCTAGGGCCAGTGGGAGTTACGTATAAAACGAAAAGTAAAAAAAAAACTCCGGACAGCGTACATGAAAGCTACGGCACTACGAATCGGGTTGAAATCATAATATTTCGGATACATTGACGTCGTCTTCAGCAGTGTGCACTAACGTCTTGGGCCCGTTGCGGGTTCCGTCTTTGGCTGAACAGAGTTCACGTTGCCAGAAACTTGGTGATACGCAGCAGTGACGCCCTCAAAAGTCATCGAGTGGTGCAATAGCACTAGCAATTTAAGGTGGGGGGTGGCTGCGGTGAGTTATGGGTTGGCGATGAGAATTTTGTCGATCAAGTGAAATACAGTTTAGACCTAAATATATGATGCAAGGGGTAGGAGGATCATCGTAGTCAGAGATGAGTACAATCGGCCGGTGGAAAAATTTGTTGACGCTACAACAGAATATGTGTATCCCGGCAAAGGGATAAGGGTTACGCTACAACGGGAGATCGTTGTACACTCGTACCTATTATTACATAACATGATACAGGCGGAGGTGAGCATGGTGGTTAAAGGGTGGTGGTGGGCAACGGCTGGTACGGCCCGTAGACCTATTGACGGGTCTGGTTAGCCAATCGGGTACGGTTTACGGTTCGGCCAACCTGTCTAATGGTTTCGGTGAATGTGTGTTTCGGTAATGTTGCGTACGGCAGGTGCGACGACGTTTGTCCGGGTGGTATTGCGAGCACTCGGTCGCAGACAAACCGTGGTTACGCGTTTTCGGTGTAATTGCTGTTGTATGTTGTTGCGGTGATGACCGGTCCGGTCCGGTCCGGTCGGGCCGGGCCGACGGTTGTACGCGCGTCAGACAAGCCATTCGAGTCAGACGTGCGTGCCGCCGCCTCCGCCGACATCGTGTACGGCGGCCGCTACGATGCTCCGGTCGTCCGGTTCCGGGTCCTCTGGTCTCATGGCCAATTTTATTCGCTGCGCAACACACACGACAGTACGATCGTTTATCAGCTAAGTAATATTATGGTCATAATCAGTGATGTGCAGAACCCTTTTTCCGCGCGGAAACAAAATTAATTTCCATCACTCCCTCCTCCAGTCACCTTCAAATAATATATGTTTCGCGAAGGAACTCGCTATTCGGCCCACTGTGGGGAGAATAGCGAAGGGACTCGCTATTCGGCCCACTGTGGGGAGAACACCACGCGGCCACGGTCGTTTTACTGGGCGGTGGTTTAGTAGGAATACTCGTAAAATAGTAATACCAACGAATACCATCCACCCACCCGATTTTCAAATGGGATCCAGGCGTCCCACCTGTGATATACTCGCACGTTACACTCCTTATGATTCTGTTGTTATCGTTCCTAGCTCTGCCCCGTCCACGATTTGTGCATCCGCAGGCGGTCACCATCGCTAATTCGCAACCAGTGGCACCAGCGTTTTTTTCGTACACACAACACAACGTATTCTACAACGTACGAACGCCCTTGCATAAATGTTGACCCCGAGTATTGACAAAATATTATAATTCACGACAGGAAAATAACAACGAACAGAGCTTCAAAAAAACGTAGTAAAAACGCAACATTCGGAAATTTGAAAATTAATAATTAAATGTGAAACCGCTAACACATCCTATTATAATTTATCTATTATAATTGTAGAGCGTTCTTCAGATATCGTGTTACCTTAGATAAATGGATATTTTGTTAAAAATCCTAACCAATGTCGTTTTTCTTTTGTCTACTCCATTAATGTGTAATATATATAATATTGTATCGAATAATATATATATAAACGAGTATATGCATAAGTGCAAATAGTTGGGGGGTTTCGGGGGATTAGCCTCTAAATATTTCAATAGCTCTCCCAGATGAAATATATTGAAGCACTACTTAGCAACTCTAAGTATAGATTCTCCAAAAAGAGTTTACTCATGGCAAGCTCAGTTGACTGTTTTATTAAAATGGATTTTTTTGGTAATTTTATAAATCATTACAAAATTAATATTATATCTTTGCGGACATTCAAAATACTAATCTTGCTATACAGAAAGTTTTTTTACATTTTCAGCATTATAATAGTTCTCCATTGCTCATCCACACATACATCAAGTATTAATCATTTAAATTATACGAATGAATCAGACTTAAATTCCACCGTTCAAAATTAATATAGTAAATATTATTAAATATAATAAATAAATAAAAATATAATAATAATATCAGAACTAACAGAAACAGACTATAATAACTACTGATGAATAGTATAGTGATACATATATTAAAAACAAAAAAATACACATTTTTAATCACGCTTGTGGAAAACAGATAACCCTGAGCTTATATTAAGTGAAAAGGAAAATGTGCTTTTGTGCGCAAACGAGTTATACCCGTAATTATTATTAGAGTATATTTTAACTTTACACAATATTTATACTGTTGTAATATTATACGACCCTTATAGGTAAAATTAAAACTCTTAGACTAACCTGCATAAACGGCCCGGGTGTTTTGCATACTTTATATATGAAGTATGCTGGTATGCACATGGTCGAAGACGCAGTCATCAACCAGCCCATGTTAATGCTCCAATCTGGATAAACATAGCTTCCACCTGCCATCATATCTTTATATCCCAGTATTGAGAATACAAAAATCAACTGAAAGGCGTACACTATTCTTTAAATGTTTACAACACCTTTATTATAATTGTAATTGACGTTTATTTCATGGTGCAAGACATAATTAATAAGGTTATAAATAATTTAATAAATCGATAACTTAAAATAATTTTTAATTTAAATATTTAAATAGTTTGATATTCCTGTTACACTTTAAATCATAGTTTGAAAGTAAATAAAGTTATAAATAATAATAAACGGATGATTAGATATTTATATAATGAATATAATTGAAAGTAAAAAAAGTTGTATTCAAAGCTAGCTAATAATTTTAAGTTGTTTAACTAATAGTTAAACATTAATATTTAAATATTAAGCAGTATAAAACGTAATTAAATTTAAAAAATCATCTATAGAAAAACAGAAGTTGAAATGTTTATAAAATTATTTACTTTTCCTAGGAATACCACTAAAGTAATAAATAGTACTTCAAATGTTAAATAAAAATACGTAAAAAAATTACGAATTATTCTGAAGGATATAATGCAATATATGCAGAGAATATTTGTTTTAAAATAAAATATATTATACAAAAATACATGATATTCTATTAAACCCTTACTTCTTAACAATACTCAGGAGAAAAATTATATTCTAAATCAATAATTCCAGTTTCTATTTCTTTTTTTTTCTTTTTTTTTTTGAGAACATTTATTTTGTTTGTGAATATAAAATGAATAGTAAACTTAACCTAAGCTCATATAATAAAAACCTTAAATATTTTTCTTGAGTTGTAAAATTTATTGTAAATTTAATTTATGAATGTTACTATGATTAAAATGATCTATAAGCTTACCAATAAAAATGCCGGACTAATGTAACACCAACACAATCTCCAAAATAAACCAGGTCTATGTCCGATCATCATTTCAATATCATTTGCAAATCGATCTACACCATACACCCAACAAACCGCTGCCGCCTCGACAAACACTACAAACAATATGGCGATCCCTGGTCCAAATACGTTCAGCAATGTAATTAAGTAAACTCCACCCTAAAAATAAATTTAATATTATTTCGGTTCATCCGATGAAATTGATTTCAAGTGATAATATAATATTTACTCATTAAGTCCAAAACGTGTTAAATGCAATGTAAACGAACTAATTATAAACGTACTTAAAAAAAATACCAGTTGTTTATGTTTTAATTTTAATTCCTTTCTAAGTTTAAACTTAAAAACAATTTCAAGTGCTTTAGGTCGACATCGAAAATTAAATTTAAACACACTTTTTATACGTGCTACAACAAATTATTATGATATTTTAACTAACTAATTAATTATAAAGCTAAACAATGAATAAACTCTCCACTGTGAATTTTATAAAAAATATACTCCTTTTTATACGTGAAATAAAAAAAATAAAACAAATTTGTTGAAAATTGTGAAAACATTCTCAATTTCTTGTAACTGTGTTTTACATAGTTCTTTTTTGTTTCATAACCATAATTTTAATGTATTTTTATACATTTTATTAAATTATTTGTTTATGAATTAACTAGAACTAAAAACCTGTGGTTTATTTGTAGCTACTCGTTCAATACTCATAGTAACATAATTTATGGTGGTTTTTATGATGACTTTGGATGTACTGCTATTTAACAATTAAAAAAAAAGTACTTACATTCGACTGTAAAATCTCTTATCATTATTAATCTAAACATTAAAATGTGATCCAGTATATTTTATAATTATTATCGAAATTGTCTAGATTCAGAGTAAAGGTTTGCGTATAGAGTTCTTATGTTTAAAACAAAGGTTTTTAATCAACATTTTTAAAACTGTTTAAAAAAATGAATTTGAAACATCATAAATATTATTTAAAATGTTTATAACTTATGTTATTTATGTCAGTGTTTTACACTAATATTTAAATAATAATAATATACTTAACGTTACAACTATGAAATATGTATTATACATCTAGGAACTTAGGAGGAATTAGAATATAGAAAATATTAAAAATATAGTTTTAAATTTTTTTAAAATATTTATGTTACGAGCCGGGATGATTCTAGGGGAGGAAGACGGGAATTAATCCCCAAGTATAAATATTTAGAGGGTGTAATTTTTGTTAGTATATAATCTATTATTGACTACTAATTTGATATTATATAATTTTTTAATGAAAAGGTATTTAAAACTCGATAAGTATGATTGTATGCTAATTATTAGTAAACATTTTAGCATTTGATTCTTGTTCTATGATAAGGCGAAATTTTAAAATTTTCCTTGGGCTTAAAAATTCCTAGTTCCGTCTCCAGTTACGAGTTATTACTAAGTACTTATATTATATCACCATATCGTACAATATATAATATTATTGATATGGAATTTATCGAGCATCTCTAGTAAGCATGTGTGTTGTTCTTCGGTGCTTCATAAGATACTGCCTGTTAATCACAGATCGGGAACTATTTGTTTTTAACATTTTTTAAAACGTTTAAAAAACAATTAAACAAAACATGAAATTTTAAAAAAAAAAAAAATTAAACGTAACAACTCTATTTGCGTGTATTGAAACATTTCAATTTGAAAATTTTTCATTATTTATTTTAGTCACTAATGCAATTTAGTCAGCTAAATTCTGTAGTGTATATTTTAACTAAAATAATAAAAGTCATGTGTATTTTTTCAACAAAATTATTCACATCTGTGATGCTGTTCAACTTCGACCTGTACTTATTGAATTTCGACAGGTTTTTTTAATCAAGATAATGCTACTAATTCTTGATTTTGATCGCTACCATAGTAAAATAATGAAGCACACGTTAAGTGCTAAATATAGGTCCGACGAGAAAGGGAGGGGGTAAAATTATCTTTATTTGATGAATTTTTGAAAAATTTCTGAAATATGTAATCGATAAAGCTCAATACGGACAGTTCAAATTGTGGATCATATGTACTACTTTCCTGCCCGGGGATTTCTTTCTTCGCAGCTCAGGTAAAACGACAATACAGGCATATAAATATAACTACGACAAAAATGTTTTTTGGAAAAGTCATATTATAGAGTCTAGTGATTTTCTGTTATCATGGCTAAATGTCGTAGAACATTTGGAAAAAAATAATACATTTTCAGCTGCTTAAAATTAAAAACACCGTTAAAGAATAAGCGTAAAAACATGTCGTCGTTCGTCGTGCGTGCACTTAGTTTCTATGTAGAAAAAATCGTTTAGGAAAATGTTCCGCCTGTTCGTCATCATTTATTGTTATTATTTCTGTCGAAAAAATACATTTAAGTACCTATTTTGTATTATCCAACCTACTCCACACCTAAGTACATACTTTATTAGACAATTTTAACCCATGGCATCAATGGCCGTATGTTGGCATATTGCTTCGTTCTTCGCGTTTGGCTATTACTGTGTGCAACACCGTATTAAGCATTCAGTTGAAGTATCTAATGCTGGCCATTAGCGGATCGGTTGAGTACACATTTGGTGAAAATTAATGACCATCCACCAGTGACTTTTGACCTATCAAATTTAATTCAACAAGCCAGGTCTTTCGACTAGCATCCACGAAACACGACATTCGTTTTATTACTCTCTTGCCACTTTGCCGGCCTATCCTGCAAACGTTAAAAGCATTCCCGTTTTCCGAAAGTTCAACAGCCGCCCAATGGACGATCTGTTGCTGATAAAATAAACGAATGATTAGTGGGTATAACAGCTTTCGGTTGGGATTCGATTAAAGCATTTTGTAGGAGTGAAGAATAGATATAATAATGTATGGTTGAATATCCTTTGAAAATATCTAATGACAATTGACAACTAATTTTCCTTGATCCCGTAACAATGATAAAAGTAAATACTACATCAAAAACCAGAACTTTTGGTCTGGGGAAGAAGGGAAGGAGGTTAAAATAATCCATGAAGTTGTTACCCTTTAAATGTAAGCAGAAAAATTATTAATCGATATAGACATTGATAAAAACACACAACATTGATTTTGTTATTTAAGCATTTGAATTTATGTTGTTGGTTAAAACTTTTTTATTAAATTCTTATATAAAACAGATTTTATTTAAGTGATTTTTGAAGTAAATTTTGCTCAAAACATAAAAATAACGGTAACGTCTTAATAGATAGAATATAAAATCACATCTAAATTTTTAATATTATAATTAGTTTTTGAAAATCAACTCTAATAAATTATACCACTACAAAAATATTGTTATTATTTTTATAATATTTATGTTAATTTTTATTGTAATATAATTAAATTTTATTGCCACTGCTAAAGTTGCATTTCTCATTTGCTCAAACGCTCAAATTCTATATATATATGTACATAATATAATAAACTATAGATTTTGGTTTAAGTTTTACAGAATGAAATTTTAAAATTACTGCACATTTAACATTTATTTGATAAATAATATATACGTACATAGAATTAGTTTAAAGTTATAAAGTTTACTCTTTTATTACTTACGAATAATTATACTTAATAATTTTAGATATTTCCTACATTTTTTTGCATCTAGAGATTTTTTCACGATTTAATACAAATTTACTAACATTAATATCAAATATATGTTAATAGTTTTTTTTTTTAAATATTCTTTATCAAATTATACAACCAGAATAAACTAATACATCAAATATTGTGTAGAATGTTGTTAGGTTAGGTGCATACCGATTATGTTTAAGACATGACGTATACAAAATTTTAAAAATAAATTCATAAATATAATTATAATTATATTTTTTATCGTTTAAAGTATAATATGAGAGTATAATAATACTTTTCAGATTAGCTGATATTTAATTAAGATCATGTTTCTTTTAAATACTAAACATTCTTCATAAACATCAAAAACAGTACAAATAATAATTTTGTTAAACGAAAATAATCTGTTTAAAAAAATCTGATAACATCAAACAAACGATTTATCTAAAATATGATTTTTTAATAAATTAGCATTATTCATATATTTTATATTAATCGTATAATTAATAAAACTATTTTATATATATAAATTTAAACGTATATCCGTACTCAAATTTTAATGATGAAGTTGTTCAAAGCTCATTAAGTTTAAAAATGTTATAACTCTACAATGTCTAATTTAACAACCATAAAAATAGATCACCGTGAATAATGTGAGCATAAAACAAGATTAACTATGGTATAAGGTTAGAATTATGAGTTGGTATAAAAGTTAATAAAATATATAGAAATAAAATTAAGTTAAAAGCATTTTCATTGTAGTGAATAGAATTATAATAGTCATTATACAGTACACATTCCAGTAATATTAAACTTAAGTGCATTATGCATTATTGTAGTTCATGTTAATTGCTTATAAGTTTTTTGTGAGATACAAAAATTAAATAAATATATTATTAGCTTCTTAAAATAAAGAATTTCAACCATATTTTTTTAGTTTTTTTTTTATTATTGTTAATCACCTCTTATCTAGAATAATTTCAAGTTATATATAGTATACATTATTGCAATACAAAAGAGTATTATACGTAGTTCTAAGTATTATAGTATCGTTACATAATTAAAGTTAAAGTTCAGTGTATTTTATGTAATAAGTAGTTATTATATACATAAATAGATAATTATTATAGTATAATATTTTTCACACATAGTTTTTTAAATATTTTTCTTTTGTTTGATTAATTGATTTCTTATAGTATAACTGTAGATATAAAAAATATTATAGTACCAGGGTGTAGTAGCGTACATACGGAGAGGGTTTCTGGGTTTAAACCCCCCCCAGGGTCAAAAAAAACGAAAAAAAAAGAAAATTGTTTTATTATTGATGACGTGTAATATATTCGTAGTTTCATTATTACGTTTTGAACTTAAAATATACAACTATACAAATATTATGATAATTGAATAATGATATTGATAGGTGTTTGAAAAGTTTTGTTAACTATGTTGTTTTTATATTCCAATAGCTATTAATTTACTGTAATGTAAAAGTAAATTGTAAATTGGTAAAATAGTTGTATAAAATAATAACTGTTTATAGCAGTTATTTATCTTATTTATCTGTACAACGAAAAAAAAAAGATAATGATTATTTTTGTTAAACCCTCCCCAGAGCAAGATCGAATGTACGCCACTGCCAGGGAGATATTATTATTTTTTATAGTCGTATAATAAGTCAATATCACGTGAAGATTTATAGACTTTTTGAGAACAAAAGGAAGACTAACGTTCACTAAAATTCTGATTATTTTTATTTATTTATACAAATATTTGTGTTTGGATCTGTCATTTTCAGATTAGTTTTTCTTGGTTTTAATAATAATAAGTTCTCTAAATCTCAGATAATATTGTATTGCATTCATATAGTATCATGAATAATTTGAATAAGAAATACTATTTGAAAGGAGTACTAACCTAACCCTAAATTAATATAAAGTTTAATACAAAATTTAATACCCTTAATTCAAGTTTATCATTTTAATTCAATATGAATAATAATTAAATTATTATTCATATTTAAACCCATCTACTGGTATAACGTTAAGGATTTAATTTTGATTTAAAATATTTGTTTTATCTATATACCCAATAATTTTGTTTATATAAGTAATAGATCTTTAGGATAATATAAGCAATATGCTCGGAAAATAAATTTTTAAATAATAATTATTGAATAAAAAATAAAATATAAATATTGTTTCTTACATATGTAGTAGTTGGTAACGATAGTATATAAATTACTGCTACTAAGCCAGCAACAAACAATTCTCGATGTCTTTTTAATACATTTGGGTATTCATCACAAAGACCAGTTATGATTGCCTCTAAACCACCAAATGTACTGTCCAAACCTATAACGCAATAAATAATCCGTTCTATTAACAACAAGTAATTTTAATTTTAACGTAACAAATATACATAAATTATTTATTCAATTATATATATTAAGCAACAAATTATTTTACTGTATAGAAAAATAAAAACAAATAAATCTCTCATTTCTCATTAGTTATAGATAGGGCATTGGTAAGTTAAACATTTTGTGAAAGCTTACTAAGACTATAATACAATTATATTTCGAACCCAAAAAAAAAAAAATAATGTATGATTAACCGTCTAAGAATCAATAGTTAGTCAATTCCTAAAAAAAAAAATTTAATTAAAATTAAATTATTTATTTTAATATTGTTCAAATTTAATTATAGTAAGTGTTTGGGCAATGCAATAAATTTAGTGGTGTTGGGTTATGTGTTATTAAATTTGTATTCATAAGTCAGTGACAGATCATTGATTTTCTGATTTTACTGTAAGTTATATTATATTATTTATTTAGAAATTATTTCTAATTTGTAAGTTTGATTAATTATTTGAAACAAATACTCATTGAATTCTAAAAAAATATAAATTTAAAAAGAAATATGTTTGTAGAAAGGGTATCTAAAACGAATGAAACATAATCAGTTTAAATTAAGTAAGATAAAGTTAGCAGATTGAAGGGTAGGAATTTTAATTTTACCTTTTTAAATTCGAATTCAGTACATATTAATATTTCTCAAGAATTTTCAAGGTTAAATTTTTTATAACATTTTTTGAAATATTCCGAAAAATAATTGAGTATTACTTCGTTTTAGTATTCTTTTTAAAATTAATACTTATTACAACTGTAAACGTTAATGAAATATGGAGTTCTATACAAACAAATTCCAAATTGTAACAAATGTATAAATTATATTGTAATCGTTTGAGTAATTATTATATAATTAAAAATACTACCTAATGTGATAAGTAGCAAGAAAAATATGATAGCCCACATAACCGAACCAGTCATCATGGCGATTGCTTCTGGGTAGACGATGAATACCAAACCCGGGCCTGTAAGTCAAAAGAAATTAAGTGAACAATGCTTTAAAGACCTAATATCTTGAGGCTTACCTTCGGTTCCCACTTCGGAAATGCTCTTGTTTTGAACGTGCGCCATATAACCGAGCATAGTAAATATTACGAAACCGGCGAGGAAACTAGTTAGAAAGTTTATTGAGCTAGTGAGAATAGCATCCCAGTAACAGTTGTTATTGAATTTGTTGTAACTCGACAGAGCTAGAAGAGTACCGAACCCTGGGCCCAAAGAAAAGAATACTTGAGATGCCGCATCTATCCATACCTAAGCAAACGTACAAGTATATATATATATATATATCGCAATATACATGATAACTGATAACATAGTTATTAAATCTGGCTTGATTTATATGAAACCGAAACTGCACCTTAGTGTTGACCAGTTTATGCCATTGCGGCGTTAGATAATATCGTATGCCTTCGCCGGCGCCTGGTAACGAGATACCTTGAAAGAGCAACATAAACAATACAACGTACGGAGCGAGCGACGTGACCCAAACGGCCTATATAGCAAAAAATAAAAATAAAATTAAAAATAATAGTTATCTGTTAAATAAAAGTATATGTTTATATATATATAAGTTACGAAGGAATATATAGTTTGTGTTTTACTGATTCGTTAGTCAGCTGTGTTTAAATTAGGTGCGCGTAGAAATGCCGGGCAACATTTAATCAAAAGTCTAGGAGACGATCGAGTGTAGGAAAAGAGGTAGGAAAAATCGCACCGCACTGACGGTTCAATCTATAATTCATTAGACGTCAAAGAGATAAAAACAGAAGTAATAAAGGGTAGACGGGAAATGGCGTTCAATCACACGCACATATACGAGTACGCACACACACACTTATTGGTCAGCGTATTATAGGAAGGTGAGGGGATGGATGATTTTAAAAACAGTGAGTATACGATAACAGATTCTTTGTCGGTCCTGCCACCACTTCGATACCATATACCCTCTACTACACTTTCCGGTAATGAGATGAGCTCACTGCATAATAATACAAGTCCACCGACTACTTAGACTGATTGACTGCACACACCACGTTCGCCAAACATATTATTATACTTAGTCGTACTTCTCTTCTCTTTTTCTTTTACTTTTTATTTTTATTTTTATTTTATTATTTTTTTATTAACACAAATCCAGTCGAATAAACCACACGTGTATAACCGAAAATCATCTCGAGATTAGTCAGAGATGAAAAAATGTGTATTCGTACCGAGTGTTCTGAATGAAAAAATTTAAACGACAACTTACCATTCCAGTGCTTCTCACGCCCTTCCACAAGGAAAAATACACCAACAAGAAAACGGCCAATAAACACAATGCCAATGACCATTTGATCGATCCAATGCTATCCAATCCATCGGCTCTATGCTGTTCTAAAACGCTCCTCCTGCAAATAATTCATACTATATTTTAGTGAGAGACAATACGCATTTACACGGATATATAATATTAGTGTAAACGGGACAAAAATTTGGTCATTGAAAGATAACTATTATTTGTATTTCATTAAATCGGAATTTTCATTTTTATTCCGAAATTACGAAATTACACGAACAGACTTGAGATACATCTTGCACACACGATTTGAATATATTTATAATATTATTATATATTTTAAATATATTTAATAAAATTATATTACTCGAAAAATTCTTTTGCCGGACTCGTCGACATGTTGACTAATCCGGACAAGTTAGTAACAGGATTGCAAGTCAACGTGTTCCATGGATTGTCGCAGCTGGTCCATGGTAATTCGGATCTCATTGATGAAAACAGATAATATACTGCCCAACTGATTACAGTATTGTAGTACATACCCATGTACATATCAATCAAACATATTGCATATCCAACACCTGCAGAGTATTAAAGTAAAAAAATAATACAAACAATTGTAATTAAAATACTGTTTTCGATATTTCGTATCAGATATTTTTTTTTAAAAAGAAAAGAAATATATATATATATATATATGTGTACACTATTAGTTAAAATAAATATTATTATATACGACACATCTACTTATAGTTCTTAGATTTCAAAAAGTGCCATAGTTATTATTTAATGTTTTATAATTCAGTTATTTTTAAATTAAGCACTACAATGCAAAAAAACGTAAATAAAATGGGTCAAAAAAATTGGTACCACCGGGTAAAATGTTTAGAAGTCACTGATATAACGTATGATACCGATTAAATATACAACGAAATTTATTATAAAATGCTAACAATTAATTAAGTTTAATATTATTGAATAATTATGTAGGTACGAGTATGTGTAATTCAAAAATGTTATTAAAATATAGTTTTATAATTAAGAGTATACTTTAAAATAATGTCTTTCATTTTACATTTTTTCTTCAATTCTCTTTTTAATTTTTCGGTAGACATGATAAAATTCAAGTTAAGATAATAATGATTTTAAAATAAAGACATTCAAAAGCTTTAAATTGCGTTAGAATATATAGCATATCGTATTATTTCTATGTTATGAATAGAGTTTTTAATATTTCCTAATATTATAATTGTTGAATACCTAAAATAAAAATAAAACTTTATAAAATGCTTAGAAACGTATCTACCTATATCTATCTTAACTAATTACGAACAGAAGTGTTTAAGGTTTTCAGTGCACACATAATGAGATGTAAATACTCTCTAATAGAATAAAATGATGACTAGAATTCAAAACTATTAAATATACTTAATTATTGAAAAATAATTACTATAGATTATTTATACGAAAGATTACATGAAAAGTTAATAAAACACGTAACCCTAGCATTGTGTAATATTAGTTGTATTATTTATAACTAGGGAACGGATTTATATGTAATAAAAATACAGAAATATGTACATATATATATAAGTATAATTTATAAAATATGTGCTAAAAACATCCAAATATGTGGGGAAAAAAAATTTAAAAAAAAAGTGATTATTATTATTAAATTATCAAAAAGATTTGTTGCATTGAATTATTACAATATCTTGTAAATTATCAAATGCTGAATGTCGCCTATTAGGTATCAAAATATTTTTAAACGGCTAAATTATCGTTTCACATCAACCGATGTATTAAAAGCATATTTTAAGTGTATACTATCAGAAGGCGATAATTCCAAATTTTTTTAAGGTTGTCTGCCATTCATTATGTCATTGATTATTTTAAAATCAATATTGCCTGGAATTTTTTCTGTAACAGCATGAATTTTCTTTTTTACGACATCTATCGGTCCGCTTACGAGTTTTAATCGCTGATTTAACAATTTGCATACTATCATTTGGGGACATATTTTTTTATTAATAATTTTGTTAAATTATTTTTAATTAAAATTAAATAATTTTCAATGTTTCATTTTGCATAATATTTTGAGCTTTTTCAATAGCGATAAAAGTTTCTGGATCTAATTTTGAAATAATTTCTTGTATTTTCGTACGAAAAAGACGTATGAATGATGAAATAATTAAAATATGTTTAAAAATATTTAAAAATTAGTGAAATATGTAAAAATATATAATTATACCAAAATATGTAAAAATATGTAAAATAAAAGTATCATAATTTTAATAGGAATGATTTAAATCATAAACATTTCTTATCGAATCTTAAATATCTCGTTTTAATAAAAATATGCATTTACATATAAATCCGTTCCCTATTTATAACATAAAGAAAAAAAATTTACTTTTACTATTGACATTTTTGGATTTAATTAGCCAATTAGTTGTATACTATGTATGAAAAAATATATTTAGTTTGTATTTACAATAATATTAAAGAAAATATTTAGTTCAAAATGTAATACTGAAAATAAGATCAACACTGATTCATATGCGAGATGGTGACATTCAGTAACTAAATTCAATTTCGATCGATTTTTCGAACAATGTATCAAATTGACGTCTCCAAACAGCCGATAGCTGTCTCGGTGTATTCGTTATAAAGGCCTTGTTTGTGAATAGAATCATTAATTGCAAACACTTATTAGGTAAACTCTAACAGCCGCCTTTGCCAGTAGTACATTTATGGCAATGAAAATACAACGCGCATTCAAAAATATGACTTAATGATTGAATTACGTATAAAATGATACGACCAATTTAATTTCACAAAACTTATTCAATTTATGATGTTAACTAAAATGCTACAACCAAAAATACGACTTATATTTATTTTATATGTATTCAAGTATTTAAAAATGCAATATTTAAATTAAATGCATTAAAAATAAAATAAAATGTAACTAGAATACTTTTATTTTCAAATAAAATATATAATTCAGTTATCAGAAGTTATTGGGTTGAAGAGAATAAAATGGCTTCTATTTTTTTGTCATATTTTTCGAAAAAATTTCAATACTTTTCGTTTTCCAAATTACATGGGAAATGTTTTATACATAGCATATATTTTATTTTTTATCATAAATTTTTAAATCATCCACATTAATAATTGCATCCTTATCATTTTTAAAATTAAAAAATATTAAATTTATTCAGACAAATATAATTTGATTATAGAAGTAGATTAAAAAACCAAACGTTCAAATTATTTCGATAGAAATTTCATCTTAATTTCGTATTAGTTGGCTAAAATTTTGTACGTCATATTTTGTATATGACTCCAACGTGGTTATCCCCAAAGCGTTTTAAACTAACTAACTTTATTCATAATTGTATAATTTATTTTATAAATAATGTGTAACTTAATTGTATGATACAAAAACTGTTATACTCGATAATTTAATATGTTAAATCTAACATAGTAACTTTACAAGTGGACCAATGTAATGCGGTACATAGAAGTTAAAAATTCAAATACCTACGGTTTAAACATACCTTAGTTGATATTTTTAAAAAATTAAAATATATTATAAATATATAATATATTTTTTTATACTTTTATACCTAAGTTTATATGATAAATATCAGGAAAATTTTAAAATTAATAAAAAAAAAAAACAAAAACCATCATATTTTGCTTATTTAAATAATTCTTTAAAATTTTCTTATAATTAACTATCTTATTCCAATTCACAAATACTTCATAAAATCTATCGAGTAATAACAATAACACACATGTTTAGATAGAGTTAAATACGAGTAAATACTATTACGTTGGAATTCATTCCCCAAAATATATGCATATTCGAAAAATTCTAAGATGTATCTATATAATAATTATATTATACAATTTTAATTAATCTTTTATTGATTTAAAATGTTTGGGATATTAAAGATGTATTTATAATATAAAATTTTAAAACATAAACTTCAAATATTCAATTTTTAGTGAATGAGGAAATAATATTCATATAATATAATACCTTGATAATTATTATCAAAATAAATTTTAAAAATTATTAATGTTATAATTTTATCATTGTATTATTAATTAATTTCATCTTAATTTAAACATTAAATGTAATAAAAAAAATTGTCGAGCTAACTTTTCCAATTTTAATTTATATTTAAAATAAAAATTTAGTTTTAGTTATTCAAATGTTTTAAACTATGAAAACATTTCTTGTCCAGAATACATTATTAAATATTTTAAGCATTTTATTACATTCACACGAAAATAGTTTTCAAAATTAAATATAAAACTAACCTTATAATAAAATAAGAACATTTCTCGTTTTTATCAAAATCTAAAGCCTGGGTGATTATTTTTCTTAATTAAATAACGAGATCAATCTAAAAAAAAAAACTTTGAGGATATTCAAAATTTATCAACATATACGATTTTGTTCATTTAACTATTATTAATTAAAATTATTTGATACGTGCAAACAAATTTTTCTAGTAAACTAAATAATTAAAATATTTTTATGTTAGTATAGTAAATAGTTTAGTCTCGGTATAAATACTTTACTGCTTGTAAACTTTACCTATGCAATATAATTCACACGTATAATAGTTAAGACGTAATATAAATAAATATGATAATTTGACATATCAAATTAAAATTAATAATATTTATAAATATATACATTTCAAACATGGAACACCATGAATTTTTGGTTGAGACACTTGAAAATAAATAAAGAACTATAAAACTATTATTAACTATTAGTAAGTAGTGTCATTTTAATAATTATAATATTAATTAAGTGAATATTATATTATTCTGTACCAATATATTATTAGTCTGCTTTATATAATCGTGTTTAATTAAATTTCAATTAGTACATTTTATTTTAAATACGACTAGATATTATAATTAGTTGAAAATATGGGTTTAAATTCTAATACAATAAACGAGCACCTCAAAACACGATGTTATTATTATGGATGATTCGTCCGTAAAGTGATTTTATTGAGTCATTATGGAGGGTCTAGTAAGGTGTAAAACGAACACCTGCTGAATTGGTAGAAAACGTAAAACAGCAAATGCAGTGAAACTAAATAAATGCTTTGAAAATATATGGAACCCAGTTTAAAATAAAATCACTATAAGAACAAGACCAATCGACATAATATTATTGCTTATCTGCTGAATATCATAATGATATAACTGATAGGAAAAATGAAACAGTCAACCGGAGTAAAAATCAGACCGATTAATACTTGTATATTTTTATTTTATTAATCAATAATTATTTAATTAAAATCGTTATACAAAAAACTGTTATTTATTGGTAATATAAAAAAAATTTATAAAATTAAATAGAGTTAATTATTGGAACCGTTCAGATTCAGGTGGCATTTTGAGTTGCACAATATCTCCCCAGATTTACTTGTACATTTATTTGTTAAATTATTATTTTTCCACATATATTTTTTAATACTTTGACCACCGAAAAAAAATTGTGCATTAGCTATTTCACATAAAAATTTTTTTGTAGCCGACACTA